TCTTAGCATTTTTTTTGCTCAAAAAACGTCCAAAAATTACATAGTTAGTCTGGCTGAAAAAAGACAAAAGTCCATCCAGTTCAACCATTTGAAAAAAAAACTAATACTATACCCACAATTGATTTAGAGGAAGGCCAGTTTTGCCGTGATTTACCACATTTTTTAGCATTAGAGCATTTGTACAGCTAAAAAACTCTTCTAGAAACCCACTACTTCTGGGTTTTTTTTCCAGCCAAAAAACGCCCCTGCCAAAAAAGGTTGATTACAGTCTATGTGTGCATGGACACATAGAATAACATGCTGGGGAGTTTACTGGCTGTAGAAAAAAAAGTCAAAAGCCAAAACCAGCTGTGAAAACGTCCAGTGTGCATGAGGACTAAAAATGGGAAAAAAAGTTTAGGCTTTATATACAGTGAAGGAAATAAGTATTTGATCCCCTGCTGATTTTGAATGTTTGCCCACTCACAAAGAAATGATCAGTCTAAAAATCAAATGGTAGGTGTATTGTAACACCGCGAGACAGAATAGCAACAAAAAATTCAAAAGAAATGCATGGCTGACATATTATGCACTTACTTGCATGTTCATGAGAGAAATAAGTATTTGATCCCCTTCACAAAACATGACTTGGTGGCAAATCCCTTGTTGGCAATCACAGAGGTCAAACATTTCCTGTAGTTGGCCGCCAGGTTTGCACACATCTCAGGAGGGATTGTGGCCCACTCCTCTTGGCAGATCCTGTCCAAGTCATTAAGGTTTGGTGGCTCACGCTTGTCAACTCGAACTTTCAGCTCCCTCCACAGATTTTCAACCAGATTAAGGTCTGGAGACTGGCTAGGCCACTCCAGGACCTTAATGTGCTTCTTCATTTTCAATGCCCTGGCTGAGGGAAGAAGTTTCTCACCCAAGATTTGATGTTACATTGCCCCATCCATCCTCCCTTTGATGCGGTGCAGTTGTCCTGTCCCCTTAGCAGAAAAACACCCCCAAAGCAGAATGTTTCCACCACCGTGTTTGACAGTTGGGATGGTGTTCTTTGGGCCATAGGCAGCATTCCTCCTTCTCCTCCAAACACAGCGAGTTGAGTTGATGCCAAAGAGCTCAATTTTGGTCTCATCTTACTACAACACTTTCAACCAGTCCTCCACTGCATCATTCAGATGTTCAGTGGCAAACTTCAGATGGGCCTGGACATGTGCTTTCTTGAGCAGAGGGACCTTGCGGGCACTGCAGGATTTCAATCCTTGTCGGCGTAGTGTGTTACCAATTGTTTTCTTGGTGACTGTGGTCCCAGCTGCCTGGAGATCATTGACAAGATCCTCACGTGTAGTTCTGGGATGATTCCTCACTGTTCTCATGATCACTTACACTCCACGAGGTGAGATCTTGCATGGTGCCCCAGACCTAGGGAGACTGACAGTTGTTTTGTGTTTCTTCCATTTGCAAATGATTGCACCAATTATCACCTTCTCACCAAGCTACTTGGCGATAGTTTTGTAGCCCAGTCCAGCCTTGTGTAGGTCTACAGTCTTGTCCCTGACATCCTTGGACAGCTCTTTGCCGTTGTGGAGAGTTTGGAATCTGATTGTTTGATTGCTCTTGTGGACAGGTGTCTTTTATACTGGTAACAAAATTAGATTAGCAGAACTCCCTTTAAGAGACTGCTTCTAATCTCAGTTTGTTACCTGTATGGTAGCCAGAAATCCTGCTGAATGATATGGGATCAAATACTTATTTCCCTCATGAACATGCAAATCAGTGCATAATTTGTTAGACATGCATTTCTTTTGAATTTTTTGTTGCTATCCTGTCTCTCAGTGTTACAATGCACATACCATTCCATTTTTAGACAGATAATTTCTTTGTGAGTGGGCAAACATTCAAAATCAGCAGGGGATCAAATACTTATTTCCTTCACTGTATACCTAAACAAACCAACTTTGCATGTTAAACATTTCTATTTATTCATTCCACTGTTCAGAACACACACAATGCTTTTTATAAAAATTATATTATATGGAAATAATAACCTGTAGCTGAACATGTTGTAAATATTTACGACAAAAACACATTGTGAAAAAAAATTTATTTGAAAATGTTTTCTTTGTAAGAAAAAAGCAGCCATTGGAAAAGACCCATGTCATGTAATGAGTATTCTACAAACTTCATCCATTATCAGTAAAATGTCACAGCAGTTATATGACCATAGCACCTGCTGTTAAATCATGCAATTGTAGGATTCCAGGAAGTAAAACAGTTTAATTTAATCAAATCAATCAAGTAGAGAAATAAATATTTGTAAAAATGTTCTAACTTTCAGGGAAGCAGCCCATCATTATTTTCATTATTCTTTAAGTTACGTGGCGACGACTGCCATAGCTAGAATTTAGTGGTTAACGCATCCTCTATAAATGTGTTATGTAATAACATATAGGGCAAATCCACTTATAGCAGCAAGCTACAGAAATATTGTTGTTAAAGTGTCCTTTGCTTTCAGTGATGGAAAGAGGAGTAAAATATATAACTAGACAACAGGCTAATTATTAAATTGTATGTGTTATGTTAGTTACGGCTAGGCCACTGATCCTGGTCTACAGATAAACTGCTTTACCACACCCATGTTTATAGATCCTACAGAGATCTGAAGCAGCCACTTTGCTAGCTGTTGCAACATAGTTGAAATGAAGGAGTAATATCAAGATAAAGTACAAGCCTTTTATATCCTTTACTGGACACAGATAAGCAAGTTCTCTTGAAAGTTCAATGTGACCTGTTTATCTATCTTTTCTTTTTTTCTATACCTCACATACCCTACTTAGAGTACTGTAATCCTACAGATTTTCAGATTGGCTAACGTTCATCCATTACTTGCTGGTTAAGTGCACCTCAAGAAAAATGGTGCTTCTCAAATGTTTCCCATCCATTGAACTAGTTTTCAGAAAGATCTTGGCTATACTGGGATAGTTTTGAGAGACTGTTCTGCTATTTCTATTATCACCCTCCCTGTGATTCTTTAGAACTATTGGTGTACAAAAAACATACTTGTATTAGTCAAGTTACATGTTTATGAACTGTGCAGGCATATCTGAATTTTACCTTCAGCTCAGGAAGACAACAGTGACTGACCTTTGAACAAATATTTTTCTTTTACCAGCCACAAACTATTGATTGATGGAAACCTTGTGACTACTATTAATCATTCTAAATTCCTTGACCTCTGTAGAGTATTGGCCTGTCTAACAAAATGGCTGCTTCAATATATTGATCTATGGTGGTACATCACTGCAGGAAAATTTCCTTTGCATTCACACCCTGTGTGTTTTGGAAACCATTCCTTATTTAGAAGTAGCCCTTAATTAAAACATGTTAAAGAAATGTTAAAGTTACAAAGATAAAATCTTAATTTGGCTTTTTATACATTTTTCAAGGTGTAATGATCTAATTAAGGAGATGATGGCTGCATATTTGTTTTCTCATAAATCTACATTACATGGCCAATGTTTGTGGACACCAGACCACCACACCCATGTAAACTTGTTGGACATCCAGGACAAACATTAATATGCAAAGGCATTTTAGACGATTCTGATCCTCCAACGGTTTGGGGAAGACTCTTTTCTGTTGCATCACAACTGTACCCCTGTGCAAAAAAGCCAGGACCATATAGACATGATTTGACACATTTGGTGTTGAAGAACTTGACTGGCATGCACATAGACCTGATCTAAAATATACTGAACAATTTTGAGATAAGTTTCATTGCCAATTGAAAACCGGATCTTCTTGTCCAAAATTAGTACCTGACCTCACAGATCTTGCATTGTCTGCATGGGCCCACACAATCTCTTAAATCTTGTAGAAAGCTCTGTGGAGTGGAGGCTATTATAGCCTAGGGGAAGGGGGCAGCTCAGTAATAATGCCTGTGGTTCTGGAATGGGATAGCCATTATTACGTGTCCAAAAACCTTTGGCCATATATATATACTGATGAAATATGTGTATCATATATAAAGAGCTTGTTGTTTCCGATTGCTAATTGTTAATATTCCATTTTCGGCAAATATTTCCTGCTGCATTGAAATTTGAATTTTTCATGCTACAACATTTATGATAAAAAATGGAAGATGTATCACAGATAAATTAGGAAAGGCCATTTTCAAAGAAGGATGATGGCATAGAATAGATTACCATGAACATAAAACCTAACCTGCATATGTCATCATTTTATGTCAATTATGTAAACCATAAGTAACAGTGGGGATATGCTCTCCATTTCACTCAAACACATTCAATAATTAAGATAGCTCAAATTAAATCAGTTGGAAATGGCCTTAAATACTTCAAACCTATACTGTCGTTATAAATTTTTGATGATCATTTTGTTAATGTGCAATTTTCCTGAGAAAAGTCAATAACGATTAATTTAAAATATTCTGTCAGGTTGTAAAAATAAAAATAAGGCAGTTAACAAGATTGTCATTCGGTGTATTTTCTGTAACGTTTTCTATGTCCATCAAGGCTTTAAAGCATAAATAATCTGTTTCCGTATCACAGGCAAATGCACAGTCACTGCACGACCTTCTGCTGCATTGAGTCTTGACAGAATGAAAAGAATCGACATATTGCAATGTCAAGGGTTTAGGACACTGTAAAGCAGCATATTGCACATTCTAAAAGTTATCAATTCTGAAGAAAAGCTTGTACAGCCCAATTGTCACTGTATTCCTACCATCATTTTGTAGGTGTCACATCTTCAGGAAATGCAACTTCTGTAGCTCTTCTAACAAAAATGTAACTGTGATAAAGTTGTTTTTTTTAGACCAAATAAAATAATAGATCTCCTGTACTGTCCCTGTTGTGTGTGCTGCTACTGAGTACTGTAAGATGAAAAACAGTTTCTTCATTACAGGAGCCTATGCTCTTATGAGAGCAATGACAACATTGTGCTTTTCAATAATCCAGGGAGAGTCAACTGAATTACTGATTTCAGGAAAGTCATTTATTTTTTTCTCTTGTCCATTTGATCATAGTTTCTGGTGAGCGGTATAAGAATATTAGTTTGGCATATAAATCTTCTTCCAGTTCCAGTTCTCCAGTCTCTCGGACTAGGAAAATGTCCGTGCACAGTTTCAATATACGGTCCACATTTGGTAGCTCTTCAAACATGATTGAATGAGATATTCCACTAAAGAACTCACGAACAAATTTTCCAATTACAAGTACCACAGAGGCATACAGTCCCATTATTCTGTGAAAAGAAAATACATGTTACTCTAAGAATCATGTTTGTATTATTCCTTGGTAATGGACCACCTTCTGCTTTTTCACTGAGAAAAATGCTGGGCATTCAGTGAATTATGCCTATGCCGAGCAAGAGACCCCTGTGTTGCAGCATAGCAGCTCGGCATGGGACCTGGCAGAAAGTGGTAATCACTGTAGTAGCTGTGACTACTATCTTTACAGAGGATAAAAAAAGTCTACACATCCCCGTTAAAATGTCAGGTTTCTGTGATGTAAAAAATGAGACAAAGATAAATTATTTCAGAACTTTTTCCACCCTTAATGTGACCTATAAACTGTATAATTCAATTGTAAAACAAACTGAAATCTTTTAGGGGGGTAAGTAAACATAAAAAAACTAAAATAATGTGGTTGCATAAGTGTGCACACTCTCTTATAACTGGGGATGTAGCAATCACATTCAAAATCATGTTAAATAGGAGTCAGTACACACCTGCCATCATTTAAAGAACCTCTGATTAACCCCAAATAAAGTTCAGCTGTTCTAGTAGGTCTTTCCTGACATTTTCTTAGTCGCATCCTACAGCAAAAGCCATGATCCGCAGAGAGCTTCCAAAGCATCAGAGAGATCTCATTGTTAAAAGATATCAGTCAGGGGAAGGGTACAAAAGAATGTCTAAGGCATTAGATATACCATAGAACACGGTGAAGACAGTCATCATCAAGTGGAAAAAATATGGTGCAACAGTGACATTACAAAGAACTGGACGTCCCTCCAAAATTGATAAAAAGACAAGAAGAAAACTGGTCTGGGAGGCTGCCAAGAGGCCTACAGCAACATTAAAGGAATTTCAGGAATATTCTTCATATGTCTGGACTATGGAGTAGAGTGGCAAGATGGAAGCCTTTTCTTACGAAGAAAAACATCCATGCCCAGGTACATTTTTTCAAAAACACACCTGAAGTCTCCCAAAAGCATGTGGGAAAATGTGTTATGGTCTGATGAAACCAAGGTTGAACTTTTTGGCCATAATTCCAAAAGATATGTTTGGCGCACAAAAAACACTGCACATCACCAAAATAACACCATACTCATAGTGAAGCATGGTGGTGGCAGCATCATGCTTTGGGGCTGTTTTTCTTCAGCTGGAAATGGTGCCTTGGTCAAGGTAGAGGGAATTATGAACAGTTCCAAATACTAGTCAATATTGGCACAAAACCTTCAGGCTTCTGCTAGAAAACAGAACATGAAGATGAACTTCATCTTTCAGCATGACAACGACCCAAAGCATACATCCAAATCAACAAAGGAATGGCTTCACCAGAAGAAGATAAACATTTGGGAATGGCCCAGCCAGAGCCCAGACCTTAATCCGATTATTATTATCCGAACCATATTATTTTAGTTTTTTATTTTTACTTCCCTCCACCTAAAAGATTTCAGTTTGTTGTTCAACTGAGTTGTACAGTTTATAGGTTACATTAAAGGTGGAAAAAGTTCTTAAATTATTTATCTTTGTCTAATTTTTTTTACATCACAGAAACCTGACAACAGGGATGTGTAGACTTTTTATATCCACTGTATACTCTGAATCCACAATCCAACAATAATGGCATATGAATGCTTACTTTGGTTCAAGCTAGACCAATATAACAACATTCAGCTTTGAAAACCCATGTACATTTACACTTAAAAAATCTGCACCCTCTGTAATTCTCTTAATCCTGTGAAGCACCATAGCTAAAATATATTACGCTATATTATAAAAAGCCAATTAATGCGGTTATAACCACTATGGTCAATAAATGGGGCTCCTTAGAATTAGTGGAAAGACATTTGTTGATCTTATTTGCATTCCGGTCAATATGTCTGTTCACTATCTATGTGGAATACTTTGTTCTCTAAGCAGTAAAAATATAAACCAAATAGTCAATGTCCGTATAATACTGTATATAAAGCGAGACAACCAATAAAAACTTTATAATAAAGTAAGGTATGGCGCTATACATGCATACTAGGTAAACAATATTCCAACTGTGATAAGAACATATAAGACCTGACTGTGATATAAATCAATGAGCCACATCCGGGTCCAGTGACGTCACATCCGCTTCCAGTACATGGAACGCACGCAGACTTCCCTGTCGAGTGGTGCTACCATCCTGAGCTGAGTGTATTAGTGCCGAGGATTGGGCACCAACTAATGTGAGCTATCATCCACACTCATTGATCACTGGGATTCCAGTTGGACAGTTTCTAAGATGTCGAAGAAACTGTTCCAATTTTGATGATTTTAGACTAGAGGCTCAGGACTTCTATAAAAGATTTAGGGAACGAGGATATTCCCACTCCCAGATCAGAAGGGCTAGAAAAATGGGCATATCAAACTGATCGAGAAATGTTATTATCTTCAAAAAAGGAAGAGAACTTAGGGAAACAAGCTGCACAACCGGTCAGGATGATAACCTAATTTGGAGCACAGTGGGGGGAAGTAAAACATATTTTGGAAAAACATTGGAAGATTCTTACACAGTGCCCTAATTTAGGTAAAATTGTAGGTGAACATTCATTAATGGTGGCAAGGAGAGCACGAAACCTTGGTGACTTACTTATTCACTCTGATTACCAACCATTAAAACAACCTACATGGCTCAAGTCACATACTAAAGGGATGTATAGTTGTGAAAAATGTCAAATTTATGTTTGTAGATCGTACAGATACGTTCTCTGATTCAAGCTATAAAGCTCATTTTAAAATTCAAAGCCTTATAAACTGTTCCACAGCTAGGGTACTTTATATGTTGACTTGCCCATGTAAAAAGATGTATATCGGTAAAACCAAGAGGCAGCTCAAAGTGCAAATAGAGGAACATTTCAGAGATATTAAATCTGATGAACCTGAGAGTAATGTAGCTTTACACTATGACAAGTATCATGGGGGTAGATTAGAGGGCACTAAAGGTAAAGGAATTTATGCACTTAATTTCCCGCAGAGGAGAGGTGACTTTGATAGAGAACTTTTAAAACGTGAAAAACACTGGATATATAAACTTGATACTCTTTTTCCAAAAGGGTTAAATATTGAGTGTGATCTCCAAGTGTTTTTGGAAAAATAAATAGATATATAGTACAATAAGTCGGTGCGCCACTTTGTGGCAGTTAAGAAGGCTTTGATTAAATTTCTCTGGCTGATGGTTATTTAAAAGAAAGAGTAATCCTTCCCACTGTGTACCCGGGTATCTGTTCTTTTAATTGCATTATATGACCAGCTTCCTGCTAAGTAATTAGCTTTTTTCTCCCAATGAGTATTATTGCCACTAATTGATTTACATATATGGGCGGTTACAAGCCCATTATAAATAGTGTGTGAAAGGCAGGCATCTGATTGGTCCTGACGAAGCCGAGTGAGATACGCCCATCGGCGAAACATGTTGACGTCATACGTCAGATACGTCACTTCCGGCCGTACGCATTGGCGCCATAAACGCTGACCATCAGGGAAGCAGCCATACACGCCGGCTACGAGCGGTGCAAGGCTGCACTAGCACCAGGGCGGGAGCGGAGCCCACTGGATAACAGTCTCGACGGTGGCGCCTGATCTTGCAGACGAAGGAAACTTCTAAGAGTACCACCTATGGCATGGGTGGTGAGTGGATTGCTGTAAAGATAAGCGATATAAGACGCATACTCGCTATTACATATATACCACAAGGAACTCATTTATTGACTGTCCATATGTCACCTATTTTTTACAGGATGGGGACAGCATGTTTCACCAACTAAAGGTGCATGGCACCCTACACTTATTACCCGGCACAGATGACCCAGCACAATGCATTACCACATCAATATTAAGGTGGTGAATAGCCCGCACGTAGCGGTGAAGAAACAAGTGTGTGTTTTTAAGGGCAGGACAGCTGTTAGCAACACATCCAATATCATCACACTGATTGGAGTCAAGGTTGGCTCACTCCTGGCTCCAATTAGCTCTGGGAGAAGTCATTAAGCTAGGGCCTCACATACTTTTTCCTCCCTGCACTGTGAATGTTTACATGTTATGTGCAATTAAACCATGGCAGCATCTAATGTTTGTGTAGTATTATGTTCAGCAGACTGTGTTCTTCTATTGTTGTGACTTAGATGACGTTCAGAGCACATTTTATGCCCAATTCATGCAAAACCCCACGTAATCCCAAAGGGTTCACATACTTTTTCTTGCAACTGTATGTGATTTTAGGTCTGTTTTTGTATTATCTCATACTGAGGTGATGGTGAACCAAGTCATTTACCTTAATTGTCCATATGTGTATTGTGTAATAAAATATAATTTTTGGAATTACTTCTAGTATCGCCTTCTGTCCATAATGTAACCGCTTTCTGTGAATCTCTTTTCACGTTCTCCCCTTTTTTTGACATAATGTGAGTGCATATTTGGTTGGGTTTATCCATTTTTTTTAATAAATATACTATACTATGAGACATTTCCCCTTCTGATTCTTGCTAATCTTGGCTATGGAGTAAATTGGGAGACCATTGAGAAGATTTACACTGATGTTCTAAACTCTTGGGTACACAAAGCATTAGACCTTCTTTTTAATTAAGAGGTCATGGATGGTTGGTGAGTGCAATATATTGTCTTATGGTGGTGGAGCACAAAGAATCTGTATGGAGCAATTTATTTGGCACCAGAAGATTATACACCATTGTTTTTGATCCACAACCTGGTGTGGAATTACTGTTCGTGTTTTTGTTTTTGACTTTGGACTCATTGAATTATATCACATTCAGGTCTTATATGTTCTTATCACAGTTGGAATATTGTTTACATAGTATACATGTATAGTGCCATGCCGTACTTTATTATATGGTCACAAGTGATTTTTCACTTTAAGGGGCAGCTAACATCTTTTGCATTATATTTTTATTAATTTTTTTTCTTTGTTGGCACACTAAATGGTTGAGTAGTAATTTATATTTTATTACACAGGGGATACGCTCTTTTGTAAGACAGTATATTTAAATGTTTTTGCATGCAAAGAGAAGGCGCTTAGTCTTCTCACCAAACCAATAATAACTGTATGAGGAAAATGTACTTACCCATAACCTGCTAAGAATCCTAAACTAGGAGGACTGACTTTATCACTGAAAACAATCAATTCCAAGCCAGTTTTGTTTGTGAAGTGCTTATGGGTTTGATTGAGGACCCACCATTCTTGAATACTACCTCCAGTAACATTTCTGTTTAGAGAAACGTTAATATTTACAAACTCTTGACCTGTCAATAAAGCACAGGATTTAAAACATTAGTGTTTTATTCACCTATATACAGAACTATGTGTTTATGCCCTGCCCTTATTTAAAAAGCTTACCTTTAAGGAGTTGCAGGATCGGTTTAGCAATAGAATCTTTTGGTGCTTTGATGTACCATGGATAAATTTTTTCAAGTGTTCTGAAGAATAAAATATTACAATATTATTGTGATGTATCTATCTGATGTACTTATACATTTGCATGCTGTATTTCACAATAGTTTTATTCTAAAACTACTACAAAAATTAGAAAAAAGTGGAAAAATGACTCAACAGCGCAGTGCCAGTAGTGAAAAAATTAATTTGCGTCAACTGGGCAAACTGTAGAACAAGAATATGCATAAGAGATGAATGCAGTTTTACTCTTTCTTCAGACTCATACTATTAGTTATTCCCCCATTGCTTACATTCCTGATTGGCTTGATCCTCCCCTCTAAAGCATGCACACATCACTCCCATACTTAAAAAGCCCTCCCTGGACCCCACCAACCTGAACAATTTAAGACCCATCTCCCTGCTCCCGTTTACCTCTAAACTCTTAGAACGCTTAGTCTACAATTGCCTGAGCTCCTACCACACTGACAACAGCCTTCTTGATCCTTTACAGTCTAGCTTTCGCTCACTCCACTCCACTGAAACTGCCCTATTAAAACTCACTAATGATCTACTAACTGCTAAAACCAATGGCCACTACTCCATACTCTTACTACTCAACCTCTCTGTGGCTTTTGATACGGTTGACCATCCCCTCCTCCTCAAAAAACTCCCCTCTCTTGGTCTCAGAGACTCTGCTCTCTCCTGGTTCTCCTCCTACCTATCGCAGCGCTCCTTCAGCGTTACATTTAACTCTGGCTGCTCCTCTTCACTCCCTCTTTCTATAGGGGTCCCTCAAGGTTCCGTCCTTGGGCCTATACTCTTCTCCATCTACACCTCCTCCCTTGGTCACTTGATAAACTCCCATGGCTTTAAGTACCATCTCTATGCTGATGACACACAAATCTATCTTTCTACCCCTCACCTCACCCCTTCAGTCTCCTCTCGCATTACTAACCTACTAAGCGACATATCGGCATGGATGTCACTACACTTACTCAAACTCAATCTTTTCAAAACTGAGCTCTTAGTATTCCTTCCAGCCTGTGCCCCCTCCCCTAACTCTCCATCAAAATCAATAACACAATCATCAGTCCCTCCCCTCATGCCAGGGTACTAGGTGTAATCCTAGACTCCCATCTGTCCTTTTAGCCCCAAATCCAAACGCTGTCCAAATCTTGTAGACTTCACCTCCGCAACATCTCCAAGATACGGCCGTTCTTAACCTCGGAATCCACTAAGCAACTTATTCACTCCCTTGTTATATCTCGCCTTGACTATTATAACTCCCTCCTCATTGGCCTACCTCATCGCAGGCTATCCCCTCTTCAGTCTATCATGAACGCTGCTGCCAGACTTATCCACCTTACTAACCATTCTGTATAAGCCACCCCTCTCTGCCAATCCCTCCACTGGCTTCCCATTGCCCAACGGATAAAATTCAAAACATTAACAATAACATATAAAGCCATTTATAACTCTGCCCCAAATTACATCAGCAATCTTGTCTCCAAATATCACCCAAACCGTACTCTCCACTCCTCATAAGACCTCCTGCTCTCTAGCTCCCTTGTCTCCTCCTCCCATGCTTGTCTCCAGGACTTCTCCAGAGCTTCTCCCATCCTCTGGAACTCTCTACCCCAATTTATCAGACTATCGCCTACTATGCTCACTTTTAGGCGATCTCTGAAAACCTATCTCTTCAGGGAAGCCTATCCTGCCCTCAGCTAATAATGGAATCTTCTACTCTTCCTACCAGTCCATCCCCCACAGTTACTACCTCTTGTACCACTAACCCCTCCCTCCTAGATTGTAAGCTCCAAGGAGCAGGGTCCTCCTATCCCTCTTGTATTGAACTGTATTGTTGCTGTATTGTCTCCCTTTATATTGTAAAGCGCTGAGCAAAATCCTGTATGATAATAATCCTCTACAGATCAGGCAAAACTGTGTACAGATATCTAGGCATATCAAAAATGAGCAAGGAAGATTATGTTCCAGAAATCTATTTGATCTATGTCAACTTATAAATTAAGAAAAAAATCAATGGGTTAGTCCATACCAAGGCCGCACATAGCTATGGGTTAAATGGCAGGCTTTTTCACCAATATTCTTCTTTTGCAGACAGCTGCACAGGAGCTGTGAAACTTTATTATGGACAGAGAAGATCTGGAGAGCTCATTGTGGGAGATTTTACAACTGAGATCTCAAAGTGGTTGGAATAGTATTTCAGGCCCATTTGTATGGCTGCCTGTAAACTTATCATGTTTCTTGAATGATAGTATACTCATACTCACACTGGAGTTGAAGCGTTTGATTTCATCATTTTGGCCAGGGATAATCGTGTTTCATTCGTAAGTGAAACTGTATGTTTATCACCTGTGACTTCTGCATTGGCTCCAAGACTCAAGTTCCTATGTGGGTGTACAGAAAATAAATAAGCCAACTATAAACAATGCACAGTATGCACATAAAAGTGCGCAATACCTTGAAACAACTTAAAATAATATACATTCATGACAGTTCAAAGCATAGCTGTTGCAATGATCATCATTGTAACAGCAAAGTGTAAAAGAAAAAATCCCTGGTCAACTCCCAGAGTAGTATAGGGTTACTATGGTGACACCGAACTACTCTGATAAAAGTATATAAAAAAATATAGTAAAAAATTAAAAAAGTTTTAAGAAGTTTAAATAAACTTGAAAAATATATGTAATAAAAAAACCTAGTGGTGATAAAATACCACAAACTGAATGCTGTATTTGTGTGATATAAATTTAATTTGCTTACAGTGTCGTATGACTGCACAATTGCCATATAAAGTAGTGCAGTGCTGAATAGCTAAAAAAATGGTCTGTTATGAAGGAAGCAAAACCTTCCAGAGGTCAAGTGGTTAAATAAAATAATTTAAGCAACACTTCTTGTAGATAAGTTTATGCTGTTAACAAAATTGATTTCTGACACCTATATTATTCCAGATTTATCAGTACTGCAAAAAAATGTTGAGTTTGAATTTGATGTTGCCAAAAGTTACAGAATAATTGTGATACGTATCCATACCTGTGAATAGTCCAAGAAATAACCAATGTGAATTCATGAGATAAATCTGCAATGCTTTCTATCATCATTGTTCTGCTTGGAGGGCTAATGGTCCATAGAGAATTTGAATTTCCTCCTTCTAGTTCTGCAGTAGTGATGTCTTCTGATCCATATCCTTCCATGAACTGAAGAGCAGACTGAAAGAATAAACAACTCTGTGTTACAATAGGCAGATACATCTTTAAATATGCACTAATTTAAGCCTCACCATAAACAAAACTCAGAACAAACAAATGAGAATTGTTTAGGGGCATCAAAGTGGTAGTAAAGTTGCTTTTTATATATTTTACCTACAGGTAAGCTTATAATAAAGCTTTCGTGTAGGTAAATTAAATATCTCTTAAACATTCACCGCTTAGGAGATATTCTACGGGAGCAGCAGCTGGTGACAATACCACTGCATGTGCTCTGAAGGAACGGAATACCCATGTCGTTCCTTCAGAGGTGTGTGCCATGGCCGAACATCATTGGCGGCCCAGCCATTCAAGCAGCCGCAGCCCGCGAACCCGGAAGGAAGACCGGGTAAGGATGGAAGCCTTCTGCAGTGATGACAGCGCGCCGTTGGAGAGCTTCGTTCTAAGGTAGGTCTTTCATAATGTGCTAGTATACAATGCATACTAGCACATTATGGTATTACCTTGCAGCAGGGAACTTTTTTTCTATTAACAAGTTTACTATCACTTTAAGGAAAGCTAGACATTGTCACAATTTTCACTGTGCTGCCTGTAAATTTAGAGCTCTGTTCCTCCATACAATATAAGTTATAATAAATTATACAGAAGGAGGCACAGTGCCCCTTTAACCATTTACACCATATCATTGTTGCTACTATGGAGTAGAGTAGAGCACAATACACTAACATTAACCTTATGCAGTCATAAAGTGTATTCTTTACCTTAACTGGGATGCTACATGACATTCAGCCTCATAAATAACAAGTTTATAGTCTTCTAATTCTAAAGCTGGCCATAAATGGTTAGTTGTTTTTTGTTCAGTCCTCTGCCTCCATCCACACAAATGGGGTGGATTGAGGAATCCCCCACCAGGACATTGTATTCTGACAGCAACTGAATGAAAAAAAAAAAAAAAACTGAATCATCCATCCACAGGACCCTAATGCTGACTGCTGTCAGACTACACTGATCAGTGGCTGCAACTGATTGGCTGTAGCTGCTGATTGGTGAAAAAATGTCCAACATGTCCCTTTGATGGAAGGCAATTATTATTATTATACAGGAGTTATATAGCGCCAGCAGTTTGCTCAGCGCTTTACAATATAACGGGGGACAATACAGCAACAATACAGTTCAATACAAGAGGGTTAGGAGGGCCCAGCTTCTTGAAGCTTACAATCTAGGAGGCAATTAAATAATACTACTCGACTACTACAACTCCCTCCTCATTGGCTTACCTTTACATAGGCTACCCCCCCTCCAGTCCATCATGAATACTGCTGCCAGGCTCATCCACTTTACCAACCGTTCAGTGTCTGCTACCCCTCTCTGCCAATCCCTCCACTGGCTTCCACTCGCTCAATGAATAAAATTCAAAATACTAACAACTTACAAAGCCATCCACAACTCTGCCCCAGCTACATCACCAACCTGGTCTCAAAATATAAACCAAACTGCTCTCTTAGATCCTCCCAAGACTTTCTGCTCTCTAGTTCCTGTGTCACCTTCTCCCATGCTCGCCTCCAGGACTTCTCCCGAGCTTCTCCCATCCTATGGAATTCTCTAACCCAATCTGTCCAGCTGTCTCCTAATCTATCCACCTGTAGACGATCCCTGAAAACCTCTCTCTTTAAAGAAGTCTATCCTACTTCTACTTAGTAAACCAACATTTATTTCCTCCATCAGCTCATCCCCCCCCCCACAGCTAATACCTTTTGTATCACTCAACCCTTCCTCCTAGATTGTAAGCTCTAACGAGCAGGGCCCTCTCTTTCCTCTTGTACCAAATTGCATTGTAACTGTAATGTCTGCCTTCATTTTGTAAAGCGCTGCGCAAACTGCTGGCGCTATATAAATCCTGTATTATAATAATAATAATAATATCAACGTCTATCAAGAACAGAGCCCACACACTGCTGGAACGACTACATTTTGATTAGTGTGTGGCCAACTTAATTCTTAATGCCAGTTCAATAGCGCAGTAAGCCATTGTAACCAATCAGAAGCCTTGCTGCCTTGTTTGGTGGCAATGGATCAATGTCAGTGTTCTTATTACATAAGATCATAAATTAATTATAAGTTAATTCAAGAAAAAATGGCCATGTGTAAAGTAAGCAGCTTATGGTAAGACTTCAAACATCAGCTCCAAGATTCTATACTTACAGTTTCCTTGTTTCTTTTAAAGGATGTGTACGCTCCCTCTGTCATAAATTTTAGCTGGTTTTGTTGAGCACTCATGGTAAAAATAGGCTGAAGGGAAAATACAGTCCATGAATATGTGATACTTTTTACTTACAATGTGAAAGAAAGAAATAATAAAGAAAAAAAAATTCTTATCACATCTACAACGTGATCTGATACATGCCCTGTTTAGGAGCAGTAACTACTTTAATATGTAAAATTATCTTTAGTATCATCCATTTATTCATTTTCCATCAGTTCAATTCTGAATGGGAGGAAGCAGGCTGGACAAGCCCGGCCAGAGTTCTCTTTGCCAGACCAGCTTTTTCTGGGTACCTTTCCCTGTAGCCTCTTACCAGTTGGACATGCTTATTACAGCTCTGAGGTGGTGTATGTGGGCAAAAGGGATAAGCAAATCTGCCTGAGTTTGACTCACAGGATATTCATTGAAAATGTGAATATTTGCTATATCATGGAGCATATCTAAAAGCATTAATTGTGCCTAACCAGTACCTTAAAGTCTCCCTTTGGTGTTGAATTACTCCTAAAAAGTGCATTTCCTGGTACGTGAGGGTGTCTAGGTATTCCGGTGTCTACAGTCTCATAGCTGCCTCTGACCGAAAGTCTCTGGAGATTTGGAGTGAGATTTGGTGAAGTCCCTACTGTGCTGCTCACGGTTCTCCTTGCTGATGGCTCTGACATGAGAAAATGGAGTTCTACCAAAACTCTAACAAGATGACTACTTCCATATAGAGACACAGAGCAAAACGAGACATGACATGGAGAAAGATCAGCTGCAAGGGGCCCACTGGCAACACTACAACAATATGCTATAATTTTTCTTTAACTGCTTCCCAACCGCCCTATAGCAGAAGTACTGCTACAGGGTGGCAATGATGCGCAAATCACATAAATATATATATATATACATGATTTTGTATTTCCGGGTAGGGGGGCACACACGCGCCCTCCCTACCCATGCCACTATTGGCTCCTCGGCATGTCAATCATTGATTCTTGGCCAGGACTTGGTGAACGTCAGCGGAGCCGACAGGAGAGGTCTGTATGAAAACAACACAAATCTCTTCCCTGTCAGCACGAACAGGCTGCTTTGTATTGCTCTGCACAGCAGAGCAACACAAAGCAGCTTGTCTACATAGTAAAAACACACATATGTAAAACACAACACAGCACACTGTTAACCCTCTGATAGCCCCAGATGTTAACCCCTACCTACCTGCCCAGTGTAATTAGTACAGTGTCAGTGCCTGTTGTTAGCAGTGATCACTGTATTAATGTCACTGGGATGTCATTGGCAGTTTGTCTGTCCCCCCCCCCAGTGTTAGAATGCCTGCCGCAGTCTCGCAGTCCCACAGTAAGTCACTGATCGCTGCCATTACTAGTGAAAAAAAAAATTCCAGTATATATACCGCCATTTGTAGGCGCTATAACTTTCATGTAAACCAATTAATTTACACATATTGGGATTTTTTTTAGCAAAGATGTAGCAAAATACATATTGGCCTAAATTTGTGACTAAATTTTATTTTTACATTTTTTTACTGGATTTGTTTTATAGCCAAAAGTAAAAAATATAGTTTTTTTTTCAAAATTGTCTGTCTTTTTTTGTTTATAGCGCAAAAAATAAAAACCGCACAGGTGATCAAATACCACTGAAAGAAAGCTCTATTTGTGGAAAAAAAAATTATTTGGGTGCAGCATTGCATTACCAAGCAATTGTCACAACACAGAGCCGTATCCCAAAAAATGGCCTGGTCAGGAAGGGGGGTAAATCCCTCCACAAGTGGTTAAAGTGGAACTTCACTCTCTCAATCACCATTGACTATTTTAATCCTTATACTTCCTGTTTCTTACATGAATCATTTGCGCTTACTCAAAATGACCAAGGCCAGAAATGCTAGGTGGTGTTTTTCAAAGTTATTTCTCAGCAAAATAAAGAATGGAGACACAGTTGGATGGGGGAGTTTGCTTTCTATATTAAAAATGAATTAAATAACATTTTTACTTTGCGTTGCTCAGATGCAGTGTAGTTCCACTTTAAGATTGGGTAACTTGGCTTAAATTTAGGTTCAGAAGGAATATGGTGACATCTAGCAGATCGACAAGCCAGCACCCAAGCTGAAATTGCATATCGCACATCACCTGGTGAGGGTGTCTTTTTATTTTATTTTTTTGGTTGAAAAAAAACATATAATACAATAGCTGTACGGGTCATTTTTAAAACAACATCACTGATGAGCTTACTTGATATCCTCCCAGGGTGATTTTGATAGAGACATCCAAGGGCTTGTTTGTGACTCCAGCAACTGACTTTATTAAAGACATGAACAATAGCGGGAACCAGACAATACAAATCAGAAGAACCACAATCATGCCGCCCATTCCATACTTCACAACTTTTTTCTTTTTCTGACCACGTGGCTGAGGATATCTCTATAGAAGCACAATTTCAAATGTTAAAATACAAGTATAATGCCATACCATCAATATCAAAATATTTCTTATCGGTTTTAGAATATGGTGAGAAAGGTGTTTTTAGCTCTCTGTATTATGCACATGCAATAAATACAAATGTTGGACTATTTTGTGGCTGTTACGCATTTACACTGTTGTATTGCGATATGTGTGCGTTACTGTGCACATTACTGCAATACAAGGCAGTACTATTCATTTTTAACCCTTTCTCACCTGCGTCCTTTATTAAAGTTTTGAATGCTGAGATGGGGAAGGGGCGGGAAACATTGGGTTATCACATGACCAGTGTGATTGGCTGTCACAGTGCATTGTCAATATTTCCATTGAACATGTTCCTGAACATAGGCTCATCGGTAGCAGGTGCTGTAGCAACTATCAGCTGGAGACTGGGCTTGTCATGAAACGCACATATTTGCCAGCACACCATGGATCATCAGTTCAAAACTTTTATTGCAGAAAGATCACATCACAAAAGACCAAGTGCAACATTTCAAAAATGTGCAGGATCACTCCGTATGCATGTGATAAGATCACATTATCACATGCCTGGCGAAGGGGTTCTGCTTGGCACCAAAACGTTACACTTGGTCCTTTGTGATGTGATCTTTCTGCAATAAATGTTTGGTACATTATCTGATGATCGATGGTGTGCTGTTGAATATGTGCGTTGTTTCATGGCTGTCATAGTGGTCACATGATCGGGAGTCAGTCCTGCTGGCTACTGATCACAAGCTGGGACCAAGAGTTGGTTTTCACAGCTTGGTCTCTGTGCTAGGTAGGAGTGCGCACTGAGCGTGCTCTCAGCACAGAAACATTAACTACCCAGCAATGCATATGTGCGGCATGTGAGTGTTAAAGCCCACTCTATTGCTGCTGCTTGTCTTTGGGATTAATGGCACCCCAACTTACCTTGCCAATGCAGTGCACCACAACACACAGTAACGCAGTACTGTACATATGCTGTGTTGCACAAATGTAGGCATGTCCCTTTTTTAGTGCATCCTGTTGTGTTGCCAGTCCATTTAAATAACTTGGCTATCTTAGCTTGCCATGTTACAATAAGTGAGCATTATTGCAATTCACCAGGCCGCAACACTGTGTGAATGGACCTGCCAACATCAGTGTGTTGTGCACTGTGCTAAAATCAATGGAACACGGTGTGGTGTGTTGTGATGCTGTATATTTTGAATGGCACTCCAACATCACACCTGCATTGCAGTGCATTAAACACTTGTGCGTTTACTGTACCGCAGAGATGTGACTCTCCTCCTAGGGGACACATACTACTAGTCTGTTGGTCACCTTTTAAATCCTTAAAACAAACACATCAGCTGCATTCTGAACTTGCTAAGAATGTTAAAGACAAAATTAAAGGCAAATGCATCGAGAAGAATAATAATTTTTTTTCCCTTTAGCTGGTAATATTCTATCACACATTCCCATTATTTTTTAAATTGTATACTGACAAGACATACATTACCTTTTCAGATTCACGCCAACATTTCAGTATAAATATATGAGCATAAATATCTTCCACACAGATCCAGCTGGAAAGGCTGAGTGTGGTGTCAGTCCATACCCAATCCATGACAGCTCGCAGCTCAGTTAAAAATGGCACCAAGCGAAACCTGAGGAAAGACATCACAAATCATTCGAACGATAGAAAGCTCTACTTGCTGTGCAGAAAAGGCTTAATTTCTTCTTGTTAATCTTTTGTAAAACTCAACATATATGATGTTACTTACCACATACAGTATATGTCTGCTAGGTTCAATTTTACTTTCTACTGAAGCTGAACTTCAGGCAAGCAGCTAATTGCACAGAAGAATTACATTTAAAGGAGATCTTTTACCTGACTTAAGATTTGTATTTCTGCCATTCAGTCCTAGAATTTACACCGTGTTCCAAATTATTATGGAAATTCTCTTTAAGTGTCACAAAGATTAAATATTTAGTTTTTCAGTTTAACTCATGGATGGCATTGTGTGTCACGGCTCTTTTGATCACTGAAAACAATCTTGGACACCTGTGATAATTAGATTGGCCGGTGAGCCCAATTTAAGGAAAAACTACTAAAGGAGGGTGTTCCACATTATTAAGCAGAGCACCATTTTCAAGCAATATGGGGAAGAAAAAGGATCTCTCTGCTGCCCAAAAGAGTGAAATAGTTCAATGCCTTGGACGAGGTATGAAAACATTAGATATTTCACGAAAACTTAAGCGTGATCATCGCACTATTAAGAGATTTGTGGCTGATTCAGAGCACAGACGGGTTTGTGCAGATAAAGGCACATTGAGGAAGATTTCTGCCAGATCCATGCATCAGATCAAGAGAGCAGCTGCTAAAATACCATTACATAGCAGCAAACAGATATTTGAAGCTGCTGGTGCCTCTGGAGTCCCACGAACATCAAGGTGTAGAGTCCTCCAGAGTCTTGCAATTGTGCATAAACCTTCTATTCGGCCACCAATAACCAATGCTCACAAGCAGAAACGGCTGCATTGGGCAGAAAAATACATGAAGACTAATTTTCAAACAGTCCTGTTTACTGATGAGTGCCATGCAACCCTGGATGGTCCAGATGGAGAGAGTAGTGGATGGTTGGTGGACGGCCACCCTGTTCCAACAAGGCTGCGATGTCAGCAAGGCGGTGGTGGAGTCATGTTTTGGGCCGGAATCATGGGAACAGAGCTGGTCGGCCCCTTTAGTGTCCCCGAAGGTGTAAAGATGACCTCTGCAAAGTATGTGGCGTTTATGACTGACCACTTTCTTCCCTGGTACAGAAGGAAGAACTATGCTTTCCGTAATAAAATCATCTTCATGCATGACAATGCACCATCTCATGCTGCAAAGAATACCTCTGCATAAATGGCTGCTATGGGGATAAAAGGAGAGAAAGTCATAGTGTGGCCTCCATCCTCCCCTGACCTCAATCCTATTGAGAACCTTTGGAGCATCCTCAAGCAAAAGATCTATGAGGGTGGGAGGCAGTTTACATCCAAACAGCAGCTCTGGGAGGCTATTCTGACATCTTGCAAACAAATTCAAGCAGAAACTGTCCAAAAACTCACAAGTTCAATGGATGCAAGACTTGTGAAGCTGCTATCAAATAAGGGGTCCTATGTTACAATGTAACGTGACCTGTTAAAATGTTTAAAAAGTTAAAATGTTGTTAAAAGTTTGATTGAAATAGCTTTGAATTCAGTAAATATGCTGCAAACACAACAAATGACAATGTTCAGTTCTTTACAACCTATAAAGTGTTTTGAAACTTACTGTGCGTAATAATTTGGAACAGTGCATTGGAAGTGTTTTATGTTTAAAAAAAATACTGTTATCATTAGGAGGTTTGTTCAATAAAATTTGAATTGTACTCTTAATAGTTGATAACATGAGAATTATGCTGACTGGTATTTACATCAATTATGTAGGTAAATGAGAAAAATATCATTTGCATAATAATTTGGAACACAATGTACACAACCCAGCCAGACAGCTCAACCAGTGGAGACCTTTCTTTTCTCTATCACTGTGATGCAACTAGGTCTTGTCCTTCTTCCAGCTTTTCTATGTCAATGTTTTTATTAATTTATAAACAGTTTAAGACAGGAGCAACAAAACACGACCACGCAGGGGCTATCAATTGCACATATAAAAAAACAGTGCTCTAACACCAACAGAGCAAAAGGTGCGCCCATGCAGGGGCTATCAATGGCACATAAATTACAAAAACATTAGTATATAACACCTACAGTAACTCAAACTAAAGGCAGCTATCAACTGCCACACCAAAAACAAACATAAAAAGAAAAGGAAAGAGGAGTACAAAAGGAAAAAGATAACAAGACCAAGAGCAGGGGTCCAAGAACGCCAATACCCTTCTCCCAGCTTTTAATTAGACAGTGAAAGAGAAGCAGAAGCAGCCAACTAATGAGCTCATAAAACTCTCACTCCTGTCAGCATGTTCCTTGTTAGCACATAAGCACTGCAGCACAACTGCCTGGCTGTCATTGCTTCTTCTCCCTGTCTCAGTTTGAGCTCCGCTATACAAGGATTTTAAGAGGCTGACATGAAGCTAAATTTAATTACCTACACAAGTAGTTTTTAAAAATACACTTTGGGGTTGATTTACTAAAGCTGGAGAGTGCAAAATCTGGAGCAGCTCTTCACAGAAGCCAATCAGCTTCCATTTATTGTCAAAGCTTAATTGAACAAGCTAAGGTTAGAAACTGATTGGTTACCCCATGCACAGCTGCACCAGATTTTGCAATAGTAAATCAACCATATCGCCTTGTCATTCAGCTTTAATTGTTTTTGGCTCATTCTTCACACTAGTAGAAAATTACAGCTAAAATCTTTGCTTCCTTAAGGCCACAATACCTCATACATAGCAGATTTGCTTTTGTACAAATTAAACCTGGAACTGTTCATTTGTTTAATGCATTATTTACATAGTTACATAATTAATCTGGTTGAAAAAAGATACAAGTCAATCCAGTTCATTCAACAGAAAAAAAAATACACACACACACACACAAACACCACACACAAATAGAAAACCGCCATATACACTATCCAACACCTACAGTTGATCCAGAGGAAGTAAAAAAACCCCAATAAAGAATGACCCAATTTGATCTAGTGGGTTTAAAAAAATGTCTTCCTGGTCCCCCTAGAGGTAATCGGATATTCCCTGGATCAACTATTATCTATACATATTAGAATCAATTTATATTATAGGCATTTAGAACAGAATCCAAGCATTTCTTAAAAAATCTACTGAACTGGCCAGAACCAACTCTTGAGGGAGTCTATTCCACATTTTCACAGCTCTCACTGTGAAGTAACCTTTCCGTACTTGGAGATTAAATCTCTTTTCCTCCAGACATAAAGAGTGCCCCCTTGTCCTCTGTAATGACCCTAAAGTGAATAACTACACCAAGTTCACTATATGGACCACTTATATATTTATACATGTTGATCATATCCCCCTTAAACTCCTCTTCTCAAGAGAAAATAAATGCAGTTCAGCTAATCTTGAACTGAACATGAATTGGTGCCCAAAACTGAACTGCATATTTCAGGTGAGGTGTTACTAATGATTTGTACAGGAGCATGTCTATCTCTCTGCAGTCCATGCCTTTCATATACAGGTGAAACTCAAAAAATTAGAATATCGTGCAAAAGTTCATTTATTTCAGTTATGCAACTTAAAAGGTGAAACTAATATGAGATAGACTCATTACATGCAAAGCAAGATAGTTCAAGCCATGATTTGTCATAATTGTGATGATTATGGCTTACAGCTCATGAAAACCCCAAATCTACAATCTCAGAAAATTAGAATATTGTGAAAAGGTGCAATATTCTAGGCTCAAAGTGTCCCACTCTAATCAGCTAATTAAGCCATAACACCTGCAAAGGGTTCCTAAGCCTTTAAATGGTCTCTCAGTCTGGTTCAGTAGGAATCACAATCATGGGAAAGACTGCTGACCTGACAGTTGTGCAGAAAACCATCATTGACACCCTCCATAAGGAGGGAAAGCCTCAAAAGGTAATTTCAAAAGAAGTTGGATGTTCCCAAAGTGCTGTATCAAAGCACATTAATAGAAAGTTATGTGGAAGGGAAAAGTGTGGAAGAAAAAGGTGCACAAGCAGCAGGGATGACCGCAGCCTGGAGAGGATTGTCAGGAAAAGGGCTAGAGCCACCACACACAGACGGATCCTGGACATGGGCTTCAAATGTCGTATTCCTCTTGTCAAGCCGCTCCTGAACAACAAACAACGTCAGAAGTGTCTTACCTGGGCTAAAGAAAAACAGACCTGGTTTGTTGCTCAGTGGTCGAAAGTCCTCTTTTCTGATGAGAGCAACTTTTGCATCTCATTCGGAAACCAAGGACCCAGAGTATGGAGGAAGAATGGAGAGGCACACACTGCAAGATGCTTGAAGTCCAGTGTGACGTTTCCACAGTCTGTGTTGATTTGGAGAGCCATGTCATCTGCTGGTGTTGGTCCACTGTGCTTCATTAAGTCCAGGGTCAACGCAGCCGTCTACCAGGAGATTTTGGAGCACTTCATGCTTCCTTCCGCAGACGAGCTTTATGGGGATGCTGATTTCATTTTCCAGCAGGACTTGGCACCTGCCCACACTGCCAAATCACCAAAACCTGGTTCAATGACCGTGGGATTACTGTGCTTGATTGGCCAGCAAACTTGCCTGACCTGAACCCCATAGAGAATCTATGGGGCGTTGCCAAGAGAAAGATGAGAGACATGAGACTGAACAATTCAGAAGAGCTGAAGGCCGCTATTGAAGCATCCTGGTCTTTCATAATACCTCAGCAGTGCCACAGGCTGATAGCTTCCATGCCACGCCGCATTGAGGCAGTAATTGCTGCAAAAGGGGCAAAAACCAGGTACTGAGTACATATGCATGCTTATACTTTTCAGAGGTCCGATATTGTTCTATGTACAATCCTTGTTTTATTGATTGCATGTAATATTCTAATTTTCTGAGATTGTGGGTTTGGGGTTTTCATGAGCTGTAAGCCATAAACATCACAATTATGACAAATCACCGCTTGAACTATCTTGCTTTGCATGTAATGAGTCTATCTCATTTATTAGTTTCACCTTTTAAGTTGCATAACTGAAATAAATGAACTTTTGCACGATATTCTAATTTTTCAAGTTTCACCTGTAAATCATTTTAATGCAAAGATGTAACTGGTGCTGCTGCACTCTGGCCTGCTCAGGTTTGACTACCCCCAACCCAAAATCAGCAAGTCATTTTCTAACAGCCCCCTTTATACATTTTCCATTAATAATCTATAATTCATGTACTCTTGGCACACGGGTGAGCAATACTATGGCTGCACTTGCTTTTTGTAAACCTGTCTGGAGAGAAAAAAAAAATAGGGGGGAGGGTTGCCATTGCTGGCTTGCTGGCTGTTATACTAACCCACTGGCTGCAATACTTAGGGCTATATTTACAGTATAAATGTTTTTTTTTTTACAAAGTTCTTACAACTTTTGCCCAGGATTGACACATTTTTACAAATGAATCCTAATAGAAAAAATGTGTTAATCTTGTTTGAAAATAGTTATAGAGCTCTAGTGTTCCTTCTGGAAAAATTAAGCAGCATGTTCATTGTTAGAAAATGTTCATGCAGTATACCTGGTTTCAAGTCAAATTCAGGTACTAACACATGCTACAGTAGGGATCGAAAGTTTGGGCACCCCAGCTAAAAAAAAATTTGTATTAATGTGCATAAAGAAGCCAAGGAAAGATGGAAAAATCTCCAAAAGGCATCAAATTACAGATTAGACATTCTTATAATATGTCAACAAAAGTTAGATTTTATTTCCATCATTTACACTTTCAAAATAACAGAAAACAAAAAAATGGCATCTGCAAAAGTTTGGGCACCCTGCAGAATTTATAGCATGCACTGCCCCCTTTGCCAAGCTGAGACCTGCCAGTGTCATGGATTGTTCTCAATCATCATCTGGGAAGACCAGCTGATGTCAATCTCAAAGGTTTTAAATGCCCAGACTCATCTGACCTTGCCCCAACAATCAGCACCATGGGTTCTTCTAAGCAGTTGTCTAGAAAACTGAAACTTAAAATAGTTGACGCTCACAAAGCTGGAGAAGGCTATAAGAAGATAGCAAAGCGTTTTCAGATGTCAATATCCTCTGTTCGGAATGTAATTAAGAAATGGAAGTCATCAGGAACAGTGGAAGTTAAAAGCAAGATCTGGAAGACCAAGAAAAATATCAGACAGAACAGCTCGCAGGATTGTGAGAAAAACAATTCAAAACCCACGTTTGACTGCACGATCCCTCCAGAAAGATCTGCCAGACACTGGAGTTGTGGTACACTATTCCACTATAAAGAGATACTTGTACAAATATGGTCTTCATAGAAGAGTCATCAGAAGAAAACCTCTTCTACGTCCTCACCACAAAAATCATCGTTTGAAATTTGCAAATGAACATATAGACAAGCCTGATGCATTTTGGAAACAAGTTCTGTGGACCGATGAGGTTAAAATTGAACTTTTTGGCCAGAATGAGCAAAGGTACATTTGGAGAAGAAGGGGCACAGAATTTAATGAAAAGAACCTCTGTCCAACTGTTAAGCATGGAGTTGGATCTATCATGCTTTGGGGTTGTGTTGCAGCCAGTGGCACAGGGAACATCTCACGAGTAGAAGGAAAAATGGATTCAATAAAATTTCAGCAAATTTTGGATGGTAACTTGATGCCATCTGTGAAAAAGCTGAAGTTAAAGAGAGGATGGCTTCTACAAATGGATAATGATCCTAAACACACCTCGAAATCCACGGGGGATTACATCAAGAGGCGTAAACTGAAGGTTTTGCCATGGCCTTCACAATCTCCTGACCTCAACATAATTGAAAATCTATGGATAGACCTTAAAAGAGCAGACAGGCCAGAAATCTCAAAGAACTGGAAGACTTTTGTAAGGAAGAATGGGCAAAGATACCTCAAACAAGAATTGAAAGACTCTTGGCTGGCTACAAAAAGCGTTTACAAGCTGTGATACTTGCCAAAGGGGGCAGTACAAGATATTAACTCTGCAGGGTGCCCAAACTTTTGCAGACACCATTTTTTTGTTTTCTGTTATTTTGAAAGTGTAAATGATGGAAATAAAATCTAACTTTTGTTGACATATTATAAGAATGTCTAATCTGTAATTTGATGCCTTTTGGAGATTTTTCCATCTTTCCTTGGCTTCTTTATGCACATTAATACAAATTTTTAGCTGGGGTGCCCAAACTTTCGATCCCCACTGTATATATATGCTTTATACTGAATTATTATTACAGAGCTGTATTAATTTGTGTCTTTTATATCTGCATTGAGTTAAGCTTTAAAAGACCTCCCATTTTCTTAAATGTCTGCAATGCAGAATGCATTGGTGGAGTTTCCCACAATAATTTGGGTCTCCAACCCTTTTCACATTATCTTGATGAACTCTGTAATTAACCTAGGAATGATTATGAAAAATCTATTGGGGGAATATAATACAATCTTTTCCCCTTGCAATGAACAGGAAAGTTGGGTGGAATGATATTCAACGTGTTTCACCTGGTTTAAACTTTGACTGTTTGAGCTCACCCTAAGTAACCCGTAAATCAAATAAACAAAAAGCAGACTTTTTTCTGCTGAGTGCACCACTATGTTTATTCATTATGGGGAACTGCATATCATAGCAATTGTTACTAAAAAATAGCTTGCGTGTATGTACAGACAAACATGGTGATAATAAAATGAATATTACAGTGCAATCTAATTGCTGATACTTACCCTTGGAATAGGAATAGATTGACATAATTGTAGCTCTTTGTCAAGAAGTTACCAAGCACACGTGTAGGATATCCACAACGAATCTGATATGCAGAAAGTCCAAAGTAGATACACTTCACAAAATACCACAGTTGGGCAACAGTATTCTGGCTGAACTTCCTATACAATATCAAAAACAAATGCGCCCCATTATTATCATATAACAATTGTATTGAAACTATTGATAAGCCAGGATATAATTTCCATAGATACCTTTCTGTTACGCCTGGCAGAATGAAAAACATCCAAAAATGTATTCCAAATACCAAGATGACTTGGAAAATTACTTTTCCCATGACAGTTTTTCTAAGATAGAGTGCGCGATCCACAACCATGGTACCAAACTGGATCAACACCATCACTAAAAATGCCTCCGGAACCTGGTCTTCTGACAATGATGAAGTGATGTCTGCTGCCGCTGAATGTTTCTGAGAGCATAAATACAAGATTAGATCCTTACTGGAGAACTGCACCATTCACATGACTTTTTATGTTACCAACATCTCTAATCTTCCTAGTGTTGCATTGAATGAACCTATCTTTGTTGAAATGAAGGTGCTACCATTTCCACCTTAAGGAAGTTTTCTAGTTCCCTGAGTTTCATTTTTATCTTCTGGACTCAATACTGAATGCAGAGTTCTAAACCAGGGTATCTTTCCGAAGCAAAATGATGAGGGATTGGATCTAAGTGACGAATAATTAGAAACAAATGAAACAAGATTTTTTAATCCTGTAATCAAAGTGTAGATATTACCTTGATGTGTCAGATGACAAGCCAGTAACCTTGTCAGTAATTGTACCTGGATTCAACATTTTATTTGCCCAAAAACAATAGCATATTGGGCAATCCACTGGTTGATCATGGAAAAGGTTAAGAACCTCTGAATTAAAGGATAATTATACACAAGAACATAAATGTAATATACTGCAGTGCACCAGTCCTTAGATCTGGTGATCATTTTTACAAACCATGGATTTCCCAGCACACTTACAAGCCAGCCTGCAAAACAACAATTTGGCCCTGTCTAGCAGTTTGTGTTAAATTGGGCCAAATTGGTTGTTTTGCAGGCTGGCTGGTAAGTGTGCTGGGAAATCCTTTGTTTGTTTGTGATATGCATTGCCCTTCCATGTGCACATTGGTCCTAAGGCTGGTTATAAGTTGGGACGGTGGGGATTTTTTTGTACAACTATCTGAATTGGATGCAGGGATGCACTGGATGCCTTTGCTGTCATTTTGCTATAGCTGGGCATCACATGCATCCCTGTGCCTATAAGGAAGGGCGGACTCCCTCCAGGCACACCTGCCCTTAACTTATCAATTAATATATGTGCTTCCACTGTGGAGGCTCTGGAAATTTTAGCGTTCGGTCCGCAGTATACAGAGGACCCTTGACACGGGGCTGCGACTTATGTGTGTATTTGTAAATGTGTGCAAACAAAACCCTCTGTTATTAACGCAAACTGTTAGACAGGGCCAAATTGGTTGTTTTGCAGGCTGGCTGGTATGTGTGCTGGGAAATCCTTTGTTGTTTGTGATGGGTATTGCCATTCTATGTGCACCTTGCTGCTAAGATTGGTTATAGGTTGATATGGTTGCCATTTTTTTAAACAGTTGTAAGAACATATTTTCAGCAAGTACAGAATACTTTTTGATTTTGCCAGAAATGCAGCGTCCCTGTCACATACTGTGAGCTGACCCAGAAGCAAAAAAACAGTCTTATCTTACTTGTACAGTATAAAGTACTAGTCCTATCAAACCCTTTGTAATGGAAATGAACAAAGACAGACATATTTGAAGACCAGCCTGGGTGACAATCATGGTTGGCTTTATAGATACAGTGCAGGAGTGAACATACACACCCAGGAAAAGAAAGTATGCTATTCACAGGATTACCAAGTGAAAAAGCCTCATAAAAAAGGAGAATTAATGCAGTCACCACATCTATGGACTAGAAAGATACACTATATTACATTTTTTAATGAGTTTAAATATTCAGTGCAGTATGCAGTTTATGAGTTGTACTGTGCCTTATTTGTACTGGACTTATGGTTCACCAAGCAGTGCAAAATTACAGCTAGGCAACAATTGTTATCTCATTCATTTTTGACATTTCCCATTTCTTACCTGGCCGAACAACTTTATCAAATAACAAAGGAGGCAGCTTATGGACTACAATGAATAAATAGTTCTAGTTTTGTCCCAGTTTTCTTTATATCATCTGTAAATTGAACACTTTATTGGAGGAGATGAAACAGTGAGGGGTACTGAAGCAGACATTTTTGTGCACAAGGGCTTGGGCTAGTTATAACACCTCCACTTTCATACCCTGCTACATCAGGCATATCAACGTTAGTAATTGAATAAGTGCAGTGCTCCAAAAGAGGGATGCTATGTGACCAAAATGAGTCAAAAAATATATATACATAATATAATTGAGTACTGTCCGTGATACTTTTTTTATTTGCACTAACATACAATTTTGAGGACAAGCTTTTGGGGAATGTCCCCTTCTTCGTAAATGCAAATAAAAAAAGTATCATGGACAGTACTAAATTGTTTCTGTCGCAAATGCACTAATACGGCTACAATCAACTTATACATAATATAAAAACCCATTGATTTCCCATCTATTTATAGTACCTTGAAAAAAAATATTAATGATCCTTCTGATTATGAACCTTACTATGGTGAAAAAATGTAACTTAAAACCAATACAAAATATGCTATAGTGCTATATAAAGTGCTAATAGTTGTAAAAACGAAACTTCCTATAGGAAACAACCTTTAAATAAATTAATTATAAAAACATATGTAACTTGCCCAACTTTACAAATAGCCAATAGTGATTAAAGTGCCATTCATTCAAAAAAATGCTTGAAAATAAGTCCTTGTTAATCATCCAGTTGCAGTTCAAATTAGGTGATGGCCTCCAAAGTGTTATGGTATCACACGGCACACTTGTGCCAAAAATACTAAAATAAGGAGAAGATCTGGCCATATTTTGAGTTTTTTTATTGCAGATCTGCTGATCTATTCATCCCTGATCCTGTTTACCTGTGAAAAAGAAAAGGAGAGGATCTGTGCAGTATTGGATTGCATCTATAAAATGCTATATGACCTACCTATTAACATAGGAGGTCACTTTGATCTGGTGAGTGTGCATTTTGGGACTGAAGCACCAGAGGAAGGGGCACTATTTACACAATGGCTTTTTTTTTTTTTGCACAAGTGTGCAGTGTGATACCATAACACTTTAGAGGTCATCAACTAATTTGAACTGACTTTGGATGATTCATAAAGATTTGTTTTCAATCACTTTTTTTTAATGAATAGCACTTTAATCACAATCTATAGACAGCAGCTGGGGAAAGAAATAAAAACAAAATATTCAGGTAATTATTGCAAAGGGAGCGCAAATTACAAATTAAGTTTGTATCATCTTTATTAAACTGGGTGTCACTTAAGATATCCAAATGTGAGGTGTATTTTGCTTTATTTCTACCACTTTAAACATATTTGGGTCTACAACTGGCCACAAACATTGGAATACAGCCAGATGTGCATCTATGTGTTGATGTCAAAAAGTGTGGCTTCTTCCATAAACAAGAACACTTCAGCCACCTTAGTTGTTCTGTTTAAGCATGGATGCAGAGCAGAGGCAGCAAAACCTGTCTGTCTTGGCGCCATCTTATTTGTTGGAAAGCAATGTTTGGTTAAGGCTTAATAACCCTTATGATCCTGTGAACCCCACCCCCCCCAACATTCTGAAGGTGACCTATGGTCACCACGCCAACACCTAATTCAGCCAAAAAAAGGATCAGATAAATGGATTGTCATCCAATGTCTATAGGCACCTTGATCCTTTGCTGGTTTATTCATTCATTTAACAAAAACAATATTATCTGACATTTCCAAACATAGTTAACACATCCTAAAATGTATAAGGTATCTTGCACAATATGCTATTAATTTGACTTGTGTTACCAGAACAAATCTGGTACCTTTATTAGTATAATAACTTACTCCAAATGCCCAGAAGCCAAACACAATAATGATGAAGTCTACTGTGTCTGCCAGAAACATTAACACATAGACATCTGTCACAGCACTGTAGTCTGGATGAATGAGATTGTAGAAGAACTGTCGGATTGGCAAGTATATTTGAAGGATTCTGGAAAGAAATGCAGGAATAACCCATTATCAGTTAGGAGTATATAGTATTTTTCTGCTCTGTTCTCAGTTGTTTTGTAGGTGTAAAGCATGCACAGCTTGTTCAGAAATATATGATGCAATGTGACACTGAATTATGAATAAAAGTGCAGTTGTTTACAACAAGAAAACATACTTCCCAAGGTCTTAGTAGAACTGACTAACAAAAACTGGAGCAAAGACAGAGCTGTTACTCATAAGAACAAATCAAATTTCTTGCTGCGTTTGATGAAAGCTGATTGTTTGCCAAAGGTAACTTTATTTTTGCTTTTATTTTCTTCTTTCCAGTTTATGTAAATCAGCCCCCATTGCATCTGATAGAAAATGGAAATGAAAGCTTTTCCCCTAAAACAGTATTCCTAAGCTGAACACAAAGGATTTAGTATATTTTTATAGTATGTTTAGCAAAATATATAGAAAGCTTTTTTGTTTTACAGCAATGAAAACTGTATTGTTTAAAGAGGATGCAGATGATGCACCAGCATTTTTTTTGTGTACAACCACCAAGATTAAAAATATTGCAATATCAAGCTTCTTACGTCTTAATAGTAAATGCTTTTGCTTTGATGAGTTGCTCTCGAAGTTTTTCCATAAGCAATTCTTTTCTGGATTTTTGTTTCACACTTAGTATGCTACTACCTTTCTGGCTGCTGTTTCGTGTGCTGGTGCTACCTTTAATGGAAACAGATTGCAACAATAATTAATTTTTTTTTAAACAAGTACCCCAGGGCCAGGGGCAGACTGACAACTCATGGGGCCCCTGGGCAATAGGGGATCATGGGGCCCCTGTGTCCTTGCCCAAACTCAAAAAACCCTATGAAAAAGATACCAGGGGCATCTCATGGGGCCCCCTACCGACCCTGGGCCCTCGGGCAGTGCCCAAGTTTCCAAATGGTCAGTCCGCCCCTGCACAGGGCTTAAAATTTCAAGTCCTGAGCTACTAGCCAGGCCTTAGAGTTACTCGCCACCAACAAACACACACAAACAGAGACACCTGTACCCACATACAGACATGTACATACACACACACATACACACACAGAAACATGTACACACACAGAGACACATGTATACACACACAGGCATGTACAGACATGCATACACACAGATACATGTACATACACAGAAATGCACACGCACAGACATGTACATACACACAGACACATGTACATACATACACAGACACATGTACATACATACACAGACACATGTACACACAGACACATGTACGTACATACACACAAACACACACACATATGTACGTGCACACACACACAGACACATGTACTCACACATACATGTACATACACGCAGACACATGTACAGATACACACATGTACATACACACAGACACATGTACAATTGTACATGCATACACAGACAAACACACACACATGTACACGCACACACACACACCACCCCCATAAAAAGTTGCAGTACTTCGTTGTTCACTCACAGAGCCAGGTACTGCACTCTAGGGGGAGGCAGAGAGCACAGCACACACTCCTTGCTTTGCTTTCACTGCGCTCAGCTATTGAGCAGTCTGCGGCTCCCAGTGCCAATGACAGACCGGCCTGAGCTCCCAGCCTGCTCAGCAAGACGGCCCTGGGGGACACACTCGCCCCCACCATAATTTCCACTCACAGGTGACTGGAAATTTCAAGCCCTGTTATATATTATTTATATACTGTACAAAAATATTACCAACGTATTAGAGTATAATGATTAAAATGCTTGATATAAAATCTAACAACCAACAAACCTGTATAAATGATACTCTGCCTTTAAAGAACACTTGTTGGTTGAATTATTCAGTGTTTTAAAAAGTCATATTCATCTAAATTTTGTTATGATCTCATGTCTATGAGTAGTCCTGTTTAGTATAATTCAGTTGAACAGGTTAGAAATTGTGGCCTAATCACTAGGGTACCCCTTGATGTATTGGTGCTCGCCTCTCCTCTTTACTTTTCTGCAACAAAAGTGTATTGAAATTTGCTGTTTTATTCTTATATGATTACATAAGCATGAAATACAATAAGTTGGCCTTCAGCGTTGCATATATATACATACTCCAATAGGTACACATTTGAGACAAAGACAATGTGCTCACAATGTGCTAAAATATACACAGATTACAAAGGCTGAAATAAATGGAAATTATTATTAAATATTATACAGGACTTTTATATCGCCAGCAGTTTGCGCAGCGTTTTATAACATGAGGGTTGCTGGAAATAAAAGCACTTATGTTACTACTATTACTCTGTCTGTTTAAAGGGTCAGACCACCCAAAACTGATGTTTCATTTTCTAGTAGATGACGATTTAAATCACCTGACAATTTCTTAAATCTCATTATTGGTAAAATAGCCAAGGTCCTGGATCTAAGACCTACTGGGGCCATTATAAGGTGTTTACAATTTCCCTTTGAATAGAAAGCAGTAAAACATGTTCTAATATATTCTTTTAGTTCTTCTTAAGAACAGGAATGTTTATTAGTGTGAGTATGCATTCCTGTTGATCTCAATCAGTCCTAAGTGGGATGGATTGAATTTACCATGATTAAATAAATAAAAGGAAAGCATTGTCTGCATTAAACCTTCCTGGTTTAACATTATAATTTTCTCCAAAATTTGCTGCAAAATATTTACCTCTCTTGGATCTGTTGTGTGAGGAGTTACTGGACCTGCGAGAAATTTGGGATCCACTGCCAGAACTAGTTCTTCTTACAAATGTCTTCTCTTCTGGGAAGTGAACGTGGATAGACTCTGCAGAGGCTGCGAGATTGACTGATTTCAGTGATCCAACAGAATCCCTTCTTCCAGAAGCTTCTGAAATCTCATCATCTGATTCATCCTTGTGGGTGGCATTGTCGATCACCTTGTCCTCATCCCAAAGACCATGACACTTAAAGAAATACATAGTGGCTAAGTTATTAATAAGCAACTAATGTTACACTGTTGTCAAAACAGTCATACAAACATACAAACTAATTACTGTATTAAATAAATATGGTTCCCAATTTTTGCATTCATAATAACAAACTATACAGTTATAAAGTTAAAAAAGGTAAAAATAAAAACAGGCACACTAATAACATCATTAAAATCATACTGATCTCTTTTACCTATGCAAAATACCCAGAAAGTTTGAAAAAAATGCTTTAAAAATGGGGCAGCTACCCCATACCATGCAAGAGACTTTGAGGTTTATTCACAAAGGTTTACTGCATGTATAGAGTGTTTTCCTGTATAGTATTTTCTTTATGTGTGCAGAAATATCACATTGGCTATATAACAAAATGAATTGCGTGTCACATTTCCTACAGTTTACTGCACAGGTCGTCACTCCCTAAAATATCACTAGTTTCTGATTGTCGATATCTGTGAGGTTCAATGATGTATCTACTGAGGAGCACAGGTGCTTTGATTTTAGGCCCCATTCATATCTGAAAAATTTGTAATCACAGACAAAATCAATTCTGCCTGTTCCCAAATAATGCTAAAATTGCAGCAAATGCCAGAAATACACTTGGGTGCCATTCATTTTTAAAAGGCACACCAAATGCTGGGTGAATTTGCTGTGATTGTAGCACAACAATATGAGCTGATAAACACGACTGGCTCAGGGACAAAATCTGATACATGAGCTTCTTTGGTGCGAGAAATGTGCATAGGACAGCCGATTCAAGTAAATGGGCTTCCCTATATGTGACACACTGAAACACATGTAAATCATTCAAAAAATGTGTGTATGGGGCCTTAGAGTGTTACTAAACTCACAACAGCAAAATCAGTCCAAGCGCAACGTCTTTGCAACTAAAGAAAAACCTTCCGTTACTTGCTTTTTTTTTTTAAGCAAAACCTGTTCCTGAGCCCTTTACTATTCCTAGGACCTTTGACCATAATGCCACACCATCTCGCAGCTAAGGTTAGGGCCTATATTTGCTATTTATTTACTCAACAGTACATCATCTTTTCAGGGAAGAGGAAGGAGTTAATTATGGCTGATTATGGTAAACTAAAGGTTAATAGTAGCACATTGTATTTTTTAAAAACTTTTTTATATTTGTCAGGTTGCTTTAACTGACTTATGAAGATTAAAGCTCATCCAGTTGATCTGCACATAAATGAGGGAGAGCCTATGGAGGAGAGCTGGCTGCATCTGTTCTGCATAAGTGGAGTGGACACAGACCAACCATCTGCTTGCTCAGGTTCAACTGACAGATTCCACTCTGAGAAAGCAGACTCCAGGCAGAGTCTGCCCCATGTGGAAGGGGCATCAACAGAAAAGTAACAATGTTAATTTGTATCTCTCTTTTTTCATCTGAACAGTGTTTATAAACACAGTGCAAGTACTATGGCTTAGTGGTTAGCACTTTTGCCTTGCTTGCAGTACTTGGATCCCTGCTTCAAATCGGTAGGTTATTGGATCCTGTCTAAGTTGGCCCAAGTCCTGCTTAAATTGGCAGTGCTATATAAATACCAATAATAAATAACATGTCTGTTCTTTGACAGTAATAGCTGCTGTATTCACAATTCCTGGCAAATGCAGGGTAGAGAGGAACAGAAGGATAGTTGTGTACAGTACGTCCTGCACTCTCACTCCTTTTTTATCGAAAAATGTTCATATGCCAGCAGTGTTAGGTTCATGTTTGGACTACATAGATTACAGCTCTGGATCACAGGCTCCTGCATGGTTCTGCCACTGAAAGTGGTGTGTATTAGGTTAATGGATGAAGCTCTGTGTAGCTTTCTTACCTTTAAGATAGATCTGTGAAAAAATAAAGCAAGCAGTTGAACCAGATCATAATGGACATAGCCTTCTTTTTTCTCTACACCAATTATATTGGGAGGATGGTAAGGTTTATCTTTGAATAATTCTAAATTGAAGTTCCATGGAAAGAATCCAAACTGAAAGAAGTACTTGATCACAATAGTCACCTACAATAAAACAGAATCAAGTCAGTTAACAGCACACTACTAGTGTCCATTTACAACTGAAACTTTGGGTTTATGTGGCTAATGGCAGGTTTAACTACAATCTGGCTTCTTATACCACTTCCTTGATCCAGGGTGCACAGCAGGTCCCAACCATACCCCCCTTCTGGAGTAAAGGCTCACATTCACTGGAGGCTGAATAGGCCAGCAGGCAATTCTCAGTAGAGAGCTTCATGTGTTTTCATGGCCGATCAGCTGCATCCAAGCCTTACATCACCAAGTTCAATGCAAATACAGTGGTGTAAAGCACGCCACCACTGGACTCTTGAGGAGTGGAGACGTGTTCTCTGGAGTGATGAATCACGCTTCTCTGTCTGGCAATCCAATGGATGTGTCTGGGTTTGGCAGTTGTCAGGAGAATAGTACTAGTCTGACTGCATTGTGCCAAGTGTAAAGTTGTGCCAGAAGAGTTGAAGCTGTTATAGCTGCAAAGGGTGGGCCAACTCAATATTGAGCCCTACGAACTAAGACTGGGATGCCATTAAAGTTCATGTGTGTGTAAAGACAGGTATTCCAATATTGTTGGTAATATAGTGTATGTACAGGATAACAACATTTTATAGGAATATAATATATTTGTTTGTTCTACTGATATTGGAGACAAAACTTTAAAAGTTACATACCTCCGTATATACAATGGCAGTCATCCAAAACCGTTTGCTGGGTCGTGGCACAGATAGCATGGCCCACAGAAATATGAGGATTGGCAGCACCAGTGTTATCATAGAAGCAGAAATCATATGATTGAGGATAATAACAAAATAGCACACCATTTCTGATCTGGCCACCAAAGTGTTGTACAGGGCATAAATTAGTTGCAGCAAGCGTGGCTGTCCACAGTAAAACTTTTCTGAATCCTCCAGCTCTTCATCTTGAAACATTCTGTGAAAAAACACAAAGAAAAAATGTGGTGTTACGGTCAATAAAGAGCTAAAGGTTTTGTAAGTCCATTTCTCACCCTAACATGATAGCATGTGGCTTCTGACATTGAAGAGTTCCATACTTGTCACTTGATTGCTCCACTTCAGCTGTCGCTTTTTTGAAAAGGGGGTAAAGTATTACACTGGGTATAGACTCTTCCTGCATCCCTACTCTGTTCCAAACGTTCTACTTCTGGGCAAACGGTACAGATTTACCTTTCTTTAAGCTAACACTTTTATAAGTTAGCCCTCCTGGGCACATTTCTACTAACCCACACCCTCTCCCATATCCCAGCCTCTTACATACCTCTGTATAATACTGGAGGTCTTCTTTAATATTTCTAACTAGTGTCTTCAGAAATTCTCTCTAGCACTGGCTACACCTGTACAACGAGTCCCCATTGCCTTCAATGGAGCCGCATATTGATCAGAACCCATCTGCTCACAGCAATGCAGAAGAACATTTCTGCAAGAATGATTTAATCACCATTGTGATATGAAGATAAATAAGCAGCCGGTGATGGGGAAGACGTTGCAGCAAATCAGCTTAGGGGGCGCTAGAAGGCTAGGTTAGTGTTAGCTTATGGAAAGCTAAACCTGTCTTTTAACCTAACATTAAACCTATTCTTCACCAAGTCCTTAACACTTATCTTAAACCTTAAAATAAATTCTTAGCAATTAATTTGAACTCAAACAGTTAATGGTCTGCCCCTAAAAATTGACCCTTCAAGCCCAATTTCACCAAAACATTTTATTTTTTGAAAGAGTGAGCAAAGATTAGAACTTTTGCCAAACTTTATATGTGGTGACTCTGCTAAGGGAACATCTGTTATGGGGCCACATACAGCGATAAAATCCTGAGATAGTTCCTAAACCTACCTTACTTGAGTACCAAAAGTGTTATTACGATAACCATTGGAGAGTTCTCGTAGTCTGCTTTCTGAAATCCGTTATGGGGACACAGACTTGACAAAGAACTCATTCACTTTTTATACAAAACATATAAAAAACCTTACTCATGCTGAGCTTTAACCTCAACATTTAGCCTAACTGAATATTACAGTTGTACTCCTGTTTTTTTGCTGCTGTTGTTTTGGTTATTGTGGGATAATGTTTAAAACTGTTTTTATTGCTTTTGTTTTCCCTACTGAAAGGGTCTTCCTTCATATTCTGTTACAGTGTTTGGGAAGGGTTCAAACCACCAGATCTTTATTGTTGTCTGTGTTCCTGCTGAGTTACAGGTAGGGGGCGTGCACGCCGCCATTTGCGGCCTCGGCTGTCAATCACCGAGTCCTGACCAGTGATTACTCGCCATCTCCTGGTGATCACCGAGTATCTCAGATGGGGGAGAGCCCTGTGTATAAACACAGATCTCTCCCCTGTCAGCTCCTGCACACTGCTTTGTATGGCTCTGCATAACAAAGCCATACAAAGCAGTGTGTTTACAGTGAAGCACACACAGAGCCCAAGTAGTGAAACAGCACACAGTTAACCCATTGATCACCCCAGATGTTAACCCTCTCCTGCCCAGTGCCATTAGTACAGTGTCAGTTCTTTTTATTAGCACTGATCACTCTATTGGTGTCACTGGGGATGTCACCAGGTCAGCCCCCCCCCCCCCGTGTCAGAATGCCCACCGCAGTTCCGCTATACGTCATTGAAAAACACAAAAATTCCAGTATCTATACCGCCATTTCTAAACGCTATAACTTTCCAATTGATTTACACATATTGGGATTTTTTTTTAGCAAAGACATGTAGCAGAATACATTTTGGCCTAAATTTATGATGAAATTTGATTTTTAAAATTTTTTTACTGAACATGTTTAACCTCCTTGGCGGTATGATTCTTTCCAATTTTTGGTGCTGAAAGCGGTACCATTTTTTTGCATGGAAATATGTAGTTTTTTTTATTGTAGGCCTGTAATTCTTAGGAATAACTCACTGAAATCTGTCGAACAAGAGTCTAGTAAACATCCCGGGTAGGATAAAATTTGAAACACGTAATCATAAATTATAATTTAATAAATAATCATAAAATATAATAATATAATAATAATACATTTAATTCAATAATATAATCAAACCAAAAACACTGAAATGTGAAATATAGCGCCAAGATAGCACATTGCTGAGCAAAGTCGCAAAATCGTTTTCAGTGTCTGATGACGAATTTCCCCACTAATCATTATCACTCAATTCTGCAAGTAGTTCTGATTTACTATCGCTGTTCTCCTAGCTGGTCTAAACCGCTTTTGACCTAAAGGGACACTTTTTGGATGCATGGACATTTCTCAGTTTCCAGGCAGAAAGAACAGACAAAATGCAGGCAGGGCGCAGGACAAAGCATTAGGGACAAGATGTATGTGAAATTGGTTGAGACAGCAATGTTTTACTATGTAAAATGTAAAAAAAAAAAAAGACATTTTTTAAAAATTTTTAATTTTCCGCCGCTAGCGGCGCCCGTACGTCCCGACGTCACAGGGACAGGACACAGAAGCCGGATGCCAGCATCGGCCGGAGGAGATGGCCGGGGATGCTGCAGGGGACACATCGCGGGAGCGCAGGGTAAGGTAAGCGAAGAACAAATGCCGGAGCAGTGCCGCATGGTATTCCCGAGTGTAGCTCGGGGTTACCGCTCTTGGTACTGAAATGTTACCCCGAGCTACACTCGGGAATACCGCCAAGGAGGTTAAAAGCAAAAGGTCAAAAATATTGCTTTTCTTTCCTCAAAATGGTCGGTCTTGGTATAGCGCAAAAAATGAAAAATGCAGAGGCGATCAAATACCACCGAAAGAAAGCTGTATCTGTGGGAAACAAAGGATGTAAATTTAATTTGGGTGCAGCGTTGCATGACCGCACAATTGTCAGTTAAATTAACGCAGCGCTGTATCGCTAAAAACAGCCTGGTCAAGAAGGGAGGTAAATCCTCTGTAGGGCAAGTGCTTCATTTTAACCACTTAACTGCTTGCAGCCATAATCTTAACCTAAACCTAGTCCCTATCCTTGGAGGCTCTGTCTTGGCTCTGAGTGGATTGGCTTTTTATTGACACAAACTTAATTATTAAATTCCCATTGATAAGCCAATATTATTCCTGTTAAATTATGCATTAACATAAAATCAGGACATCAGACTAGGACGAATTAGGGGTGTGGTTAACCAACTATACGAAGCACAGTTGGACTAGATGGATGAATACAATTTGTTTGCCTTTGAATTAAGAATTCTAAGAGCTATTCCTAACACACCATACCCACAAATACTGATAGAGTACATTAGACTATGCTGAAATCTATTCACTGCCATTATGAAATAGTTCTGTACAAAAACTTTCAATTCTGGCAAAGACACGCAGAAAAGGTCAGTACAGGTCTTCAGGATTCAGACTCACTTGTTTAGAAGCAGCTCACTAGCAGTTAATTCATGTGTAAGAGGTGGCAGTAAAGTATCGTGCAGTTTGTCCACATGGCTTTCATCAGGGCTTAAAATCATAAGATTATTATCAGCAGACTCATCATGGGAAGTAAATGAAAGCTGCTCAAAGCTAACAGCTTTGCTGTAGGATGGTGGAAGGTCTCCATCTGCTGCATATAAAGGCAGGTCTGTGTCGGGTGTATAGCTAGTTCCCTCCAGTTCAGCACTATAGTCTTCTTCATCCACTTCTGTTCTTGTAACTGGACTCTTGTGTTCTTCCTCTTGCTCATCCTCTACCTCCTCAATGGTCTCAGCTGTCCCTTGCCTTGAGTAGACCATGGTGCACTGTGTTGGCTCACTATACAAAAGAAGAATATGATGAGAAGAAGTAAGGCATGATCAAGACATTTAGTCTTGTTTACCAATTTTAAAATAAAGCATGTTTATAGAATTTGCCTACAAATGCATATACATTTTACTAAGATTTTAAAACTGTTTCATTCAGTCTTTATCAGCTGTTTCACCAAAACAAATGTAGAGTGTGAAGAATGGAACCACATGTGTCCAATAAGACTGCAGACTTGTCCACTGTAGCACTCTTTATACATCAAAGGGGTGCTGTAATTGCTTGACTGTGTAAGAGGAAAAGGACTGCAGTGACAGATATAGTGTTTGATGGTGGCAGGAGGAAAGCATAGCATCAAGCTGATTGTTACAATATTCATTTAAAAAAAAGGTACTTTGAACATTTGCCTTGGGCCTAAATTTTACATCACACAGTTTATCATGAAAGAATTTGGCAATTGCTTTAAATTCAATTAGACAATTTCAAGCAACATGCACGACAGGATACATTCCTGATACCTTGACTGACATGATGTAAAAATGCAGGTATAGCACATATATTGATTAATGAATTTGTGAATAAAATAAACATGCATGGATAAAGCACCTGGATGCTACACTGCCACTGTCAGCAGATGAAGAGGACATGTCCATGCTGTGCATTTTACGAAGCCTAGGTCGCGCACGCTCACTTGTTTTTGGTATAGAGTCTGGTCCATCTAAATCATCAAGCGTAGATTGCCTTGAGAACAGCATGGTTGCTTCAGTGTTGCAGCTAGCAGCGCAAATAGTCACAAAGACAACAATAAGTAAGAAGCAAGCAAAATGTTTTCTACATAATCTGACATGATTTCATGCAATAAACAAAAAAAAGACGAGCACATGAAAAGCGCACAACTATCATATCATGTATCAATCATTTAAGGTATTAAAAAATTGAAACAGATAGCAGACTACATATTTATCTTACTTATAGATAGGTTATCTGCAGAAAAAGGGGCACGTTGTCTTTTACACATAGTTGACTTAGTGTAACTGACAAAACCAATCTCCTTACTGCTTTGCGGTTGGATGACTTTTATCCTCTTCATTTAACTGCTTTTAAAGCAGTTAATCACAGAGCAGTGAAAAAAGATCAAATATTCTAGTAACTGCACAAAGTGAACAGTTTTCAGGGGTGAGTGCACCTGTTTGACAGATACCTATCTGGATGAAAAATAAATGTATGTGGGTGCACAAACCTGTAAATGACAGCTCATTCTTAATTAGAGGAATATAAAAATATGTATCCATTTACTCTGCTTGTCACATCTAAAGATACCTTCTAACTGTAGGAAACATATTCTTACAAAATTGTAATATCTAATATTAGAAATAATGTAACACATATTGCAATGGATGCTGTCATCATTATTTCCTCTGAAAAGTGATTATATAGAAAAACATCCACATCTAATAATTTAACTACAGGTTCCCCTGAGAATATAAACAGATTCAGACCAATACTGAATTGGTAGGTATAATGTGGGAGGAGCAAGGTACAATAATGCAGGTGTGTTGGTTGGCTCTTTGTCATAGAGAACAGATGTGCTGAACCCTAGACATTGTAATGTTATTTTGTAAACTATATTTACTTGCACACAATGTAGAAGAGTGTTTTTCACATCCAGCAGAACATGCAATAGATCCACTTAAAACAGATCATCTAGCACATGGGTGTCAAACTGGTGGCCATGCAGCTGTTGCCAAACTACAAGTGCCATGAGGCATTGCAAGATTGACAGTTAAAAGCATGACTCCCAAAGGCAGAGGCATGATGGGACTTGTAGTTTTGCAGCAGCTGGAGGGTCACCAGTTTGTCACCCCTGAATTCTAGCATCTCGTAAAAGTAATTCTAAATGGAAGATTGAAAACCCTATTTAATAGCTACAGTCATTTTTGTATTTGTTTAGTACTAATGGCATTCAGTCCCATTGATGTTCACAATTTAAGACTGCAAGAAGGTATTGATGATATAGATAATTTTTCTCAGGTACTGTGCAATGTCCTTACAAGTGAGCAATATATATCCTCTTAAAATGACTGCTGATTGGTTTCTAAACTGGATAGCATAATTAAAGTGATAATACACTCCCAATGTCATCAATCACTTTCAGCAGCTGACTTAATACCTCGCTGAGTATGCAGCTTTGACATCTTTTTATCTATGTCTATGTTCCAGCTTAAACTGGTGCAGTGGCCACTGCCACAGGTTTCCTGTTTAAGGGTGGCTCCTTTATCTTGCATCCAAAAAAAATACACAGCCCCATGGCCTATGATGGCAAGGCACTCCCCTATTCCTGCCTCCTCCTCTCCCTCCCTTCTGCAAGCTAACAGAATGGCTGGAGACTGCATTGTCCCCTGTCAACTCTTTCCCATGGGGACTGGAAGTTTAGGGAAGCAGCACTGAGAAAGCAAGGGTCAGCAACATTCAAAGTTGTAAACTGCAAGTGCTGAGATAAGAATTTTAACAAATAGTTTACTTGGGAATGTTCATTTTATTGTGCTCTATAGAGAAGAGGAGAAACTGTTTTACTTACCTAATCCTCCACTTCCCTGGCAGGTGGTGCTCCCCCATGATGCAGTAGTGGACTGTCCCTCGGCATCCTTACATCCAGTGCAGGAGCACCCTGCTCTGGACTTGATGATGTCCGGTGGAGCATCAGGGAACAGAAGCTGATGGGACCAGTCTAGCTGCTGGGAGGAGTGGAGGATCAGGTTCCCTTAGACATAAAAGAGTAATTGACCCTTACATTGCAGTTGCAGCCCCACTGCAAGGAATATTTTTTTTTTAACAGACCAAAGGTTTGCTGATCAGAAACAGGCCCTATCGATAAAATTACAGAACCTGCATTTTATAGCTGATCAATGTATGTGTATGGAAAATGTCTAGCATTCATATGCTGACTACGTCTTTTCAACATTTTAAAAATAATTCTCTCCAAAATCACACAATGTATGTAGATCACCTGTCTTATCCGTTACAAACAGCAATTTCTAAATAAATTAATTATGTGGAAGTTACTTTTTCAATTAAAGCTTGGTTTTCTGATGATTCTTATTATGGACAATAAGCAATCCACTGAAGTGAATTTAAATGATATAATGTACAGTGACCACTTCAACTTTTTCTAGAAAAAAGCTGAAATCTGGGTGATAACTACATTTTCCTTTACACAGGTGTTTATCTATGGGTTTTTTTTATATTGTATATATGACACTGTTAAATTGACAAATACTATATAAAGATCACAAAGAACCCCACAAATAAATATTGCAGATAAGCTGGTTATATTGCATAGATCTATTATAATTAAAGAAACATTTCAACTTTTGCTGGGCAAACTAAAGCAACATGTTATTCAGTGTCTCCATAGGCCTCATGTGTACAATATGGATGATAATGTATTTACAAGAATTCAGCGTTCCAACATTTTGGTTGTTATTTTAGAGTGTGGCTATTTTTTTCTCCATACTACATTTAATTTGGCATTAAAAAAAAATAGTGCAGTATGTATATCTGGTCTAGAAAATATGAAATACATTTAGTGTGCTTTCAAATTTTATAGTGAACGTTTAGTAGTGGTCTTAAGCAATTATAGATTGAATTTCTCAAAATATGGAACTGAGTCATTGAACTATAAAAGGCTGAAAAGCTCTGTAGAGGCTCTCCGATTACAAGGAATGTCAAACACATTACATAGTTATTCTTAATTATTTAAAGCAATCTTAATTTTAAAACAATTTTCTTATTTTTTAATGGTTTCAGTTTCTTGCTACTTTATATTATACTGAAAAAAAAAAACTATAAATGAAATGTAAAACAAAAAAAATGCCCAGGGTTCCTGATATATTACAGTCTTTTAGATTTGTGATATTTAAAATACATTGAATTTCCCCAAAGCCCTGCTAGCTGAAAATATTGGACCTAGTTAAAAGGAGGCAATAACTGTCTGATTCTCCTCCAGACAGTTCTGAATTATATGACAGCTGCTATTTCTTACACATAATGAGCAATCTCCACAAAGTCTGAGATGTATTTTGCTTCTATAACTAAATTTGCCAAGTACAAAATTACTTACTTAAATTATGAAGCAGAGATGTTCTTGAACACAGTCTTACTTTTTAGTACCACTGTTGCCTAAATATCTTCGCATACCATACTGGTACATATAATTGTATTACAGCTAAAATTGAGTTGATCCTAAAATTTGGTTGACTTTTAATTCTGAACAAATTTTATGAATTCAGATGTTCCAAGCCAAATCTGAATTTCATTGTTTGGATTCCCAAAATACCTCTGAGAGAAAGACACCAAAGACTGTTGCAAATGCAGTTTCTGCTTTATATCTTCCACCAGCTCCCAAGTTGTTTTTTATCCCATCAACTTGTCAGGAGGGCTGCCAACCATTCTGCACAATTTACATATGTGGATTCTGATTAAAATCAGTGGGACTTACTGTTTAGACCACAACTGATCAAACTTTTCAAAAGTGTGTTTACCTCTACACAAAAATATGCTTAGATATAAAGGATAGAACAGAATAAATTTCTTGATATGTGTTTATATTGCACAATTTGTGTGCTCATTTTTTACATATTTCTCAACAGCCCTCGGAACTATGTCAGCATTTTGTAACCTCTACCTACAATTGCCAGCAGCTCCTGATTTGAAGTCATGAAAATGTACCTGGAGAATTGTGTCCTTAGAATTGTCCTTTATATAGAATTGTCAAAAGCACAATAAAAGTCCACAGACACATTTTAAATTAATATTTGTAGAAGACGAGCGCTTTAAATGCAAAAAGGGCATGTTAAAAAGTGTTTCCCAAACATTTGTAAGTGGTGCACAACGATTTCAAGTTTTGTATCATGCCATAGATCCTGTACTATTACATTTTCTCATTTGCAGCCAATTTGCATCACTGTAAGGGTTCATGTTAATAAGCATTCTAGTGAAATGCTGTAGTGTATGAATGGAAAATGCATTTGACATGAAAAGACTTTGTTTGGCCTGCTTCGTCTGCAGTTCAAATGCACTTTAGAACAAAAACACAGTACAATGCACAAGAGGTCAAACACAGCCTCTGAACTGCCATGTGTACTGCTCAATTAAAGCCAATGGGATTTTGTTGATCTAATTTCACATGCATTCCCTATGCACTTCAAACACAGAAAAACAATGCTGATCAATATAAACCCTTTGGAAAAAAGATGCCTTTTCTGTTCTGTTTACCCCCTCTCAGTCACATTTACAAACACATCAAAAGGATGTATCATTTTTCTTGCACTTTGTTCTTAATCTCTGTAATCCAGTAAGTGTCTGATAGCTGCACTGTCCTCTCCAAAATAACCTTCCCTGTCTTCCCAGTTGTCAATCTCTTTCCAACACTCTGAACATAGGATTGTATTTACAGTTCAAAGAATCTACTTTAAATACAGTTAAGGTGTGGTTTAGATACATGATTTTTTGAAAGGAGGTGGAAATATCTTTGGAACATGTGTTAGGACATCTTTTACCCATGTCTCCTAATATAGCTTACTGATATTTCAGAATTCCATAAATGCTTTGGTCAGTTGTACATGCTTCCTTGACATTGGGTGTTTTCTATCTATGACTGTTACCGAACTTTCGATATGTGGACATTCATTACTTAATGATAAATTTGATATAAAATCTTATGTCTCGTTGCAGCTACATGATCATTCAAGGCTAAGTACAGGGACACATTTGCAATAAATTACTCATGGGTTAGAGCCTACAGCAGCAAGGTAAGATTAATCAAACACTAAAGCATGGTATGTACAATTTGTATTCTCATTTTTTTATTGTCTTTTACTTTCTCTGGTTATCTTCGGATGTTTGTCTAAATCCAAAAGATTAATTCAGTAGGGAATGGTGTAAAGGCTGTAAATAATTACATGAAGTTGGCTAGGTTGTAGATTGCACAGCACAACTGTGTAATTTGCTTCCAGTAGTAATTCTTGACCTATGCTTCAAATTACACAATACTTTATGTGCAAAAAAGAGATAGGTATTATGAACAGGATTTAGATGCCTAGGACAATGTGAAATATAAATAGAATGCTGGCTATATGCATAAAGTCATCTTTTGAGGTACTATATGTATATGTTTAAATTACAAATTGTTCTATAGTAATCCCTATAGTTCTTCAAGGACTGTACTATAGAGTTTATATTTTTCATTAAAAAAATTACCTGGACATGCTGTCATGAGAAGCAGCAGAATCTGCACTGTCCATTCTTTTACTGGAGATTTTGCCATTAGTTGCATGTGATGATGTGGGATCAGGCTCATCATCATCTCTCTGTCTAGTCCTGACTCCCTTGAAAGTGTCATCATGATGTGGTTTTGATAATACATGTGAATGCTTTCCCGGGTGGGAACATTGCCCTAAAAGGTAATGTATTTATTTATTACAAGTTTAGTATTGGGAAAGAACTGCTTTCGCAAATAAAATAATAACCGTTGTGTATGATAAATACATATACATTTTTAAACATTTGGTGCTGGAATAGTGTGCTCACAAGCAGGGAAATTAATTAGGATTGATGTACCAGAGTAAAGATTTTAAACTTTGCAAAAATAATGTTCACTGTACTTGGTATATAATATGAAGCTCAGTTCACTTCAGTAAAAAAAAATATATATTTTTACTTTCCCTCAAACATAATTGAGTATTCAACGCAGAGAAATTGATTACAAAAGTGGAGTTACTTTTTAATGAACTAGTGAATATTAGTTTTGCTATGTGAACATCATTTTCTCTAGTAAATTATCCTCAATGAATCTAAATACTTGTGAGACTGTTACTTGGCAAAAGTGAACATTCAAATTGAATTCACACATAATGTGGTCTACTTCATTGTAAAATGCCTGTCACCGCAAGGACACACAGAAAAACAATTGTTTTCTGTGTGTCCCATTCACACAGCAACGCATCCTGCTGCCATAAAATGCAGAATCGCATGGCACTGTACAGCAGTGCATCATGAATGAAGTCTTTTGAACACGTCAAATAAAGTTTCTACAAAAAAAAAAAAGAGTCATGTGTGATGCACTGAATCATGCTCCACACTGCCACCTACCACATTCGGAAAGGGACAGCTGCCAGAGAGGTAAGGCGCTTGGCAGCTCTCCATTCTTGTGAATTCTTCCTCATGTTACTAAGTGAACAGCCTCTACTAATTTAGTAATTGATTACTGATTACCTTTTTTAATCTCCCTTGTCAGCATACAACGCTCTATCCTTAGTACTGTGGAGATATCAATGTGCCCTCGTGAAATTGAGTTGAGCCAGGCAGTAAAGCTATCAAGTGAGGCAAGGAAAAGGACCCATGTAAACTTCAAAATGTTGAATATCCTTTTAATGATGTTATCTGCAAGTCAAGATAAAGCACGATTTTAAAAGATTAAGAATAATACCTGGAAAATATGTTAAGAATGTTGTAATCCCAAAAGCTCTACTTTGCACACATCTTGAAAGCCAAAGGGGTCTGTTAATTTATCAGTATAGTCTGTGAAATATAATTACACTAAATGAATTTTCACCTTTAATTTGCCTTTTTTTAAACTTATCTTTCTTTCTTTCATGCTAGTATATCAGCAGAGACCTGCACCAACGTTTCTGTTCACTGCGGTCTTGAAAATATACAGCAGATCAGAAAATGTAATGGCTATTTTCAGAAATATTTATACAGTGTTTTGAAAAGGTATTCATACCCCTTGAAATTTTCCACATTTTGTCATGTTACAGCCAAAAATGTAAATGTATTTTATTGGGATTTTATGTGATAGAATAACACAAAGTGGCACATAATTGTGAAGTGGAAGGAAAATGATAAATGTTCTTCAAAATTTTTTACAAATAAATATCTGAAAAGTGTGGTGTGCATTTGTATTCAGCCCCCTTGAGTCAATACTTTGTAGAACCACCTTTCACTGCAATTACAGCTGCAAGTCTTTTTGGGATGTCTCTATCAGCTTTGCACATCTAGAGAGTGAAATGTTTGCCCAATCTTCTTTGCAAAATAGCTCAAGCTCTGTCAGATTGGATGGGGAGCATCTGTGAACAGCAATGTTCAAGTCTTGCCACAGATTCTCAATTGGATTTAGGTCTGGGCTTTAACTGGGTTATTCTAACACATGAATATGCTTTGATCTAAACCCTTCCATTGTAGCTCTGGCTGTATGTTTAGGGTCGTCATCCTGCTGGAAGGTGAACCTCCACCCCAGTCTCAAGTCTTTTGCAGACTCGAACAGGTTTTCTTCTAAGATTGTCCTGTATTTGGCTCCATCCATCTTCCTATCAACTCTGACCAGCTTCCCTGTCCTTGCTGAAGAAAAGCATCCCCACAACATGATGCTGCCATCACCATGTTTTATGGTGGGTATGGTGTGTTCAGGATGATGTGCAGTGTTAGTTTTTCCACCACACATAGCGTTTTCCTTTTAGGTCAAAAAGTTAAATTTTTGTCTCATCTGACCAGAGCACCTTCTTCCACATGTTTGCTGCATCTCCCACATGGCTTCTCACAAACTGCAAACAGGACTACTTATGGCTTTCTTTTAACAATGACTTTCTTCTTGCCACTCTTCCATAAAGGCCATATTTGCGGAGTTCACAACCAAGAGTTGTTCTGTGGACAGATTTTTTCCCACCTGAACTGTGGATCTCTGCAGCTCTTCTAGTTATCATGGGCCTCTTGGTTGCTTCTCTGATTAATGCTCTCCTTGCCAGACCTGTCAGTTTAGGTGGAAAGCTATGTCTTGGTAGGTTTGCAGTTGTGCCATACTCTTCCATTTTCAGATGATGGTTTGAACAGTACTCTGTGAGATGTTCAAAGCTTGGGATATATTTTTAGAACCTAATCCTGCCACAACTTTATCCCTGAACTGTCTGGTTTGCTGTGTTCCTTGGCCTTCATGATGCTGTTTGTTCATTAATGTTCTCTAACAAATCTCTGAGGGCTTCACAGAAAAGCTGTACTTATACTGAGATTAAATTACACACAGGTGGACTCTATTTACTAATTAAGTAACTTCTGAAGGCAACTGGTTCCACTAGATTTTAATTAGGGGTCTTCAATAGACATTAAATTTTAAAAGGACTAGAAGAAAACACAAATTAAATAAAATTAATTGATAGCCAAAATTTAAATTTATAACCAACCCCCCTGCCAGTTTAATTTTTGCTTTTTATGTACCAATGGGGAAAATCCAAACTTTCAGATATTTATTGTAAAAAATTTTGAAAACCATTTATAGTTTTCCTTCCACTTCACAACTATGTGCCACTTTGCATTGGTCTATCACATGAAATCCCAGTAAAATCCACTTACGTTTTGGTTGTAACATGACAAACGTGGAAAATTTCAAGGGGTATGAATACTTTTTCGAGGCACTGTATATCAGAGAAAGGAGACGTATTATGATAAGCCTTCTAGTTACATGTCAGGTTGTCATTTTTCACTTGTGTATATTGTTTGTCGTTACTGCAAATACATAATTACTGTAGATTTATTCCCGCTTAGTCAGGTGATCTATCTCTGACATGCTGCATAGTCAGTATCACTATTTCAAATTTAGCATTGCTGCTTTCTGTTTCAACCCTTTGTCCAGCGGATACCCCTATTCATTGTCCTTTATGTCCAAGTGACATAGGAAACTGAAAAACTGTACTAGTAAATTGGTAACAGGCTATCCCAAGTGGTAGGGATTTGTGAATAACAAGGCTGGCTGAACAGAATTGCAATATAGTTCCCCTATAAGTACTTTACATGTGTATTTAACTGTTTACTTTGGGTTCTAAAGGCTTTAAAGCTCTCAGCTCATTCTGATATTTTACCAAGCTGAAATATTGTGTTTTATTATCATCAACTAGGTGTATTATCAATGAACATCAGTAAACCTAAATTAACTAGTTTAATCCATATAGAAAAAAAGACCCAGATAAGGGTTTGTTACTTAAGATTAGAATCTGGGAAAGCTAAGCATCATTTTTACACTGAGGAGTCTAAAGAATGGGTTCACTTTTTCTTGAAAATTAGAAAGGCCCCTTCACACAGCTTTCATAAAGATATATTAACCTAGTTTATCTAATGGCCTAAAGCAGTCCATGCAGAACCACATTTAACACAGAATTTTCTTTGAAATTGTCTAGAACTGACTTTAATTCAAATCCTTAAAGCTGTCTTTGTGTGTGATTGTTTATCCAGTAACCCGCTGCTACATTCTAACATGTGGCTTTTGTGGTATTGCTAAACACACTGACTTTAAGTATTTTTCCTATACGTTTTAGGGTAATGACCTTTGTACTAACCATACTCTTGGAAAGCTACCTAGGATTGCTGCCAAACTTTTAACATTATGATGCACAAATGCCTATGTGTAAAATATAGTAGTCCTTAAGCATAACTATATATAGCAAGGACAGCAAGTATTACTCATGATTAATAGACAGTAGCAGGAAAAAAAGTCATATTATATTAGTTAAGAACTAACTTAAAGGTCTTTACCTTTGGGGCACTATAAATGTTAGATATATTTAAGTGACTTTGGAGCTAGTCTTTATTACATTTTTGCCTGGAGGCTGTACGATGTAACACACGGAAAGGCAATATGAACTGGGGCTAAACCATAGATCATGTACATGTTTAGGGTGTTGACATGGGCACTAAGAATATGTCACAGTATAAACTCTTCTTATCTTTTCATTAGGTTTGTAAAGAAGAACTCCAAGCATGTTATATTTTTACATTCAGCTTTGAATGTACCTATGTATATGTCATACCTGGCCTGTGTCCCTAGAAATCACTAAGTAGACACTACTACTCTGTTCCGGGTCCTGAGTTGGGCAGCCAGCCAGATAAATTGTGAATACAGGAGGTCAACGGCTCAGCATGGACACCCTTCAGAAAATGCTTTTTCTGAATGAATACAAAGGGTTCTCAGGATTGGACAACATGGAGAAAGCATTTTCTGAATGAAGGGGAAATGGGGAAAGGGGCACTAAAATACCTCTGATCTGCAACGCTACACTGGCATTTTGATCTGGACTGCATGAGTGTATCTTTAGGAATTAATGAGGTTAGAACAAGAATTCATTAACAACATGGGTTTGATAGGCAGAAAATCGTTATGTTTTATTACATAATAATATATAGTTAATATTGGGATGATAATAACTTATAAATGATTAAATAGCAGACTATTCTTTCAGCACCATACATAACTTGGTGTTATAGTCACTATTCTCATCAACCTACCTGGACCATCTGACTTTTTTTTTGCCATGTTCTTCTTTATCTTCACATTCTATAATAATGTGACCTGAAAGATACAACATAGTAATGTTTGGTTTGCTTTAATGTATAGTTACTTACTTTAGAGTAAACGTATATTTAAATACATTTTGTCATTATTTATCAATTAGAATATAATTTTAAAATATTTTAATATTTACATAATATTCTTTAGAAATTTTTATATTTTTATATATGCAAGTAAAAGGGAGATAGATGTAAATAATATTTTCAGTCTGTGTTATTTTTTTTTTATAAAAACTTCTTTTTATGTATAATTTGTAATTAAATAGTTTCATGGGGTAACCATATTTACAAATTAATTTGTTTATTGGGTGTAAATCAACGGCTGGTGCTGATCACATTTAACCATTCACACAAGTGGTTACATGTGATCAGTGCCTCTGATCTAGCCTGGATACAGATGATTTGTGTCCAGGGTCAACAGCTCCGGCCACATATATGCTGGATGCTACTAAGCATCCAGTGTGTATGCATTTCAATAGAGTTTTGATGCATACAAATCCATGAGATGATGCATCACATAGGCCAGGGTAAATAAAGCTTCAGTTTTTTCTTGGGGGAGGGAGCCTATGATTTTTCACACATGCTCACTGATTTCAGAAAATACCCGATAAGCACATTCGATTCAACTAAGCAACCTTTTGACTGGGTGTGGTTAACTGCAGATTAAATGAAGACTTTAGTATAAAGGTAGTAGATTGTAGTAGTACAAGGTCTAAAAAAAATAAGGTTGCTTTGTAACTCTGGTGTATCTAAAAAAGCCTATTTATTGCATTCAATGTGATATGGTGAGCTGTACCTTCTGCAATCCCCTTGCGTCTCATTTCCCTCTGTTTTTTCTTCTTTGCTTTCCTTACGCCTTTGTCTCAGGGCAGTTTTAGGATCTGTAATCCAGGCTTGATAAATAAACTAAAACAAACACACTTGTTTTAATGAAATATCAATGTTACATAGGAAATGGATAGTGATATATTGACATGGAAACTGGATGGTCGTTATCTGGATTGGATAATGAATCAAGATATAGGAAGAATGCTTTGGTTTATAAATATTGACGCTATGGAGTTGATTTACTAAAGGAGTACAGCATTTTTACTTTGCAAGTGGATGCTTTGTGAATTAAGTGAAACTCAAGCACTTAAATTATTAAATAATGTGTAAGCATCCTACTTTTTCCTGCCACATGGTTGGGCATTCAAACTTAACACAGCTTCCCCTTATACACTAAGCCATATGAACTTCTATTTTAAAGAACATAATGTACTCCTTTATCAAATCAACCCATTTGGGAGTGTTTGCAATAAAATACTAACTCTACCAACAATACTTACACTGCATGTTCCAGGGAGGGAGATAAAGCAGCAGTGACAAATATACCTATATGTCAGTAACAGCCTAAACCTAAAAACAAAAACTTAATACATTGCAGCTTACTAGTTTCTTAGATGTAGTGACTGCTTTTTGTTCTGGCTTTCCCCCTTTATTTTCACCAGGCGTTCCTAAAAAACAACACACTTCCTGTTCCTGAGTAGCTACCCAGGGGCTAAGATTTCTACCCAGGCTGAACTTTGGTCAACTCATATTACATGGGGGTAATAAGAATAATTACATGGAGGTGATCAGATAAGTAATTTACACAAGAAATATATCATTGTTTTTGCTTTTAGCTCATCTAACAAGAAGAGAAAAAGACAATGTATCATGGCAAGATCAACATATATTTCTTGCTAAAATTTCTCCTGAAAAATTCAAACCAATGCAGTCATCACATCCAAGGACTGGTGGGTTGAAAAATGTTTAATTTTTGTTCCTGGATTTAGTTATACTTTAATTCACTAGGATGCAAATAACAAATCTGTCAGCAAAACATATATTCCCTAACTGAACTTTCTGGGTTGTTTTAGAACAGAACATTTTAACTTAGCAAAGTCAAGGTTCACTCATCTTTGTGAATGAAGTAAATGCAAAATTCACTCAATTATGAACAATACCCCGCAGATGTTTGGATATTCACAGTTAAACGCAGCTTCAATTTATTTCGTAAGCTATGTGAACATTCACTTTGCTATGTAAATTGTACGTCTTTAGTTACTAACTAAATACCAATATGTAGTTACTAAATTTCTAAATGGCTGCTTCCATCATAATTTCCTTATATCATTTTTTGTTTTTTAAAATATTCAGTTTAAAACTAAGCTTGGCAAGCACTACAGATAACGTACTAGTAAGCACCTACAAAAAGTATTTAATTCTTAATACTAGATGGAATAAGTCCTACCAATCCTACATTTATTCCTTAGACATGATCTGCCCAAAGCATCTTGCTTGTTAAAAGTAGTTTTTTTTTCTATAAAATAATTTTTGTGTATGTAGTGCGATCACATATTTTGTGTCTATGTTTGTATTTGTGTATCAATAACAGAATTTTTAAAAACTTAGAACAACTCAAAAATACTGCTACAACCTGCACTAGAAAAATAATGGCAGGAATCTAAGTAACATGGCTATACGTTACACAGCTCTTTCTTTTAGAATAGCTTTTTACATGTTAAAGTACAAATTTAGTGATTGATGAAAAAGTAATTGTTTTGTTTTTATTTATGCAACTTATTAATGCAAATTAAGTAATATTAGATATAAAACTGTACTTGTAGTGTACAAATGGCAGGAAGTTTACGGACAGAAATTACTGTGACCTTTTATTTGCAAAAGGGACCTAGGAATGAACACTCAAGGACATATTTAATTGATACACATTAGACCTATTTACATAAGCTGCCTTACACTTTTTTTTTACTATATCATAATAACATTGCACTATAGGTATTTTAATAGGAATTTAAAGTGAAGCTGAACATTTGCTGTTGTGGGGAACATTTACAAATGGAAATCTTACCTAAGAAATACCCAGCAAAATATACCTGTTGTCTTGAAGTCCTCCTGAAAAATAGGTTTCCACTTCTTGGGATATAAAGGGGCCTAGGTTCTCCCATTTTCACAGCCTCATATCTGTATATCTGCAGTGTGGGATCTAAGGCAGTACTGCCTCTGTTTGCTGGTCTCAAGAGATTTGAAATGAGATTTCGGAGATGTCACTACTATACTGTTCATAGTTTGCCTTGCTGAAGGCTCTGGCATGGGGAAGCAAAGCTCTGACTTTATCAAGGTAGCCACCCCATATAGAGGTACAGTGCAGAACATGGCATGGTAGGTCATTAATGTGAACAAGATCAGCTACAAGCAACAAATGGATAGTCTGTCATTTGCCCTCTGCTTACTATCACGAGTGATAACCTACATTATGCCACGAGTTGTCATGAATTGCGGTTAGGCAACCCATTCATTTGAAAAGGGCTGCCTAATGCACCAATACACACCAAAAAAGGTGCCTGCAGCATGCAGGCACCACAGCTCACAACACGTGCTTGACAGGTGCTGTGTGCAACACATGTGCATTGAGAAGCTTAATTGGGGTGACACTGAGGTGCTGTTTGTTAAGAAAATGTAAACAGGTTAAAATTGGAATCCATTCACTACAAACCACAATTTAAATATGTTTGATGAAAAGGAACTCCATTTCTTAATGCTTATAGGGAAACCTGCAGTTAACAATAAATTAATTCCTCTTTCCAATACCCTTCTGAAAATACCAGTTGCCTAACTCTCCTTCTGATCCTCTTTCAGAAAATATTAGTTGCCTGACTCTCCTGATCCTCTTTCAGAAAATACTAGTTGCATTGACCTCATGATGGTCCTCTATCTTTACATTTCAGAAAGGTTCATTCAGAATGGTGTCAGACCAGCTGGTGTGTATAATTTGTTCCAGGCCAGTGATTTTGAAACTATCGCAGACAGCCAGGCAATCATTTTCAAAAAAGATCATCAATAGCAGCCTTTATATTTATCTCACAAAATGATTCCTGGAGGTTAAAAAATATAGTTACTTAGTTTTAATAATAATGAATTTCTGTGAATGTAGGTCTAATATGAATCTCCAACCAACTCAACTCACAGGGGGAGATTTACTAAAACTGGTGCACTCGCAATCTGGTGCAGCTGTGCATGGTAGCTAATCAGTTTATAACTTCGGCTTCTTCAATTAGGCTTTGACAATAAAACCTTGAATCTGATTGGTTTCTATGCAGAGCTGCACCAGATTTTGCGCTCTACAGCTTTAGTAAATAACCCCACTGTCTTTGGTTATGGGCATTAGATTTAAGGTTTTGTATTAAAATTTTAGAAGTAAATAGGAAAGTGTGGGTTGTAGACAAACCACACAACTATACAAAATGAAAGAATGAAAATGTACCTTTTAAATTTAATTTGCTTGTATCAGTCATAAACACCTTGCATATGGTGATATAATGTCCCTTTATTTTCTTCCAGAAAACTTCACTTTATACTGAAATATTGTATGTTGTACATTAATTGACTTAGCTATTATCTGGATGTTGTACTTGTAAACATTTCTATGATCTATGTTTATAAAAATGTTTGATGCTGAATCATACCTAAATCACTTGTATCTTAATACAATTCCCTACATGTTTTTCACAGACAAAATAATACATTTCATAAAGGATTAACATAGACAGATTATCATTTGTGCTAACAAATGAAAATGCTGTTAATTGGCATTGCATAAAATGGCAACATGCAAGATACCACAAAAAAGCAAATTAGAGAAATATTGTCATCATGCACTAGTACATGCAACCCCCAAAATGCATGCGCAAAAAGATATAACCAAATAGGGGTCTCAGAGAAGCTGGAGATTATATTTTTAAACAGATTTTATATAAGGACAATGAACACAATTTTCAGATAACAGCTTTGTAAGTTGTTTTCCCATTAAAGATAAGGAAATGGTTGTTCCTACCCATGAAAGTCTTCTGAAGAATAAGTACTCAACCTAACTTGCCTAAACAATGTTTTAAAAATATTTTTGGAAATGCTATTTTTGAAATAACAGTATGACATCTGTTTTGTACACTACTGATTCAAATCAGTTGTCAAATGCACAGTATTTTATCAGACCTAAAACATAAGTAAATACAACAGACCTAAGACACAAATTGTTATATATCAGTTTCAGGAGCATATGAACACATTGGAGATCAACCTGTTAATATGAAAGTGAGAGTTTACAGTAGAATGTTCAAGGGGGGCACAACTCTTTGGCCCCACCTTTATGGGTCTGCAGCCGCCCTCCATTCTCATTTAGGTGTTTTTAGGGTTATTTAATGTGTAATAACAGACATGGTCATTTTTGTTAAGCTGTCCCTTTAAGAAAAATGGAATATTGGCTGTGTGAAAATTCCAACCAATGGAAATTCTTGGAAATTGCTGGAAGGTCTGGGATCATATATAACGAATGGAGGGAAAGGAATTTCTTCACACTGGACCTGCTGTTCCAAAAGAGTTCTCACCCTCTTGCCCATCGCAGGTACTTTATGAGGTTAGCTGCCACCTTGGATTCCAAGGGGGGCATTGTTGTAATTGCTGTAAACTTATGCTTGGGTTCTAAAACTGAGCTAATGGTTTTGTTATTTATTGAAACGTAGGATGATTTACAATAGAATAATCTTTTGGTGCATTTATTGTCTAATTCCAAATAAACCAATAAAGTGCTGCGGTCTTTTTAATGCCATTAATGTGTTTGGTCTTTTGCTTATTTATTATATATATTTGTTAATGTTTGCAGGGTTGTGGCCTGCAGTCCCATAGCTGGCCTCTTTTCCTTTAATGCTAAATCTGAAATGGCTAATAAAATGAACCCGAGGTTAACTCTTTGCATTACAGTTTAGTAAATTGAGCCAACTTTAACTTGATGGATGTTACCTCAGTTTACATTTCAGTACATCAGACACTTGAGTACTGTATCAAATTGTTGGCTCCATTCATTCCCCATCAAATCTAAAAAACACCATGGAAAGGTCTGGTATAGAACAGGAAGCTGAGTACAGTCCTGACATAACATGTCTGTCATTTTTAGATACCCACAAGAGTAAAAGCTGATGCAGGGCTTATACCTGATGGTCTATCCACAGAGTATGCAATGTCACAAATGCATGATTCACTCTGATACTTGCATGTATATCTGTCAACTATGCAAGGAAACATGCCATTCACAAATCAAGGAAATCAGGATTCATCAGTTGCATAATTCCAATAAAGTTCCAATAAACAAACCTGCATTTGTATATTCGTGTAATAAAAAAACTGAATGATGTTAGAAATGTCTCATAGTGATGTAATTATGTAACTAACAGTGCCTTTGCCCATTGACACAAGCCCTTACAAGTGTCTTGGCAATTAATCTTCTATTTGACATTAGGAATTGAAAGTATATTACTTCATTGGCCATCACAAAATTAGTAATATACCATGAACTGGCCATCCAGGACTGGCCAATATTTTTTACACTGGAACACTAGGACTCGGTGCTCATTTTTATTATATACTGTAGTTGATTAACTTTTGGGTTTGGCATTTTCCAAGCATCGTTAAATAACACAGCATTGACCAGAAAAATAGAAAACGTTTGCAAAAATGCTGCCAGCTTTGTCTTTGCCAATTGGTAAAAGCCACCCACTCAACATAGGTAACATTCTTATGAATCATCAATATCTGAGGGATGCAATTCTTTATACCAAAACAAAGATATTTTAATAGTTCTTTTAAAATATTATTGATTGGTGTACATACTGTATGGGGAGGTTATCCACACCAAGCACATTTAACAACACCTAACACCAGACTTTCCCTGGTGGTTTGCACCACTCATGTACCACAGAAGCTGTCAGCAATCTTACATCTGAGTAATGTACACACCTTAACTATATGGTATAACAGCCTGTTGTTTGAAAAAATCAACAATATTAATTAAGCAAGACTGCCTAATTTAACATTAGTCTTACCAGCTTTCTGAGAAGAATGTAGAAAAAACTATCTACCCTTGAGGATGCATGCATGATGCTACAATTAATCAACAATAAATATGAAATCATGGAAAGAGAGCAATGCTTACATTTGCATTTCCCCAGCAACAATACTGAATAAAAGGCATGTATTTTGAAAAAATATATTGGCAGAGGACTAAATAAATCGTAAGATTATCAAATTGTAGTCAGCATTCCAAAATTTGTTTACATACATGCCCAGAAAATGCATATGGAGAAAGTACAAATGAGGCATTTGAGAGGGTATAGACACTAACACGCTACTCCTACAGCACAGTTTGTACATACTATTGAGATCCTGATGTATACCTTTGCAGCTCTGATTAAATACTGAAGAATTGTTTTAGGCAGTTTAATGACAGACTTTGGCAAGGCTAAAATGGCTGAAGCAAATTTTCCAATAGCTCTCTAAAAGAAGGACAAAGCAATAGGAATTAGTAGAAAACAATGAACATTAATGATAATGACTAAATCTTAAACCACATAGAAAAGCACATTGACAGCAAGCTTAACATTAGTTGTGAGCACATATTATTGACTGTATATATGATGTGTGTGTTTGAACGTAAGCAGAAGTTATTTGTGATAAAGTTGGTAAAACATCATGCATGGGGGTGCCAGTTCAACAAAATGTATTTTACCTGTGCTGTATTTATTTATTGAGCAGTTATTGAAATGCAAATTCTTTTACCTGCTCACAGGTGTACCCTTTTAGAACTTTTAGGTATATCAACAACCAAACCTAACCCCAGCCTAAACTCTAATACTACTTACCCTTATTCTGCTGCACACTCCCCTTGAAAGCAAGCAGCACCGAGATCATCAGTCACAGTACTGAGTGATGACAAGTTCTTACTATTTATTGAGTTGACTTTAATTTATTGGCTAGGACATAATCTCTGAATACCTTTAGTAAATATGTTACTATGATTGCATTTCTTCCTTCCATGATTACTAGCTAAAAGCCTATATGTAAAGTTTTCAATTTTTGCCACCCATTTCAGAGCAGTTTAAGCATGTTCTGCTATATTTTCTGCAATAGGAGCATATAAATATAAATCAACAGAGCACATTTTTCACAAAGTTAATGGAAAATACATAACAGCTTATGCTTGTGAATTTTAAAAACAAACTAAAAGGCTCAACAGACAAAATATATTTAGTAAAAGTTTTAAGAGTTTGAACAATCATTGCCTTTAAGCTATTCGTGCTAGAAAACCCATTTAGGTGAGATATCCTAATATTATTTCAACTTCTTCTATACACAATTGCCATATAAATTATTACCCTGAAGGAAAAAAACTGGCATTAACTTATCAGTTTAATAAAATGTATCACAGATTAAGCAAATTAAAGCAATGCCAAAATTTGCCTCTTCACTTTCTTATTTCCTGTTTTACTGAAAAATAAAGCTTGATTTAAAACTTTCATTTTTCAGAATTTCTCCCAGTAAAAGTGAAGACAGGCTTATACCAAAAACACCTTTCTCACAAGGAAGGGTTTTGTCAATGCTATGGGCAAGCAGCATTGAAACTGAATGAATCGAGTGTTCATTTCAGCAGTAAACATATAAAAACAGAACCAGACACTCTATGTACAAAATTATACAAGCGTTCCCTTATAGAAAATGTGCTAATCGTGCACAATGCTTACACTTCCTGCTTTAAACCTACCTGGAAAGCAGATTTCCTCCTTGGTTCATCCTCATCTTTATTGTCATCGTCTTCTTCCTCTTCACTGTCCGTCTCAAATAAATAATAATCACCGCTTCTGACCACTAAGCAAGATAAAGTAGTTACTCATCTCTTGATCATTTACAAAAGTCTGATAGTCTCAAGAAGTGATAACGTAACACAATGTACACACTGCAATCAGGGAGCAGAAAAGGTCAGTGGCTGTGTTAATGGTAAACTGCTGAAAAGTGTTTTTGTATGAGTACCTAAGCCGGCCATAGATGGTTCGAATCCTGGCCGGTTCAGCAGGGACCAGATTGAACCATCTATGGGCAGGATGATTGTACCCAATTTGATTGTTGTATGACTTGGATACAACCAGCATGTCGAATTTGTACATGCAATTATTGCCAATGGCTATAGCCACTAGAAACAATCTCTGTGTTTTCCCAGAAGGGACAGCTCCTCATGCCCCCAGCTGGAGAACACAATAGCTCCTTGAGAGGGATTTCCCTATCAACACTGACTGTGTTGATGGGGGAATTGAGCAATCTTCTTTCCTGCAACCCACGGCCTGCTTAAGCTTTAGAGGACCGTAATCCCCAGCAGTTTTGTAAGAGTATATATTTACCTGTCCCTGCTCCATTGAGATCTTCGGTGTGCAGCCTGCTAGACTTCAATATCTTCCTCCTCCTGCCCATACATGTTGTGGACTCCATTATTTGCAATAAAATGCCTATACCCTGCCATAAAGCATGACAGGTACATTTTTTGCTCTTACAGAGGGAATTTAGACCCACTAAAGGTGGGGACACGATATCCCTTAAAAATGATATGTATGTATTTTAGAGCATGGAAAATCTTTGTGAAAATCTTTCTTTGTGTAATGAAATAAGCTTTAAATGCTACAATAAAATGAAAACAAATGCACAGACATTAACAAATGTAATTAACTCTATGTAATTCTGAGGTGTTTTTTTCACAGTGTTGATCCGGTGATTGTTCCTAGAGGTCCTTCTACACATTTACTATAGTATGATGTTTGAAAAGAGCCTTTTTATTTCTTAGCCTGTGCCTATAAATTCTCTAAAATCGAATGACTAGTACTTACTGAAAACTGAGTCACATAAATGCTTCTCTTATGTTTATATACAGTACATAAGCTTGTCAACATAATGACAGTTGTTAAGCTGAGATAGTGATTAAACCACATCTAGTTAAGATTTCTATGACCAAATGAATATCTACAGACTTTGGATGGCAGAAGTTCATGCATGATCCAGCCACTGAATAACCTTTTGAATGAAAGATGATTGAACAAACATGCAGATGCATTTGAAGCACTCTACAGTTATTCCTGATGCTGGCCTATTTCAGGGAAAACAATAAAAAAAACAAAAAAAATCCAACCTGCCTTGTCAACTTTGCCCCCAAGAAGGCTCAGGAAGGCATTAAAGTTTCCCATTCCCTATACCTGATGCAAACATTCTCTTATATCTATAAGTAACTTGATGGTTCATATACAGGAACCAACTTGTTTTGAATCTCTCCTACATCAGGGGGTGTAAAGAACCCATCAACAAAATATACTATAGCATACAATCCTTTAGGTGTTGCAGGTACTTCCCTTGCCCTAATGCAGAGTATAGAGAAAAAATGCTTTGGTAAAAGTTCATATGCATTGTACTGTTTGATATGAGATGGCACATGGCATAAATACAGAACTGATACCCATTTTCAGCAAATAAGTGGTCAAAAGGTGACATCAGGTGAATGTAGTGAGAGCACAGTGTAATTTTCCTGTTCACATGTAAAGCACTGCTGCTATCCTCAAATGTCAGATTAAATGCTCATACTCCTCCATAATTAAGGAATGATTATCCCCCTTCTCCGCCAATATCATGTCAGAGCATTTGAGAAAAATATTGGTATACGAGTTACTCACATGAAAACTTCCATTAGGATTTGGACAATTTTGGGTATATGCTAACAGACAAAACCATTTGCCACCTTATTCATTGTGGCCTTACTAATCTCCTTTGGTAAAATCCCAGCTTTTCCCAACCTCAGCATGGTCAGAACTCTCACATGGCTTTTGGAATAACAATAGTGTCAACTATCCCCTACTGTATTCTCCATTTCTGTAAGGTGAATTATTATGAGTCTACAAGATATCTGAGAAGCTCTTTGATTACTTATTCAGCTGGCTTATATTCAAAACTGATATTTTCATTTAGGTGGATTTAGACTTTAATCAGCACTTTAACTTCATAACAATTGGGAGAGAAAACAAGAACATCAGCCAATAAGTTTTAAACATCTATAAGTTAAAATAAAAGCTTAAGATAATATCTTAAAGTGCAAACAAAGAAATGCAGACTGCAGAGTAAATGTCTAAGCATCAATTAGTGCCTGTTAGTTAAGAAAGACCATTTACGCCTCCATGTTAATGTTAATGTTATTATGTTAAAAACCTTATATCCTTGAGCAGAACATTTTTTTTATTATACTTTGTATTTTTTATCAAGCCTAAGGAAACATACACACAGCAAAATGAAAGATGACCAGCAATATGTGAAGGCAGCCGCACCATTATTTTCTACATAGAAAGAATGTGTTAAGCAAGGACTTAAGCTTAACACCCAGATGACAGTTACCGTGATAAAAATGAAGAGAAACCAATGATGAATGTTTATTTTGCCCTCATTATTTATCATCCATTAAACAGAAATCTAACTGTATGTAATTTTTTTCTATTCCTAAAATAATTTTACTTTTGGTGAGTTTAAATTATTGTCTCGTACCTCCTTCAACTTCTTTCCCTGCATTCTCCTTTAGAATCAGTATAATAAATACTGTTTATTAATATGTCTATTTCATTAATGATTTCTTAAAATTCATGAAATGGGCTGACATGCACCAATTAAAACAGGTCTGTTTCCCATATGAGCCAGCTTGTAAATTGATAGATTTATTTTAGTAACCCTTTTCAGTCTATATAAAAAAATATTCAAAAATGCATTTAGAATTTTGCCAAGATAAGACAATATTAACACTAAATTCACTTGAAGGTAATTTTCTCCTAGGGAACTTAACAAATCTGATCTATCTGTGATATAAAATTATGGCTACAAATTGTAGGATAACATATCTAAATGAATCACTATGTGACTTTGCCAGACATATTTATCCTGTGTATACAGCTCATGGGTCATGTATTAGGTTTCACGCTACCAGGATTTCTGGTAAGTATAAAAATAAGTCCTGCTTACAGTAATAACTGTAGGGGTTCTTGTACAAGCAGCAGTAGTCTATACCAAACAGACCCATTACAAATACTAACATCTGCTCAGTCAAACCACAGAACTCATTTTAGAAAGTTGACTTGTTTATTAGGAATTAAGTAGTTTCAACATTCAAAATTTCCAGAGATGGTTTAAAATGAACCATGGCCACACAAAGAAATATTATATAGATGTTAGAGCATAAAAACTCTATTTGTGATTTAGGAACTTCCTTTAAATGAATGGTATATTGGCCACTACAATAAAAATCACATGTCTGTAATTTATTACTTGGGACATGGCATGACCAAGAAGCATTAGTGCAATTAATAGTATAGCGTAGGCTAATATTTATCTCTTATTGGTGAAATGTAAATGTTTAATATAATAATGAGGGCAAACGACAGCAATACATTGCAGAGGGGAGCTGTTCATTTGGGCAATAACATTAAACATTAGGCCTGGGGATGGTCAGCTTCTGGATAGCAATGGGCACTATTATCAAGGCCAGACAGAAGAACACTTTTAATAAGCAGGATAACAAAGTAATGGCTATAAGTGCCAGGGCTTTGGATCTAAAATGGATTTACAGAATGGTATTATAAACAGTGGCTTATATCAGTGGTGCCAAAATAACTAATGCCATAATCATTGCTACCCAAAAGGACAGTACCCAAATATTACAAAGCCTATCCAAACCGTAATCTGAATGCTCAAATGACTCATACTCATTGCGGAACTACTGAGGATATATTCTCACGATACATGTAAATGAAATATTAATAAGAGAAAAATATTCACCATGTCAGTGGATCTGTTGTAGAGCATGTATTTGAATAAGACCCTTATTAATAAACTTAGGAAGACGTTTCTTACCAATGTAAAGCATAAATGTGACATATACCATTGTGATAGTTTATGCAAAAGAACCAACAAAGCATGCTAAATGGAAAATATGCTATGTACAACACAGCAGAATCCTGGCAGTATATGTCCAAATATACTTCACAGCATTCATACGTTTAACCCCTTTGTTGCCAGGGAACTAAACTGCTGATTCCATCAGCAGCAATGAGGTTATAATATAAACATGTTGGCCTATATTATCGCTATGGTAGCAATATTGACCTAAGCGTTTTAGATACATTATTAAAAGAAATTAAGTTTAACAGAGGGTAATCAGGAAATATAGGCCAACATCATAACGTACAGTCTAAAAATGAGATGGGTCTCAACAATATTGTCAATTTTGTATTTAGGAGAAAGAAACACTGGCATAGTTTGTTTGTAACTCCACAGATTTAGTTTGCAATTACATGCCAATTTGTCCTATCAAAATCAAACATACAAAACTTGGGATAAATTATACAATGTTAATGTTCTTTGGATTTAAATGACTGTGTGACATGGGTAAGATAATTTTTAATTGATGACATCTGACAGTTAGTATTCCTGTAATGCCAGGAGTAAATAGAGAGAAACATGACAGAGTTTTTTCACCACAGCATGAACTGTACACGTACAGTAGTTCACAGTCACAGATAAACTCACAATGAACAAGCTGCCTACAGATCAATACTAAAGGATGTACGACACGCTTTTCCCCCAGTCTTTCTCTACAGACAAAGCCTTTCTTTACAGACATCAATCTAGTTGAATCACACTGTATCACTGTCTACTGCAAGACTAAGATGTAAGCCAAAAGACTGCCAGTGAAACTTTGCAAACTATATATACAGTGGGGATCGAAAGTTTGGGCACCCCAGCTACAAAATTTGTATTAATGTGCATAAAGAAGCCAAGGAAAGATGGAAAAATCTCCAAAAGGCATCAAATTACAGATTAGACATTCTTATAACATGTCAACAAAAGTTTGATTTTATTTCCATCATTTACACTTTCAAAATAACAGAAAACAAAAAAAACGGCGTCTGTAAAAGTTTGGGCACCCTGCAGAGTTAATATCTTGTACTGCCCCCTTTGGCAAGTATCACAGCTTGTAAACGCTTTTTGTAGCCAGCCAAGAGTCTTTCAATTCTTGTTTGAGGTATCTTTGCCCATTCTTCCTTACAAAAGTCTTCCAGTTCTTTGAGATTTCTGGGCTGTCTGTCACGCACTGCTCTTTTAAGGTCTATCCATAGATTTTCAATTATGTTGAGGTCAGGAGATTGTGAAGGCCATGGCAAAACCTTCAGTTTACGCCTCTTGATGTAATCCCCCGTGGATTTCGAGGTGTGTTTAGGATCATTATCCATTTGTAGAAGCCATCCTCTCTTTAACTTCAGCTTTTTCACAGATGGCATCAAGTTACCATCCAAAATTTGCTGAAATTTTATTGAATCCATTTTTCCTTCTACTCGTGAGATGTTCCCTATGCCACTGGCTGCAACACAACCCCAAAGCATGATTGATCCAACCCCATGCTTAACAGTTGGACAGAGGTTCTTTTCATTAAATTCTGTGCCCCTTCTTCTCCAAATGTACCTTTGCTCATTCCGGCCAAAAAGTTCAATTTTAACCTAATCGGTCCACAGAACTTGTTTCCAAAATGCATCAGGCTTGTCTATATGTTCATTTGCAAAGTTCAAACGATGATTTTTGTGGTGAGGACGTAGAAGAGGTTTTCTTCTGATGACTCTTCCATGAAGACCATATTTGTACAAGTATCTCTTTATAGTGGAATAGTGTACCACAACTCCAGTGTCTGCCAGATCTTTCTGGAGGGATCGTGCAGTCAAACGTGGGTTTTGAATTGTTTTTCTCACAATCCTGCGAGCTGTTCTGTCTGATATTTTTCTTGGTCTTCCAGATCTTGCTTTAACTTCCACTATTCCTGATGACTGCCATTTCTTAATTACATTCCGAACAGAGGATATTGACATCTGAAAACGCTTTGCTATCTTCTTATAGCCTTCTCCGGCTTTGTGAGCGTCAACTATTTTCAGTTTCAGTTTTCTAGACAACTGCTTAGAAGAACCCATGGTTCTGATTGATGGGGCAAGGTCAGATGAGTCTGGGCATTTAAAACCTTTGAGATTGACATCACCTGGTCTTCCCAGACGATGATTGAGAACAATCCATGACACTGGCAGGTCTCAGCTTTGCAAAGGGGGCAGTGCATGCTATAAATTCTGCAGGGTGCCCAAACTTTTGCAGACGCCATTTTTTTGTTTTCTGTTATTTTGAAAGTGTAAATGATGGAAATAAAATCTAACTTTTGTTGACATATTATAAGAATGTCTAATCTGTAATTTGATGCCTTTTGGAGATTTTTCCATCTTTCCTTGGCTTCTTTATGCACATTAATACAAATTTTTAGCTGGGGTGCCCAAACTTTCGATCCCCACTGTACATGGGCATTAATGAGTAAACCACACTCATATGTCTAAAATGTCAATACACAGACATTTCCTGAAATGGTGTTTTTTTTTTATTTTGCCTATATATCTCTATATAGGAAAACAAATCCAAAAATAATTTTGAGAGGGAATTTAGATGTGGGTAATGGAGTTTGCCTTATATTTTAAGAGATTACTAGAATAAACAGTATTTCATTTGGAATTTGGCATTAGAAAAAAAGGAGAAGCCAAACTGGTAGCTCCATATTATTGGTGATTAAGTAGAGAGAGAGTATTTGTCCCCAAATGAAATGCCATTATGAACTAATTGTGAACATCATCATAATCATCTTCTTTTTTAGACAATTTATTTCTGGTCTGATTGTGGATCTGCACTTAGAATTTTAAAATTGTTCCTGATTTTTGCATCATGACTGCTAGACATAGGTTCTGGAACCCTAGGGTAACAAGTAAAATCAGTTCTAACGGCATCCATGAAGCCTTATTACTAAACCCAGGACCCTGCATCTATTATATCTGGTCTCCCAAAATACACAGAAATGGAAATACACATGGAAATACAAACATTTTAGTAAATATAAACAGCTAAATACTTTTTCTCAGCAGTTAGAGCAGTCTTGTGATTTCTATTAGTGTCCAGCAGAGCATTGATTAAAGCTTTTAGGAGTTTACATGCTCCCCTGATTGTCCTATGAGGCTGCATAACCCCTGACCCTCTGTCTGTACAGTGCTTATTGGCACTGTGCTGATCACTTGCACTCTCCCAAGAAAGAAAAAAACTCTCTAGCAAAACACACCAAATGAATCATGTGCAGCTTGCCCCCAAGGCTCTGTTCTATCAGCAGATGGATTAGGGACAATAGAAGAAGGGGAAGATCAGAGAAGACAGCATCAAACAGCCTTTTTACACATTGAGGAGGATTAATATACATATACAGACTGATTTTACTGTTGTGTGTTTAGTAACACTTTAATTTACATTAATCCCTTGCAATCAACTTTATTAAGTTGTTCACAACCTCCCTCCTGTGTTTCACTGGCAAGTTGGCAAAGAACTCATTGGTCTGTATTTTTACAAGATTAGGTTGAGGATCATCTGCTAGATGGTAATACTGGCAAGCATAGGGATTTAGCTAGTTAGCAGCAAGGTATACAGGGTTAAAGTCAGTCTCTCAAACGTTTGTACAAAAGCGCACATTTAATTTATTTTTGTCATGTTAAAGATTATACTATACAAACAATCTGTGGAGTAACAAAGTTAAAACCATGCAGAGAAAACAAACAAAAGTTTCTGGTCAAGGATATAAGGAGTGAATCCATATATTTTATAAATGATTGAGAAAACCTACTGGAAGCATGATCAACCCAAGGCCGCCACCACTGCTTTTTTTTGCCCTTGACTTTCTCTTTGTCTGCTTCTCCTAAAATGAAATATGTTCATTCATTAATTGGAAAAAAATAAACTCATTGCATTACACATCAAAGTACATTTACATACAGACAATTCAGACACATATATTCAATTGATAGGGTAAATGGTACTCTGGTCTAAGTCTTTACAGCTTAGATGAAAAGTACTGGTGGAAAGAAGCAACTCTGTTTAGTCCCAAGACAGTCCCCTCTGGTCCCATATTCTATAGTAAAAGCATCCATGGGGGTAATCAGCAGGTTTAGATGGACTTTAGGTAAAACTGTAAGTGAGTAGTGGATCAAGTGATGGACCTGTCCCTCAAATTTTGGAAGGTGGTACAAGAAAGAGTGGTGTAAGGTGGTGCATAAACCTACTCCATGTTGACTGCTAGTAGTTAGGTTGTGGTTTTGTAGGGGATGCGGAGGGTGTTGTGTTATGTTGACAAATCTTCAAATATTCTCAGATGTGTTTTGCTTGGAAATAAACCTATTTGACCTGCATGAATAACAGTGGGTTTCCCTGTATTATCAAAGTAGGTTTTCCTCAATATATAAATATCTGCAATTTCCCCTCCCTCCTAGATTGTAAGCTCGAAAGAGCAGGGCCCTCGAACCCCTCGTGTATCACATTGTATTGGTATTGTTCTGTCACATGTTCTGTCCCCCTTTGTAATGTACAGCGCTGAGCGAACTATTGGCGCTTTATAAATACTGTATAATAATAATAATTTATGTAAATTTTAAGTACTAAAATCACAAAGCTGTTGTAATGAAGACAGAAGTTTTAGCACTGATAATAGGTGGCCGTGAAACTTAAAAAAAAAACAAAGTATTTTTGTGGCTAACTTTGCTTACACTGTGATCACTCCTTTGTTAACAATTCCCATATTTACCTTCATCATCATCATCTTCCTGCTTGGGTAGGATTTCTTGACCTTCTCCAGATTCCTGAGCCAGACTTAGCATTCTTTCTTTACCTTTTTTATATTTTTCTTGTCTGGCTTTAATACGGTCCATCCTGGTAAAATGGAAAACTATTATGCTCAAATCCCGCTCCAAAGACAGAAAGTGCCAATTATGCAAATACAACATGAATTTGCTCAGGAAGTATATGAACATTAAGGTTTATAAAGCATGTTTATTGGAATTTTTCTGGGGGACATTTTTAAAAATCAGAATCAGAAATATAAGATGTTATCCACGGCAACCACCCTATTGTCAGCACTGCACTAGCTGAGCTGAAATCTTATTGTTTGCGAAGGGCAAGACCTGTGCTTCACCCATTTTACAGATATATCACCTCCCATGGTTTGTAAAAAGGCCAGATACAAATCCACATACTGCCTCTTTAGTTGGTCCATTGATTTTTTTTCCTCTTCAAGTCTTGCTTTGACAGCTTTGACGATTATTGCCTGAAAGAGTTCTGCTCCTCTGAAAAAAAAAATGTTAACAATTGGACTTTTTCTAAAATAACACTTTACAGCACACATGGATATGTGTGTGTTTGCTTGTTTTTGTTTATAAATACATTCACTTTTTTGTTCTATGGTTATTTATTTATTTGCAAAACTACATTTTAGCAAGGGAAGCAAAAGAGAACTGCATAGTAAGTAATTTGGGTGCTTCCATTTCAACGTTCATGTGTCATAGAGTTCTTAGTTCTCATGCACACTGGACATTTTTACAGCGGCTGTTTTTGGCTTTTGATGATTTTTTCTACAGCCAGTAAACTCCCCAGCATGTTATCCTATGTGTCCATACACACATAGACTGTAATCAACGTTTTTTGGCAGGGGCGTTTTTTTTGGCTGGAAAAAAAACCCAGGACTAGTGGGTTTATAGAGGAGTTTTTTTAGCTGTAAAACGCTCTAATGCGGAAAAAACAAGGAAAAACGCGGTAAATCGTGGCAAACATGCGTTTTTGGACTTTTTAAAAAAAATATATATTTTTTTTTGGTAAAAAAAGAACTAAAACCCCCCCCAAAAAAACACTGCTAAATGCTAATACAAAAACGCTAAAATACGCTGAAAATGCGACTTTACATAGCTAACGTTACCAGCGTTATTAAACCGCTCAGTGTGCATAGAGCCTTACAAACAAGCAAGTTTTACTTATATACATACCTTGATGCAAGTATTTGAGAAGCTTTGATGTCTGCCACAACATGTAGGAAGTAATAACTCATAAAAACTCTCCTTTGCAATAACAGAAAAGCAAAACAGATACTGTCCCAGATTATTCCAGCTTCACCACTTGGCAACTGACAATTCTTGTGGTCCGTAGCTAAAAATAGACATATATATATGAATATATGGAATACTGTCCCATTATGTCACAAAAAATTATTCATCTATAAAACTGGCAAAATGTGTCTTTTTGTTGAATGGTAGAATTAATACTTGGGCAAGAATGTGTCACCTTGAAAAAGGTCAGAAACCGCATTGACATTGTATAGAAACATGTTCTAGAACACACCAATATGTCAGTAAATGGCATTATGAAAACAAGCTACTATGGCCAAAAAAAAGAAGTGAGGCTGATTTACTAAAGGATTTGGGAAAGTTAAAATAATAAATTGTGTGAATATTCATTTCAATTCTCCGATGATATGCCAATGAAATACCGTATTTTTCACTCCATAAAATGCACCTAACCATAAGATGCGCCTAGGTTTTTCTAGGAGAAAAACAAGAAAAAAATATTCTGAACCAATGGACTGCAGACAAAGTACAGGAGATGACCAGAGACTGCGGACATAGTACAGGAGATGACCAGAAACTGCGGACACAGTACAGGAGATGACCAGAGACTGCGGACACAGTACAGGAGATGACCAGAGACTGCAGACACAGTACAGGAGATGACCAGAGACTGCGGACACAGTACAGGAGATGACCAGAGACTGCGGACACAGTACAGGAGATGACCAGAGACTGCGGACACAGTACAGGAGATGACCAGAGACTGCGGACACAGTACAGAGGATGACCAGAGACTGCGGACACAGTACAGGAGATGACCAGAGACTGAGGACACAGTACAGGAGATGACCAGAGACTGCAGACACAGTACAGGAGATGACCAGAGACTGCGGACACAGTACAGGGGATGACCAGAGACTGCGGACATAGTACAGGAGATGACCAGAGACTGCGGACACAGTACAGGAGATGACCAGAGACTGCGGACACAGTACAGGAGATGACCAGGGACTGCGGACACAGTACAGGAGATGACCAGAGACTGCGGACACAGTACAGGAGGTGACCAGAGACTGCGGACAGAGTACAGGGGATGACCAGAGACTGCGGACACAGTACAGGAGATGACCAGAGACTGCAGACACAGTACAGGAGATGACCAAAGACTGTGGATACAGTACAGGGGATGACCAGAGACTGCGAACACAGTACAGGGGATGACCAGAGACTGCAGACAGTACAGATGAGCAAGAGACTGCAGACAGTACAGGAGATGACCAGAGACTGTGGACCTTTGGTAAGGGAGGGGGAGCGGGTACCTGAATTTGAGTTGTCCTCCCTTTAGTGTGGGCACCCGGCTGTGATAACCGGGTGCCTATTGCGCATGCGCGAGAAGCGCTGTGCTTTGTAAATGGCCCGGCGTCTTCTTGGGTACATGGCAGGTTGCAGAAGACGCCGGGCCATTCACAAAGTGCGGCACTTCTCGCGCATGCGCAGTGGGCACCCGCCTGTCCAAACTAAAAATGCCGGTGCGGAAAGACTGCACAGCGCTGGACCAAGGAACAGGTAAGGTCCTGCTGCAGAGAAGAGCTGAGCGGCCAGCCCGGTATTCTGACACGGTGTCGGCGGCGGAAATACCGGACCGTCCACTCCATATTCGCTCCATAAGACGCAATGACATTTCCCCCCCTTTTTTTGGGGGGAAAAAAGTGCGTCTTATGGAGCGAAAAATACGGTAAGTAAACAGACATTTTCTTTTAACATGATAATTCTCAAGATTCTTTAGTAAATCAGCCAAAAAAAATCACCCAAAAAGGGTTCATTTCTTTCCTTTTGGAGGAAAAGATTTAAAGGTCTTGGCGTGAGGGCTAAGGCACAGCAGTACCTTAAAATAGAATTCCAGTTTGAACTTAACTAGCCTTAAAAATTTCCCCTCCAATGCCTTTGCTGCCGAACCTGTATAAAAAAGATCCATATACTCATGCATTTTCATCCAGCTTCCATCCAGTCATGTAATCCCTTGTTTTAGCTAGTGGTGGCTGCAGGGGAGAAGAGAGCGCACAACGATTGGTAAAGCCTGGAGCAGTGATGTCACTTATAGACTCCCATGGCTCATCCATTGTCAGCACTCCCTCCTCTCCCCTGCAGCCACCACTGGCCAACAGAGGGGAGTCAGTTTACATCACCAGACTGAAGCAGGCTGAAAATAGGTAAATATATGCATCTTTTTTTATACAGGGTAGTCAGAATAAGTGTTGGGCGAGAGGGGGGGGGGGGCATTTTTATGACTAGTTAGCTTTAGGCTAGAATTTTACTTTAAGTATACCAACCACAATAAGTAGCTATGGCAGTTCATACTCTAACATCTAGTTCATCACAGAGCTGCTGAACTCTGGTAAGAGCTGAGACTTCAGGCAAACCTCAGCTGATTTGTGGGAAAAAATGACCTAAAGTCTGTAAATCTAACACCTTCTGAACTAGAAAAAACATTCAATTTGCGAAAAATAAGTCCAAAAGCAAGCATCCTTACAAAACTAAAACTAAAACACTGCAGTCTAACCTCAAACATTATAGATTTTTAAGTCGTAAACTGTTACCTGGTACCTTAAAATGGAATTATAGGATAAGTTCACCTTTCATAACATGTCATATATTACACCCATATTCAGGGTGTAACATGTTATGAATAGACTGGTCCCTGCTCACTCACTTTGACAGCTAGCAGGAGATCTTCTCCCCCTGCTAGCTGTCAGAATTTTTAAAAAACAGACGTGCAGGCGCCACCTGCCCGGCCACATCACTCATTCACAGTTCTTTATGAATGAAAAACTCCTGACAGCCTTAGTGGCTGTTGGCTTGTAGTTCATTGGTTCTTTCTGTCAGTATATCTGCTTGCCCATACATCCCATACAGGCAAGCAGATATTCTGACAGATATGCAGGAGACCTGCATGGCACCATTGATGGATTACAGGTTCCTGCAGCAAAAAATAATAAATGCACATTTTATTACCTTCAAAAAAATGTGCGTTTATTATTTTTTTAGCAAAATGTGAATTTATCCTTTAAATAATGCACCACATATGGCCTTAGTTATTTTCTACACAGTTTTTGTATGTACATTCAATTTTCATTTTTATTATAATTACATAAAATTAATTTAACTCAATTACTTACGGATGTTATAACCTTTCACAGTACATGCCAAGCTGAATGCCTGAATTAACCAGCAACTGTTTTCGATCAGGGAGTTTATGTAACCACAGGCTCCTATCTGAAAAATATAATTCATTTTAGAATAGAGGCTGTAAAAACAGGTGTACATAGTCATCTGATGAACTTTTATTTTTCAACTCGATTTCACTGAGTAAATTCTACTCTCTAGCTCCCTTGTCTCCTCTTCCCATGCTCGTCTCCAGGACTTCTCCAGAGCTTCCCCATCCTCTGGAACTCTCTACCCCAATTTATCAGACTGTCGCCTACTCTGCTCACTTTTAGGCGATCTCTGAAAACCTGTCTCTTCAGGGAAGCCTATCCTGCCCTCAGCTAATAATAAAATCTTCTACTCTTCCAACCAGTCCATCCCTCACAGTTACTACCTTTTTGTACCACTAGCCCCTCCCTCCTAGATTGTAAGCTTCAAGAATCAGGGCTCTCCTATCCCTCTTGTATTGAACTGTATTGTTGCTGTATTGTCTCCCTTTATATTGTAAAGTGCTGAGCAAACTGTTGACAGGAAAATACATCCAAAGTGCTACATCTGCTAATAACCAGAGTATACTGTATCAGAGATTACAGCAGACAAATGTAGACAAGAAGTATTGAGATCTACAATGAATGTATCCAAAAACATTTTTTTTTTCCTTTTTGAAAAATAGCAAGTAACATATTCTCAAGTAACACAAGTCAAACAGTAGGTTATACCATGTGATAATCATTAGAAAGGTAAAAGGGTCATTGCCTTGCTCACAGATAAAGCAATAAATGGAAGGATTTGTGCCTAGAAAACCCAGCAAATATATCCCACTTGTGATGATTGCATCTCAAAGCAACAGAATGTCAAATACAGCCAGCATGATCATAGCAAAAAAAACAATAAAGGTATCTGATGAATTTTTCTTAAAGGTGGTTAAAGCAATTGTTACATGTGTATTCATGGGTTTGTTTTGCTTTAGATATATTTACTATATAGAAAAGGCCTTGGAAAACTTTCAAGATAGATGTAGCATCACATAACAGAAATATACTCAATTAAACAGTCAGAAAGCCCAAAACAGGTATTTCATTTTTTAGCAGAAAACAAAAAAAAAATTTCTTTGAGTTATTGTTTACTAAAAGTATTTTTTTTCAGTTCTCATAAGTCTCTTGGTTTTATTTAAAGTTAATTTCTGCAGTGCTATAAGCACTTTTCCCAAATGATTGCTAAGGGAACAGGATCATTTACCTAAAATATAACTTTTTAGGCTAATAGTAGTTAATAACTTTTTTGGCTAAAAGTAGTTAATAGCAGTTAACTGTAGTTAATGCTACTACAGTCCATAACAGCACACACAGTGGTCACATCATTCTGTAATGGAAATAGTTTATTTCGGCCAACTTGGCCCAAATGAACTATTTAAAGTGAAATTAAAACTGGAATTGTATTTTAAGAATTAATTACTTTACATTACAAGCAGCTACTGAGGTCAGGAATATTGTTTAAAAGCTCTTGTACTGCTTATTAAAAAATATGTGCCTAATTTAATGTCCACAGTCTGGGCACTAATTAACTATTCAATCCTATTTTTCTTGAATCTGCATTTTTTCCCAAATAATTCATATTTTATCTCTATCACTATAATTGCTGTTTCCTGTTGCCTTTAATAAACACCTCATAGAACCTCACAATTAATACCAATTCAGAGAGGTATTTTAAGGAATGATAATATTCAAAGCATACAGTGCAGTCCTTGTTGGCTCTGCATATTGAAGATACAAACATGTTGCCTTTGTGCCTTCTGCTTCTATAGATTTCAGCAAAAATATACATGCTAACATTTTTTTTCTAAAAATGTATTGAAATTTCCAAGAAGAAAAGCAATAAGCTATGCATACACCAAGCTAAATGGCATGTACCAAAAACTCTGCAGGCATATCATGGCTTAGCTAGTATATATTCTGACTCTGGAGTTGAAATTCCATAACAAACCACACTTGTTAGAAAGTTCTCACACACTGTGGGCATACAGTAAATTATGTAAGCATACAATGTGCTTCTTCTTGCAAATTCAATGTCCAGTTGTTTGCCCAAGTCCTTTCCTAAATCAACCTCAAAGCCTGTGCAAAATTGAGCTTATCTACATTTTACAACAGTTACTGTTTTGAAAATTTCATTTTCAACTGTAAAAAAAAACAGAAAATAATACCCAGGATAATAAATATAGCCTGCATTATGCTTTCTTGAAATGACACGTAAAGATTTTTATAGAATTTTAAAAATACAGCATGGTATAGGCTAAAAAAAAAGAAAATAGATACTTACCGATAATACATTTTTCATTGTTATAACAAAGACATTGTATGCGATTAGCCAGTCCCAGTAGCGCAAGATGCTTCGTATGGGTTTAAGGAGTAAATCTCCTCCAAACAAGAGGAAGTAGAAACATGCCACTAAATAGCCCATGCAGAATATACTTATTCGGGTTGTTCCGGTAATGAATATAATGGTGAGAACAAACCAGAAGAGATAACTGAACATGATCACTTTGGCCATATCCAAATAGGATCTGTAAAGAAGGAACAATGCAGAAAAAAAAAGTTTTTCAAGCCATGTATTAAAATTCATAAATGTAGCTTTACTGGATCATTGTAGTGTTGGTACTGTTTGTGCATACAATACTTTCATACACCCTAAATAGCAATCCAGTGCCCCGCTTCACTTATATTTGTAACCAATCAATCTCCTGATGAAGTCACATGATTTGGTGGCGTACTGCGTAGGGGAGGGACTTTGACATCACAATGCTTGTAGGATAGGAGATTGTAATACAGCTGGCTGCATACACGCGGTTGGAGGATCCATACTAATAAAATTGAATCCAACTGGAGTTACTTTATATGGCGCGCTTAATTACATCATACATGTGAGTGGAATGTTGGAATTGTTTTATCAACAAATATTTTATAAGGATAAAGCACTATGTTCTGGTCATCTCTTTTCGATGCACATTTGATGGAGGAGGAGAGCTAAGAAAATGGAGGAGACTTATGCCTATTGGACACAAGACATCAGTCCATATACAGTTGTGTTCAAAATAATAGCAGTCAGACATCACTAACCTGATCAATCACTGTTTTTGGTAGAAATGATATTTCTACATGGCAAATAATTTACTAGCAGGTGTAGTAGAGTAATAGAAATCCAACAGACCCAACAGTCATGACATGCATGCTGCTGATTCTGTGTAATTGAATCACTAATTGAAAGGGGCATGTTCAAAATAATAGCAGTGTGGAGTTCTTTTAGTGAGGTCAATCATTCTTTGAAAAACAGGTGGCAATTATTGCCCTTATTTAAGGAAGGAAGGCAGCAAATGTTGTACATGCTGGTTACAGTGCATTTCTCTCTGAAATTCTAAGGAAAATGGGTCGTTACAGACATTGTTCAGAAGAACCTTGATTAAAAAGTTGATTGGAGAGGGAAAACATAGAAAGAAGTGCAGAAAATGATAGGCTGCTCAGCTAAAATGTGTGCAAATGCTTTAAAATGGCAACCAAAACCTGAAAGACGTGGAAGAAAGTGAAAAACTACCATTCGAATGGATAGAAGAATAGCCAAAATGGCAAGGACTCAGCCAACAATCAGCTCCAGGAAGATCAAAGAAGGTCTAAAGTTACCTGTGAGTACTGTTACAATTAGAAGACGCCTATGTGAAGCCAAGCTATCTGCAAGAAGCCCCCGCAAAGTCCCACTGTTGAAAAAAAGACGTGCTGAAGAAGTTACAATTTGTCAAAGAGCACACTGACTGGCCTAAAGAGAAATGGCGCAACATTTTGTGGACTGATGAAAGTAAGATTGTTCTTTTTGGGTCTAGTGGCCGGAGACAGTTTGTCAGACGACCCCCAAACACTGAATTCAAGCCACAGTACACTGTGAAGACAGTGAAATGGTTGTGCAAGCATCATGATATGGGGATGTTTCTCATACTACGGTGTTGGGCCTATTTATCGCATACCAGGGATCATGGATCAGTTTGAATACATCAGAATACTTGAAGAGGTCATGCTGCCTTATGCTGAAGAGAAAATGCCATTGAATGGGTGTTCCAACAAGACAACAACCCCAAACACACCAGTAAACATACAACATCTTGGTTCCAGACCAACAAGATTGACGTTATGGAGTGGCCAGCCCAATCCCCGGATCTTAATCCAATAGAAAACTTGTGGGGTGACATCAAAAATGCAGTTTCTGAGGCAAAACCAAGAGACAGAGAAGAACTGTGGAATGTAGTCCAATCATCCTGGGCTGGAATACCTGTTCACAGGTGCCAGAAGTTGGTTGACTCCATGCAACACAGATGTACAGCAGTTCTCAGAAACAGTGCTTATACAACTAAATATTAATTAAGTGATTCAAAGGAAAGCAAAATCTTCAAACATTTTTCAGTTTTATATAGTGAATTTTGAGTTTGTAAAGAAGAATACAAACACTGCTATTTTTTTTGAACAGTCAAATATTCACTTTTCTTAATTTTTTTTTAGAAGAACAACACAAATTTGATATATTTTTCTTCATGTTTTGATTTGGAATAGAATGTGTAGTGTTCCCAATGCATTTGTGTGTATGGAAATAAAAGCTATTAGAAGGATTTTGAGCTTTATTCACTTTTTTCAACACACTGCTATTATTTTGAACACAACTGCATAAGGGACACATGCCATTTATAACCTCACCTAGCGATTTGGTCATATATATCAGGTGAAAACACGTCTGCTGGAGGTGAACACACATGTTCATTGGTCTGCAGTATATAGAAGCAAAGGGTGTTTTAAGAAGCACTAAGGAAATAAAGCATCTGTGGAGATATACAACAATTTAGGACTATTTCTATTATCAGAAGGACATATTTTACAAACAGATGTCTATGTCAGTTTTTCTCAACCTTTTTTCAGTCAAGGCACCCTTTAAAATTATGGACAGTCCCAGGGCACCCTTTACAATTATGGACAGTCTTGAGGCACCCCTAGACCAGTGGTGGGCAACCTTTTTTTTCAACTGAGCCAAATCTCGCCAAAACCACGATTGAAATTTATTTTGAGAGCCACATTTTTAAAACTGAAATTACATCCCCCATATAGTAATTCATCCCCCATAGTAAATCATCCCCCATAGTAATTCATCCCCCATATAGTAATTCATCCCCCATAGTAATTCATCCCCCATATAGTAATTCATCCCCCATATAGTAATTCATCCCCCATAGTAATTCATCCCCCATATAGTAATTCATCCCCCATATAGTAATTCATCCCCCATATAGTAATTCATCCCCCATAGTAATTCCCCCATATAGTAATTCATCCCCCATATAGTAATTCAATAATTCATCCCCCATATAGTAATTCATCCCCCATAGTAATTCATCCCCCATATAGTAATTCATCCCCCATAGTAATTCATCCCCCATATAGTAATTCATCCCCCATAGTAATTCATCCCCATATAGTAATTCATCCCCCATAGTAATCATCCCCCCTATAGTAATTCATCCCCCAATAGTAATTCATCCCCCATATAGTAATTCATCCCCCTATAGTAATTCATCCCCCATAGTAATTCATCCCCCATAGTAATTCATCCCCCATATAGTAATTCATCCCCCCTATAGTAATTCATCCCCCATAGTAATTCATCTCCCATATAGTAATTCATCCCCCATAGTAATTCATCCCCCATAGTAATTCATCCCCCCTATAGTAATTCATCCCCCCTATAGTAATTCATTCCCCATAGTAATTCATCCCCCATATAGTAATTCATCCCCCCTATAGTAATTCATTCCCCATATTAATTCATCCCCCATATTAAGTCCCCAAGTCCCCCCCCTGTGTCAATTCACTTACCTTTGCTCCGCGCGTTCTTCTCGCCGTGTTCCCGCGCCGTTCTGGTCTTCAGGGCGGACTGTGAGAGGAGAGGAGTTCGTCACGCTGCCCCACCTACATCCTGGCTGCCCCGCCTACATCCTGACAGCTGCAGAGTCCTGACTTTTGAGGCGGCCCGCCCGAGAGGAGGGAGGGGAGCGGGCGCCCGGCACACAGAAGAGCCGCATTTAAGTTTGTAAAGAGCCGCATGTGGCTCGCGAGCCGCGGCTTGCCGACCACTGCCCTAGACTGTCCAAAATTTTAAAAGGGCACCTCATTCTAAAATGTGAAAAACTATTCTAAAAGTTTTATATAACGCAGCAACATCCACACATGTAGGGCACCCAAAATTAGAGGGGATTTATTCTTCCAAAGCAAATACACTTTTGCACACTGGTACTGACTAGTATTCCATTGTTTCTCTTCTCCCTGCATTTTCTCCATCACTGAGCTAATGTGACCCCAACACTAATGGAGAGGGGCAGAGGAGGGTCAAACTAGAATGCTGTGCAAGCAACCGACAGACTCCTTATCAACTGATGATGCCATTGGTTGCCAGGATGCCGGCGGCTAGAAGGTGGTAATGGTGCACAATTAAAATCTGTGGTTTTGTTTTAACTAAAAGGCAGGCTTGTTCCACTCTCTGGTTTGTATACAAGTTTTGGGCAATTTTTAGACATTTTGCCAAGGCACCCCTGAAGAAACCTCAAGGCACCCCAGGGTGTCTGGGCACCCTGATTGAGAAAAGCTGGTCTATGTCACTTGTCAGAGTTGGTTTATATGGTTACAAATACAGGGTGAAGCAGGGGACTGGATTGCTATTTATGTCATATAACATGTTTTGTATGGGAGTGTGAATAGTGGGAGCGATTCACAATTCTTTGTAAAAATATTTTGTATTATTTTTGTTTTTTAGCATAGCAGCTCACAAGATTTTGCACTTTCATACACCCTGTTCACTCATGATTCTGAAAATGGTATCATTATTTATCGATTTCTTCCTAGTTATGAAAATAGCATACTTTACTGTATCTATAACTGTAGGTTTCCTAGCTTTATTCTTTCCCACTTTCATCATCTACCTCCCTTAGTGAGCTGACAATAAAGTGCCTCTGCTGCACTGAAATCCATAGGCATCTTATCAATCCTGTCCAGGTTACCTCTGAACTACAGAACTCTTCCCATCTGTGTTACAGAGATGAAGAGAAGGGGAGTGTTTGATGGTCCCGACAGGCTAGCATGATAATGTTGCTCCTTCACAGAAAACGCATTATTGGCAGGTTCACCTGATGAGAAAGCCTAAAAAAATAAAACTAACACAGCCACCATATCTAAGGACTAGTAAACTGAAATCCTAGGTTTAGATACTCGTTAATCATCTGTTCGCCTGACTTTGCTGCCTTGGGGTTATCTATTATAACCTCTCCTAATTCATAATTATTCAAGCATTGAACATAAAAGCCACATGCTGTTTAACATGTTTTTACACAATTGCCAGTTGTACAAATCTGTGTTAAAAATCTCAGCCAATTGGATTAACGTACGTTTCTGTGCTGTGTTTCTGTTGGTTTAACCACTTGCCCTCCAGACGATTTACCCCCCTTCCTGACCAGGACATTTTTTGCGATACGACGCAACGTTACTTTAACTGACAATTGCGCGGTCATGCAACGCTGCACCCAAATGAAGTTTATGTCCTTTTTTCCCACAAATGGAGCTTCCTTTCGGTCAAATTTGATCACCTGTGCGCTTTAAATTTTTTCCCCTATGAACAAAAAAGTCCGACAATTTTGAAAAAAAAAATATTTTTTACCTTTTGCTATAAAACATATCCAGTAAAAAAAATTTAAAAAATTTAATTTTGTCATAAATTTAGGCCAAAATGTATTCTGCGACATGTCTTTGCTAAAGAAAATCCCAATACGTGTAAATTAATTGGTTTATGTGAACGTTATAGCATCTTCAAATGGTGGTACATATACTGGAATTTTTATGTATTTTTTTTTATACTAGTAATTGCACAATCAGCGGCTTACAGCGAGACTACAGCGGGCATTCTGACACTGGGGGGACCTGACTGTCATTGACATCCCCAGTGACACTAATACAGCATTGCATGACCGCGCAATTGTCAGTTAAAGTAACGCAATGCCGTATCGCAAAAAAATGGCCTGGTCAGAAAGGGGGGTAAATCCTCTGGACGGCAAGTGGTTAAACCAACAGAAACACAGCACAGAAACTTACGTAATGCAATTGGCTGAGATTTGAACACAGATTTGTACAACTGGCTAATAAAAAGCACTGACACTGTACTAATGACACTGGGCGGGAAGGGGTTAACACCTGGGGCGATCAAAGGGTTAACTGTGTGCTGTGCTTTTCTGTGTAAGCATGCTGCTTTGTATTGCTCTGTATAGCAGAGCAATACAAAGCAGCGTGCTGGAGCTGACAGGGGAGAAATACTGTATGTATTGTATACAGACCTCTCCCCCGTCAGTGATACTTGGAGGTCGCCAGGTGCCTGTGGGGAATCACTGGCCGGGACCCGGTGATGGACAGCTGAATCCGCCAATGGCGAAGTGGGTGTGGCACACGCACCCCCTACACGGACATACAAAATCACTTGTATTTATACATGATTTTGTGCAGCCCTGCCACCCTGCAGCAGTAGTTCTGCTATAGAGCGGTCAAGAAAGCGGTTAAGGAAGCATTCACTTTGGTGAATAGCTACAGATTTACAAATTCTGGTAATGTGCTATACTCCCTACAGATCCTTTGTACCTAAGCAAACTTGTTACTCAGGTTAGTTTTCAGCATTTCCACTGGACTTGAAAATAGCCTTTTTTATCTATTGAATATCAAAAGGGTATCTTTACCAATATTTTTTGCCATGTCTCTCACTGTCTTTACTATCATTGACTAATACTATGCAAGCAAACTGCTCTGCTGTACAGAAGTACTTTACTAAACCAAACCTTGGAACAAGTTTAGCTGCAGATAAAACTCCAACTCCAACAAAGGAAAAGTATAGCCAAATCTACTTGTGCTGCACTCCATTTTCAGCAGTCAGCAGGCTAAAACCTGCTGTCGGTTGCCGTCACTCAGCGGGTCCAGGCACTGAAAAGATACTAAAAACAGAGCACACTGACCTTGCGCATTACCTCAGTAAACAATTAGTTGATTTATTGATTTAGGAGATATACTCACAAAAGTAGTAAAAAAACAGGCATGTAAAATCCAAATCCGAATCATACAATAAGGAGACACGTGTGAATCCCATCGGAAGGGGAGACTCTCAGAGTGACTACGACGCGCTTCGAAGGGGGGTCCCTTCTTCATCACGTGTCTCCTTATCGTATGATTCGGTTTTGGATTTTACATGCCTGTTTTATTACTACTTTTGTGAGTATATCTCCTAAATCAATATATCAACTAATTGTTTACTGAGGTGATACACAAGGTCGGTGCGTTCTGTTTTTTGTTCTTCACTACAGTTTGTATCGAGCTTCCCCAGCTTTGTGTTAGAGCTGCATAGCCTTCGATCGGTCCTGGAAGAACTTCCATACTCTCTAATAGTATTTGTCCATCGGCCCGCCACTGACCTGGGTCACTGAGCGCAGGAGGTGTTGCATCTGTGTTTACTGAAAAGATACTGACCATATGGCACCTGGCTTAGCCTCTCAGTGATCCACCAAGAGCCTAAGCCAGCCGCTCCTGCCCCTTTCACAGCCCAGTGCTCTAGTGAGCTCTGGAGGGGCAGAGCAGAGAGCCCAGAGACTGACAGTCACCGCTCTCTGCTCAGAGCAGAGGGAACTGAGAGACCCTTTTTAAAGCCTTACAATTCCAAATAATTTCATAAATGTGTCACACAATGAGCTGAGTTTCACTGTCCATAAACCAGCAGAGAATCAGGATGTAAATCATCGTACCTGCAGTGGATGAAATCAGGGACAGGATTATGTTGGCTAAAGGAAGCAGCATCCAGATTCATACAGATTTCCACATTGTCCCCTGCCATAATCCGAACTGCCGCCTTATTTTCATCTTCAAACACTTGCCGCTGAAGAGATGCACAAAGCAACAGCATAAAATCATCTAGAAAAGAAGAGAAAAGATTGCATCAAGTCAGATTAATGATACTGTTCATGAAAATTACAATTTTTAAAGAAAACCTATAAAGAGGAAAGATGCAAACTGCCATTGGTTACTTCTATGAATGCTAACACTACTGGCAAAAATATGGATCCAATGGCTTTAGTACATTTATCACTAACAAAGAACAAGTGCCCACATCAGTTCTGCTGATAGTTTGTTTTAGAAACCCAAATTGCTGAAGCCAAATATGGAAGGGGAGGAGCAGAGAAGAATATGTTTTAAAGTGTTACTAAACCCAGAACCCTCCATTCACTATATCTGGTCTCCCATAGTACACACAACATGGCAATGTAATTATTTTAGTAAATATAAACTGCTAAATACCCTTTCTCATCAGCAGTATATAGCAATCTTGTGACTTCTATCAGTGTCCAGCAGAGCACTGGTTAAATCTTGTTGGAAGAGTTTTCATTCTCTAGGAAGATGCAGGACCCCTGACCTCTGTCTGGACAGGGCTGATTGGCCCTGTGCTGATCACAAGCACTCTCCCAAGGAAAAAAAACCCTCTCTAGCAATACACACCAAACTGAGCATGTGCAGTGTCTCCACCCATATGTATTATCAGGAGATAAGAGGGAAACACTGGAAGAAGGGGAGGATCAGATAGGTCAAGATCAAACAGCCTTTTTACACAATGCAGAGGATTAGCTCCTTAGATTCCACAGTGAGTATAACAAGCATGCTTTACTGCATATACAGACTGATTTTACTGTTCTGCGTTTAGTAACAATTTAAACCCAAAAAACAAAAATGTAATATATTGCAGCTCACCAATCCTTAGATGTGGTGGCTGCATTACATTTCATTTTTTTAGGCTGTTTTCCCTTTGTGTCACTTGGTGATCAAGCAAGTAACACACTTCCTGTCTACATTCTGGTTGAAATAGTAAAGCTTTGGACAGCAGCAATGTCAGTCAGAGGGAGGGTATTATTGTTAGACTAGCAGATTTAGATGGACTTACAACTTGAAGCTGAACACTTTATAAGCAGTTATAGCAGTTTTTAAAGGTTTTACCTGAATAAAAGATGATCATTGCAAGCACCTCTGTCAGTGTTAAATGGTTTGTCTCATCCCTCTAACTGCTACTTTGTCTGGACAGCTTTGTTTGTAGTAAATTTTAGAATACCAGACATACTGGCCAGATTATTAGGTGAAAGTAAAGGAAAATGCCTATGAAAAAAAAACTACTGTAAGGCAGCCATCACATTTAAGAATTTCTAATCTGCAATTTCATATATTTTTTTGTCTCTGGGGTTAATACAGCTTTCTGTATTAAAAAAGACCTGTCCTGTAAAGGAGCGATCTTATACCTGCCTGGTCCACTGCCCACATCGCTGATCTTCACTCTCTTCAAAAACTATGATAGGAGGGGAATCCCCTTCACCTGACACACTTCAATGTGTCAGATGCCTGGTCCACCTCCAAAATAAAATGTTTCTTTCCCATATGGTTTCTAGTTAGACAACAAATAGCCACAAATCCAGAAGGGGGGGGGGGGGGGGGGGGGGGGGGGGGGGGGGGGGGGGGGGGGGGGGGCAAAAGAAGCAGTCACAGCAGGGGTGTCAAACTGGCTGCCCTCCAGCTTTTGCCAAACTACAAGTCCCATCATGCCTCTGCCTTTGAGAGTCATGCCTGTAACTGTCAGCCTTGCAATGCCTCATGGGACATGTAGTTTAACAACAGCTGGAGGGCCGCCAGTTTGACAACCCTGAACTAGAGAATGTTACAGTGATAATAAACCCAAAGGCAAACATTTATTACATTTCAGCTTATCAATTCTTAGATGCAACGGCTGCATAAGTTTCTAGGCTTTCTTTTCTTTCTTTTCACTTGAATATCCTGCGAGTAAGTCTGTTATTTTTCAATAGATCAAGGTGTCCTGTAGATGCATAAGTTAGGGGGATAAGGCAAACCATTTACCACTCACAGGGGTGAATCAGCTTTTATTTATGTAAACCTTTATCCAAAAGGAAAAATAAACTGCTACTGTAACTGCTAATCAATTGTGAGCTGGAGTTTGGCTTCAATTTGTTAGTGTATCTAAATCTTCTAGTGCATCTAACACTCCTAACCCCCAGGTTGACAATGCTGGTGTCCGAATGTGCCCTCTGTGCTCCTTCATCCGAAGTGGGGGCACTTTAATTTAGGAGGTGTATTACTGGCCAGATCACCACGGGAAAACAGATAGGGAAAAAAGCCTAAAAAAAGAAAACTAATGCAGCCACCACATGTAATGATTGGTAAGCAGAAATGTATTACATTTTTGTTTTTGGGTTTAATACTGCTTTAACAGTGTAATACTGCTTTAACAGTGGTGAAGCAAGGATGTTGTCCAAGTCATTCAGCCAGCCATAAGCATTAAATACAAAGAGTTCTGCTATCCATGGTATTCATATGGCCAGGGGGTAAGAATATTGACTCATGAGACATTTCCTTTTTTCTTTCTCTAAACCATATTTCTTCGGACATAATAATCAAGTCCATGGCATTTTTTTCTGTCATGTTATCTTGCTCCAGTGGATGAAGACAATTAAGCTATTTTTCCAAGAAGCACCAGCGAGCAGATAATTACACATGGCCTATCTATGGTGCCCTTATATGACATTACTTGAATGCTCACAAGATGTCATCACAATAGGTCAACTCGAGGCCTTGCTTTGATTTTCAGAAGAGTCCTTGTTATGAAATATAGTGAGTATTATGTAATTTTTGTCAACATATGAATTCTGAGCAAGTGTGTCCTGAGAAAATATATTCCATTAATGCAGAGAATTAGAAACGGAGTATAAAACTATGTTGTATTAAAGCAAGCTTTCAAGCTTACATAAATATGTTTTAAAGAGTTACTAAACCCAGGACCCTGCATTCACATATATCTGGTCTCTCACAGTACACAGAACATGGAAATGCAATTAATTTAGTAAATATAAACTGATAAATACCTTTTCTCATCAGCAGTATATAGCAATCTTGTGACTTCTATCAGTGTCCAGCAGAGCACTGGTTAAAGCTTGTAGGAAGAGTTTTCATTCTCTTCTATGGAAGATTCAGGACCCCTGACCTCTGTTTGGACAGTGCTGATTGGCCCTGTGCTGATTGGCCCTGTGCTGATCACATGCACTCTCCCAAAGAAACAAAAAACCCTCTCTAGCAATACACACCAAACTGAGCATGTGCAGAGTGACTCCACACATATGTATTATCAGGAGATAAGAGGGGACACTGGAAGAAGGGTAGGATCAGAGATGTCAGGATCAAACAGCGTTCTTACACAATGCAGAGGCTTAACCCCTTAGATTCCACAGTGAGTATGACAAGCATGTTTTACTGCATATGCAGACTGATTTTACTGTTGTGGGTTTAGTAACACTTTAACCTCCCTGTTGGTATTCCCAAGTGTAGCTCGGCATAAAGTTTCAACACCACAAGCGGTTACCCTGAGCAACACTCGGGATACCTTACAGCGCTGCTCTGGGATCTCTTCTTCACTTACCTTGTCCTTCGCTCCCGCGATGTCCCTCCTGCAGTGTCCCCAGCAATGTCCTCCGGCGGATGCTGGCATCTGTCTTCCGGGTTCCGTTCCCTGCGACGTCAGGACGTACGGGGGTCGGAACTCGCGGGAAATTTTAAAATTTTAAAAGTGACATTCACTAAATACACTAAAATCACATAGTAAAACATTACTGTATCAAAGCATTTCACATACTTTTTGTCCCAAGTGCTTTGTCCTGTGCCTTGCCTGCATTTTTACCGTTCTTTCTGCCTGGAAACTGAGAAATATCCATGGCATCCAAAAAGCGTCCCTTTAGGTCAAAAGCGGTTTTAGACCAGCTAGAGAACAGCGATAGTAAATTAGAACCACTTGCAGAATTGAGTGATAATGATTCGTGGGGAAATTCGTCATCAGACACTGAAAATGATTTTGCGACTTTGCTCAGTGATGTGCGAACTTGGCGCTATATTTCAAATTTCAGTGTTTTTGGTTTGATTACATTATTGAATTAAATTTATTATTATTTTTTATGATTATTTATTATATTATAGGCACGACTTTGATTCTGCAATTTGAAAAAATGTAACTTTAAAAGGGAAGCTGGTCATATATGAGTTAACCATGTTATACCGGGTTCTGCCAGGCTCAGTTTAGCTGATGTAATGACCTGACTGCCTGTATTACTACATTAAAGACTGACTTGTGGGATGAAGAGAAAGAAACTAGCAGAGTCTTGTCACTGTCAGCTGCTAAGTGTATTTGTAAGAAAACACAGCAATGAATGTGTCTTCTTACAAACAACGTGATCTATTCAAGTGCCCTGCACCCGGAAGCAGGGGGTGACTTACAGGAATGTCGCTGTGCCTGTAGGAGCCGCCTGTCCTATGGACAGGCGGACCTACAAAAGATTCATTACAAAAATAAATATTTAGTAAGTAAATTGTAACTAGAATAATTATAATAAATTAAGAGCAACACCAAATATAGGAGTCAGTAACGGCAAATAATAAACCCCCAGATCTAGTGTCAGTGCAGCAAAAAAAAACAGGATTGGCATTTAATGCAACAAAATACCCCCAGGATCGGTGTCAGTGCAGTACAGTTCCTTGAAAACGTATTCATACCCCTTGAAATTTCCACATTTTGTCATGCTACAACTAAAAACGCAAATGTATTTTATTGTGATTTTACGTGATAAACCAACACAAAGTGGCACATAATTGAGAAGTGGAAGGAAAATGATAAATGGTTTTCAAAATTTTTTTACAATTAAATATCTGAAAGTGTGGATTTTCCCCATCGGTACACAAATAGCAAAAATTAACCACTTTTCGTCCGGCCCATGTACATAAACAGATGTCCTCCAGCTTCCCTGCTTGTGCGTGCTCCCTAGGATTGCTCCCCAAACCGGTGACCGCTGTGTCTGGAAGAACACCGATCGCTATACGGGACCTCTGTGTGAGGTCCCGATCATGTGATCACTGATTGGCCAATCAGTGATCACATGAATAGTAGTAAGCAAGATGTTACTTCTGACATCATTGCTTACTACTAGTGAAATCTGTGAATGATCACAGAGGTCACTTGGTACAAGGCTATTCACAACAGCCTTGTACCATGCGACAAGCTGTGACCAATCACAGCTCACACAGTATTTCTCAATGGCTGTAAGAATGCAGCCAGAGAGAAGGAAAAATGATTGCTTTTACAGCCTTTATGAGTGTAAAAGCAATCAGTGTAAATAAAAAAAAAATCTTCATCACCCCCCACAAGTAGTACAGTGTCACTATGGTAACACTGTACTGCTAGGGTGACAGTATGTAAAAAAAAACAAAAGACATAAATAATAATATAAAAAAAGTAAATACAAATATAAAAAGAATTTTGAAAAAATAGAATTTTTGGTTATAAACTAATTTGGGTTATTTTTTTCTACTAAAAAGATAACTGAATACATTTTGGCAAATATTTATGAAGAAAGATTATTTATTTGCAAAATTTTATAAGAAAAACACTTTTTTTCTAAATTTTTTGACTTTTTCATTTATATAGCAAAAAAAAAAATAAAAAATCCCAGTGGTGAATAAATACCACCAAAATAAAGTTTTATCTGTTTAAAAAAATGCTAAAAAAAGCATATGGGTACAGTGTTGCATGACTGCACAATTGTCATTCAAAGTGTGATAGCACTGAAAGCTGAAAATTGGCCTGGACAGGAAGGGGGTAAAAGTGTCCGGGCTTGATGTGGTTAAACTGGCAGGGGGTTTTAAGTTTAAGTTTTGACTATCAATTAATTTTATTTTATTTGTATTTTCTTATAGTCCTTTTACAATTTCATGTCTATTGAAGATTATCCTGTCCACAGGGTGAGAAAGTTACTGCATGATTTCACTCTAGAATGGGCAGTGCTGCCCCCCTGTTAAAGGAAAAGGACAATAACAGTTTTCTGACAGGATCAAAAGTTAAAAAAGCTTTGTTATGGGAAAAATCATAAAAACAAACATTTTTAAATGAATGCTAGTGTTAGGCTGTGTATATACATATTGTATATGTCATTTTTTTACTTTGCCCATAGCTCCAATTTAGGTGAGAAAAGCACACATATTTTCCCTTATGAATTTAGAGTTTAAGCTTTTAGCACACATTTTTATTCAAGCAACTATACTTACAGACAAGAAAAGAAGGGTTTGGTCTCACAATAAAGTCTGGAAAGTAGAGCCATTTTATAATGTTGGAGTTAAATTTGGCTCCATTGTATCTCCAAGGATAGTCTGCAAAAATTAAGAAAGTGGTATTAAGAAAAGCATACATCTGGACAAAGCTGGCAAACCAAAAATCTTAAGCACTATAATATTTTTTTCTGCAAGAGATGAAAGATGATCTTTTACCTTTACATGGAGCGGGAGGAATGCCAATACATAAGAAATACTGGAATGTAATAATACAGGCAAGAAAACAGCAATATCGGTGCCAGATTTCAGCAATTGCTTTTCTCCTTCGTCTATACAGTATGGCAAATAGCCAAAGCGCATGGATCATGGCAAAAAAATCCATCCTTTGGCCAATTACATTAACAGACAGTAGGAAGCAGGTCTGCATAGGGAGAAGAAAATATATAGAGTCTGAAGCACTAAAGATTACAATTTAGACATTATTACAGTCACTTGATTTTTTTTGGCGCCATATGTTTTAACGCTGTGCTAGTTAAACCAAAGCCTCACTTTGACATTGTTCCCAGACTGGATTCATTATGATACTCTCTTTTTTTTAAATAAGAATATTGGATTTTTAACAAAGTTTACCTCACCAGAAATATGCAGACAAAGTTTGTTCACATAGAAAAGTGTTTGATCACTTTTTAAAGGTAATGATAGTCAATGAGATAAACCTGTATTTGTTTGGAATACTAAATCATGTGCAAAAAAATATTAAAAAACTGAATTTTTCTAACAAATGATTAGTTAATTGGATCAAACACAAGTTTGACCTACAGCACATTCATAAAAGATTCAGATCCCCTTCAGTTTTTTCAGTTTTGTTATGTTACTACAATTAATACTACAGTTTGTTTATATTATTTTTTTTCTTATTAATCTACACTACCCCATAATGACAAAGTGAAAACAACATTTTAGAAATGTTTGCAACTATAAGAAAAAGCAAAAACTGAAATATCACATTTGCATAAGTGCTCAGACCCTTTGCAACAACACTTGAAATTTAACGCAGGTGCCTCCCATTTCTCTTGATCGTTGCTGAGATGTTTTTACACCTTGATTAGAGTCCATCTGTGGTAAATTAAATTGGTTTGACATGATTTGCAAAGGCACACACCTCTCTATAAAAGACCACACAGCTTACAATGCATACTGTATTAGAGCAAAAGCCACAAGGTTAAAGGAACTGCCTGCAGAGTTCACAGACAGGATTACTGCAGGCCAAAGGGGATCTGGGGAAGGCTACAAAAAATGTTCTGCTGCAGTGAAGATGACCAAGAGCACAGTGGCGTCCATAATTCTCAAATGAAATAAGCTTGGCACAACCAGGACTCTTCCAAAAGCTGGTTGTCCGGACAAACTGAGCAATCGAGGGAGAAGGGCCTTAGTAAAAGAGGTGACCAAGAACCTGATGGTCACTCTGACTGAGCTCCAGAGATCCTGTCTGGAGATGGGACAAAGTTGCAGAAGGACAACCATCACTGCAGCCCTCCACCGATCTGAGCTGTGTATGGCTAGACTGAAGCCTCTTCTCACACAAAAGCCTGTTTGAAGCTTGCATAAAAGCACCTGTTGGACTGCGAGGAACAAGTTTCTCTGGTCTGATAAAACCAAGATTGAACTGTCTGGCCTCAATTCTAAACATTATTGCTGGAGGAAACCGGGCAACGCTTATCACCTGCGCAATGCCATCCCAACAGTGAAGAATGGTGGTGGCAGCATCATGCTGTGGAGGTGTTTTTCAGCAGCAGGGACTAGACAAAACACCTCCACAGGGTTGAGGGAAAGCTGAAAGGAGCAAAGTACAGAGATATCCTCAATGAAAACCTGTTCCACAGCATTCAGGGCCAAAGGTTCATCTTCTTACATGACAATGATCCTAAGCACACAGCAGAGACAACACAGGAGTGGCTTTAGGACAACTCCCCGTGAATATCCTAGAGTGGCCCAGCCAGAGCTCTGACTTGAAACTTATTGAACACCTCTGGAGAGACCTGAAAATGGCCGTCCACCTACAGTCCCCATCCAACCTGACTTAGCTTGAGAGGATTTGCAAAGAAGAATGTCAGAAAATGCCCCAATCCAGGTGTGCAAAGTTTGTCATAGCCAAAGACTTCAGACTGTAAGTGCTGCCAAAGGAGCTTCAACAAAGTACTGAGTAAAGGGTCTGAATACTTAAGTGCATGTGATATTTCAGTTTTTTCTTTTTAATAATTTCACAGACATTTCTGAAATTCTGTTTTCACGTTGTCATTATGGGGTACTGTGTGTAGATTAAAGAGAATAAAAATTATTTAAACAACTGTAGTATCAGGCTTCAACATAAAAAAATGTAAAAAGTGAAGGGGGTCTGAATACTTTATGAATGCACTATATTTATAAAGATCCATAAACATTCCAGTTGCCTAGTGAATATTCCTTTTGAAATGAACAGTCTGTAACCCTGTAGTAAATCAATTCAAGTACATAAATGTCAATATAAAAGAAACTGAACTATGCTTGCTATACCCACAGCATCCACTCATGTTCCATGTTTTACTCCTGTAATACAGGTTAAAATATTTGGAATTTATCAAACACTGATATTTATTTTTTGTTATTTCATTTATTCATATAAATTGCCTTACTTTATGTAACTGTAACCAGGATATATGACATATTCCTATCTACATAAAGTACACAAAACATACAAAACAAACAAGAAAGGGAAGTTCATGTAAATGCTAGTGAATAACTGAATGGGAATAAAAGTACATATTAGACGTGTCAGCTGAACTTATTCACATCAATTGATCTGGTACAGTTGCCAATGACACATGGTTGATGAAGATGTCTATAGAGCACAGACTGTCCTAAGTTATGACTGGAGTAGGAAAACACCCAGAATTAGTAATGTTATCTAATTCCACCATGTGGTCATACACTTGAGATCTTTTATTGTCATGATGGAACACTTTCTCTGGTCCATTCAGATAAGGTGGGCTCCCTTCCAGTGACTGAGCACTACTGCATAAAATTCATGGCCTTATTTGACACCTGCGCTTGACCTTTGCTTAACATTTAACAGAGCTATTGATCACTGCATTTTTCATAAACACTTAAAGCTTAATTTTGTTTATAAAATGTACAGAATAACAATTACTGACTACTTGAATTCAATAATATATATATATATATATATATATATATATATATATATATATATATATAATGTCTACACGCATTAGTTTGCCATATCTGGGAAGGGAATCAGAAGGTTAAAAAAAGCTGAATAACTATACCAAAAGCCTATTTTTGACTTGTTTCTGTTTTTTTTCAGTTAGTTTTTGACAGTATAGTGAAAGAATGTTTTAGATTTTTTAAATAAAAGTGCACAGAATTAAAATAACTGACTACATGGATTTTTAAATGTCTGTACTCACTCATCTGCCATATCTAGGAAGAGAAACGGATGGTTAAAAAAAACCGCACCAAACACCTATTTTTGACTTGTAAGTTTTTTCTTCTTAATATTTTTTATAGTATAGTGGACAAATATTTTAAAAAATATTTAAAATAATAATGTATATGTTAATAATTTAGCATTTAGAAACAAATGAGCATTGAACAAAAATATACTCCTACTATGTCACTGAATTTCTGACTTTTAAAGTTCTGACTTTGCTTTGCTTTCTCCTACTATTAATGTATTCATTGTTAACTGAGCACAACATAAGCTCTGCTGTATAGGGATATCAAGAGGCAATCCAGTTGCAAACACTGCTTGCACTACACAAATACATTGAATGATGTAATAAAGAACCCAGAGCTGCATCAATGTGTAATTTATATCTACTTGGAGTTCAGCTTTACTCTTAAAATAATTAGGGCACTTTAGTGACCATGCCCTTTAAAACAAAGGGAAGAAAGGCAAATGTGTATAGAACATTTACAAATAGTCTTCAAATCTTACCTCCATCCCAAACTTATAGAAAAAGTAATTTATGAAATACTTGGCACAATTAATTATTCCATCATCCAGGTGTTGTCTTGTTATATCATGAAAAATAGTTTTTGTGACTGGTGCTGTCAGATTGTTTCGACACCTGTAATACTCTTGATGTCTGTATATAGTCACTTCAAAGGCCAATATAAATAACATGAGTAAATTATTCTGTAGAAAAAAAAAGAAAAAAATAAAAAAACGCATTTTTTATTTGGTTATTTACATTCCTATGTATGTTTCCAAAGCTGGATTTAACAATGTTGAAGTAAGCTACACCATACATTATACATATACAGATTTTAGCCTAAAAGTGAGTTACCTAAAATGCAACCTAAAAATTGCTATTTTCCTGTAAAAAGCATATCACATATACTATGAATATATTATGTACTGTAAATACTGGTAGATTTTACATGTAAAATAATAATTACCCGTAAATAGACAAGAAGTGGACTTGACTTCTTTAATCCAACCCACCCAGATGGATCAATTGGACCACTGTACAGAAGTGAGAGCTGAAGTTCTGTCTTGTTAACAATATTGGTCTGATTGTCAAAAGGCTAAAATAGAAAGGTAAATGAATGTGCTTACTGTATTGAATTACAACATTTCATGAATGTATTGACATGTTCTCAGTTTTCCACATCTACTTTCTGCTGTACTTTGCTGAATCAGAGAAGACTATGGCATACATTATACATTATAAACTATGGTTTTTGTGACATTTTTGGTGGCTGTGTGATGGGCACTTGACATGCACTGACAACATAGTGCAACTATATCTGACACAACCTGCAATATGTGCAATATGCACTAATTATTAGTCTCTGAGTTACTTCTGTTTATTAGAGGCACTGTGTACACACAAGTATACAGGGCACTGCGCCATGTATAGTTTATCTGGCCCTTTATACTTTCTTAACAAAACACATTTCGTTATGTATTTTTTTACACTATTAAATCTTTTTCTACTTGTATGATCTGCATTCGGATATATATATATATATATATATATATATATATATATATATATATATATAATTTTTTTTTTTTATTAAAATGCTAGGTGTGACTTTAAGTTACATAAATATAATATAACTCACCATTGTGCAGTTGCTAGAGAAGGTCAGTGGATCAATAGTTGAAAGTTGATACAACATTTTACATACAATGATGACACATGTCCAAACTGTACAAACACTGGATGCTAATGGCCGAAACTGGGAATAGGGCAAGGCAAAAGCCCAACCAGTTAAAAATACATAATTGAGAAGGGAAATCTGAAATAAAAAAACAAAATAGTATAATGAGCTATGAATTCATTTCATGTCTATTTTTGTTAAAAGGCATTTGTTTATGAATTTAATATTTAAATAACAGAAACCAAACTGCACACTTGCAGGTGTGCTAACAATAAACAACAAATGATACACAGATGCGCACATTCACACACTCAGACATCCTGCACCTTTAGGCCTCATTCACATGGAACTTATCATACAGTACACCCGTGTAGGGACGTGTTTACCCACACAGGGATGCAAAGGTGTTCTGTGTATCCCCCTGCGGGAAGTCCCATTGATGTAAATTGGAACACAGTGGCTGCACGAACATAGTCAATGCTCCCAATATGACACCACTTGGGTGAGGGTGATTGTCTCGTAACGCAGAAAATGTGAGTTCTGGGACACGCACCTAAAGTAGGCCTTACAGTGTTGAAGGAAAGTATTTCATGTTTGCATTGGGTTTGTTCTCAATGACACAGCTGTTTAATATTTACTTGAACATACTGTATATTTCAGTGCAGTTAAAACTGCCTGTTTTGCCATGATTTAGCATGTTTACAAGGACACTTGTTGAAGCTTCGGCTAGTCAACAACAACCAAAGTAGTCCCTGTGACTGCTAGGGAGACTGGCGTATAAGGTGGCCCCATTATGGAGGTTATAAAGAAATACTAAACTGTTACATTTCCAGTAAAGAATGGCTGAATCTAGACCTTGGGGCTTTGCTAATCATAAACCCCCCTTTGTGCAGTAAGAAGCATTTGCCTATTTGTCCTAGCAGTATAAATGTATTGCCCTCTAAACTTCTGTTACAGACTGAAACTAAAACTGAGTACACATGGATGGAAAACTGGCCAAAAAAGGTTGGCTGAGTAGAAACCGGGTGACTTTCATCCCGTGTGTACAGCTCTCTGTCCTACACAACACACAGCCATTGGCAGAATGAGCTACTCAGATGCTGGTCAGATACTGGTTTTCCAGTATGACCATTCTACAGAAGCTGGTCGTGTACTTCTGTATGACTGCCCAGTCAGATTATCCCCACTTGATCAGCGCCATAGGCTATAGCATGAAGTCTCCCCACTGTAGGAATACAATAGCTAAGCAGGGAAGATTCGGATACGTTTTCTTCATTCCTTTCCTTTTCACGCATAGGAGAAGGATATCTTGGCTGGTTGAGAAGCAACAGAAATCTTAACAATTGGTCCAAATTTAAAAAAGTGACATTGAAAGCAAAACTAAAATTTCAGGACCATGATTAAAATAAAATTATATTCAGACTCTGACAGCCATAGTGACCATGATACTGAAGCCTAATACAGAAAATACAGCATGGTCTAACTACTGCCCCATTTTGCTACTCAACCATGATATTACACTTTTAGCAAAGATCCTCACATTAGGACTCAACCTATCATTGCCTCATTGACCTATAGAGATCAAATATGGTTTATTTCCCATCGTCAAGCCAGCTATTCTATTTTATCTTTTATGGCCCCCATCGCCCAGCAAGGCCCAACTGGTTTCTGTCATTCACTACATTAAATGAGTCCTTCCATCTTTTGAAGACAAAGGTTTTTTGATATTTGCATGTTAAACACTTTTACAAGTCTGTTACTTGGACAAGGTCTTCTATAGACCAAATGTCTATATGTATATGAACCCATGTGCGACAAGGATTTTCATTTGGTGGGCTTCAATTCCGTTTGTACTCCCGTATGTCAACCACTTCATGTCCCTACACACACAAGTGGACATCTGACCTCCGTGTCAAAATAGAACCATAGGAGTGGACCAACATCTGGCAGGCTACTAAATCTTGTTTGCAGAATGTAGCAGCCCTGGAAACCTTGTTTAAAGTGCTCTCCTGATGATATCTATTCCCAGCTCAAATAGCCAAATTTGTAACGCCTTATTCCTCAACCTGTTTTCGAGGCTGCAGAGAGGTTGGCATGCATATCCATATTCGATGGTCATGCCCATTAATCAGGACTTACTGGGCAAAAGTGTTTGGGATAATATCAGTGCTTTTTAGTAAAGCTCTCTCCCTTTATCCTACTATAGCTCTTCTCAATAAAATCACTGCAGTGCCAAGGCCTGAGAGACCCCAAAACTCTGCCTTACAGAGACTAGAAATTTAATAACACAGGCCATAATTCATGGGAAAATAGAGGTTACTATACAAGACAGAATACCCAAATACACTTAGTTATGGCATTCATGGATAGGTCACTTTTTGCCCTCAGGCTTCAATGAAGCTCTCCTAGAACCAAGAGCACCTGTTGGCATGCTCCCTAAATTTTGTGCTATCTTTACAGTGGATGGCTGAACCCCCAGGATCTCCCCCGCCCCTCCCCTACTTTACTCTTCCACCCACTCCTGTTTTATAAAGTTAATTCTTTGCAGTTACGGGTTGATACCACTGCATTGAATACCTTTGGTTGATGCTACTAGCAGCCCATTTGGGTTTCCTCTGTTGCTATGTGGTATACAGTGGTGTCCTTTGGCTATGTACCAAAATGTACAGACAATGCATGCAACAATTTACTCTGAATGTAAAAAAAATGTTCACTTTAAAACCTCTATAATATAGACATACATTTAAAGTAGGTACATATGGATGTCTGCATATATTTTTTCATTCTAGAATGCCCGGGGAGCCCTGCAGCCCACTGGGTACCAATATACAAATAGAGAATTGAGGGACAAAGGGTATGCTTGGTCCTGCTTTTCATATGTCTTAGTATTGGTCAATTATGCTGTCCAATAGTAATGGAACTGCGGTGATCAGGAAGCAGGAGAGGATAGGGGCAAGCACAGTACATATATGATTCAAAACTAATCTTAGTAGTTAATGCATGGAATAGAACTCCAGCAGAGGTAATGAGTCAATCAACAGTAAGTGAATTAAAAAATGACTGGGACAAACATAGATCGAAGGCAAAAAAAACAAAAAAAAAACACAAATAAAAAATGGGGCAGACTCGATGGACCACTTGGTCTTTTTTCTGCCATTACTCTTCAATGCTTCTGTGATATATATAAAGAATAAGCAACACATATTTCATTTGTTTTAACACTTGCTAATCAAACAGAATGACATACCTCTCTTAAAGTCACCCATATGATGTACGAAGAAACAATTTTTATTATGTGAAGTTCCAGGACCCACCAAGCAAAGACTTGCATTTTATGGAAATATTCCAAAAACTTTAGGAAAAGAACTGTTAAGCGATCAATAACCAAGTGCCATTTATTTCTAGAATCTGTTAAAAAAGAGAACAGACTGTCACTAAGTAGCAGATCTAGCCTACCACCAATCACCCTATACATAAGATGGAAGTAGTTCAATCAACCAATCAAAATTAAGAATAGTCAGATTCTGGTCAGCTAGTGTTCTAGATGCATCTGTCAATGTACTGTACATGTATGCCATAAATATACTTGATGTTCCCTTTGCAATAAAGAACGTATGCTTGGGAATCAAACAACAGGCTCTTTCACATTTACCTAAAAAACAAATGCATGCTGGTTTAAATGAGAGGTATAGGATATGAAAAAAAAAAACAAACCTTCATACTTACCTTCATGCTCTAGCATCCATGTCAAGATGTATCTGTCCCCCACTGGCTATAAGACCAAGAACTGAGCAATCACATGAACGCTGATCGCTCAGGTTTTGGTCTGCTCCAAGCGGAGAGCAGTGACTGTCAGCCACTGCTCTCTGCTCTGCTCCACCAGTATTCACTGGAGCACCATACTGGGGAGGGGGTGAGAGTGGCTGGGTTCAGCTCTCAGCTGTGCGCTTAAAGATGGAGCCACCTGTAAGTCAGGCGGCAGGGTGGATATCAGCAATATTGTTTGAATCCCTCCAGAGCCTGGCATGGTTTGGCCCTGTCAGCTGATAGTGGACAACAGCCCACTATCAGCTGACTCTGGGTCACAAGAGTAAGAAAGTAAGTGTACTCCTATGACCCACAAGAGAAGTATTGCTTAAAAAAAACTTTGTCTATACTTTTCTTCTAAATTGCCCTGTTTGGCCATGTATTTATTTGGTGGTCAACAGTAAAATAATGTTGAGGTTTAAAGTGATACTAAACTCAGGACCCTGTATTCACTATTCCTGGTCTCCCATAGTACAAACAACATAGAAATGCAATCATTTTAGTAAATATAAACTGCTAAATACCTTTTCTCATCAGCAATTAGAGCAGTCTTGTGACTTCAACAGAGCACTGGTTAAAGCTTGTAGGAGTAGTTTTCTGTTTTAGGAGGATGTGAGACCTCTGACCCTCTGTCTGGACAATGCTGATTGGCCCTGTGCTGATCACATGCACCCTCCCAAGAAAAAAAAAAACTTCTCTAGCAATACACACCAAACTGAGCATGTGCATGTGGCCACAGGTTCAGTCTGTATCAGGTGGACATTTCCACAAGAGGAGGGACAGAGAAGAAAGGACCAAACAGCCTTTTTACACAATGCAGAGGATTAACCCCTAGTGAGTAGAAGAAGCATGCTTTACTGCATATACAGACTGAGTTGACTGGTGTGGGTTTAGTAACACTTTAAGTTCTTTTGAGTGAAATGTGTTAAAGAGAGGAGCCCAGTATGGTTGTACATGGACACGTAGCACATTAAAGTGTACAGCGGGTTCATGTCAAAGTGCGTAGGTGACACCTGCATGCATTTATTGGAACAATCATCAAATTTCACATCACCTGATGATACAAATGTCTATGGTAATTTCAAGTATTATTGCACAAAAAAAGCCAACATTCTAACCAAGCTCTCTAATAATAATAAATCAGAAAAACGTAAAATCCATAGTTGATGGGCAGAAATATAAAACGTGGTGTATACCTGTTGTTGTTTCCTCTTCTTCTTCAGATTCTTCTGTCTCCAGCTCCTCTTCATCAGTATCTCCTCCTCCTTCTCCTCCTCCTTTGTCATCACCTTTCTCCCACTCATCTTCTGAATCCTGATCATGTGTTTTCTGTTGTGTGTATATTTCCGCCTGCTTCTCTTCCTTGTCTAGCATTTCAGACTCTGTAGTTAAGTTCATCATGGTTATATCAGGCAAACTTCCCTCTGGGTGTACCAATCTGTTGGTTAAATATATATATCAGATGTCTGTTGTACACCCCCATAGAGAAATAATCTTGGTCAAATAAAATAAAAAATAAAAATACTTTATATACTTCAGCTTAGGAGTTGTCATTCAAAATATGTTATGGAAAAACAAGGAAATCTATGGCTCACGAGGGCATGTTTTTCACTAGTGACTTGAGGTGGTAGCAACACTTAAACTTGATATTTTCCCCACAGGAGAAAATAGTCAATGTTTAAGAGGTAGAAGCATGAAATGTCAGCATATCATAAAGAACATTTCATGGCTTCATGGCACTTACTCATTTTGGTGAATTGGAATTTTTTTCTTGATGCTGCTCAAGAGTAATTAAAACAGAAAGAGAAAAGGAATATGAGAGTTGAAGACGTAAAGTGATGGTTTTATCAAATGTAGGTCATGCAGCATTACAGCTTTAAAAGAAGGTTCCTCATTAGATACACTGCAGCATGCATTTTTCACATAGTAGTCAATAGTACTGGTTCTTAGTGTCAGGCCATAAAAAGAATATAAAAAGTGTATAACACTCAGGGTCGGATTTCTCACCAGGCCACATAAGCCATGGTCTAGGGTGCCACGGTTGAAAGACAAGGCCATGTTACATTAATGCTGGAGACCTTATAGGCTTACATAACCTTTCAGACAAACCTCCACCGTTCCCTTTGTTCTACTTACTTGTTTAAGTAAAAGATAAAGCAAAAAAGTAGATCAAACATGTATCTGGTTGTGTCGCTATGGTACCTGTTGTATCTTTGTGGATATATTTTACACCATGGTACTAATTGTGTCTCTACTGACATGTTTCTGGTTAAGTCAGTATGGTACTCACTGTGTTTCTGCAGACACTTCTAGTTGTGACAATATGACACTCTTTGCGTCTCTGTGGACACATTCCTGGTTATGTCAGTGAGACAATAATTGTGTTTGTCTGTTATTTAGACAACTCTATTTTTCAATCCATTTTGTATATGATCTTTTCATGTTTATATGGAGCCATGCATGTTTCCATGTGCCCATGTTGGGAGGGTGCATTACCCAAAGCAGTTGTTGGGAGGGGAAGGGGGTCTGGCATAAGATGGCTGGCCTAGGGGAGAAAGAGGTGTAAATCCGTCCCTGATAACACTGCATGCACATATGAATCTGATTTTTATGCATACATTGTTTATATAGAATAACTGATCTATATGTACTGTAATTTTCACAAATATAAAATATAATTAAGATTAAAAACTACATCAGTTCATTATGTATCCCATGCAAGAGAAGAATGCAGTACTAACAATAACTACACTATTAATACATTGTACAATGCCCTTCTCCATTTCAGTACAATTTAACATTTTTCAATTATTAGCATCTTTTAAAAGCAGTGCACAAACTCAGCATATGATATCACCTCTCAGAATATACATTAAAGTACATTTTTCCTGTTATTAAGTTCAACATTTAAACTAGGCTGGAGCTAAAGACACGATTTGAATCACCTGGCTCTGTCTATTTTCAAACTATGAAACAGAATAGATTTGAAAATGGTTGCGAAAATGTTTGTGGGCATAAACCTAGTTTAAACAGTTTAATATTAAAAAGAAGGTGCCTTTTAGACAAATGTTGAGGCAAATATTCTACATGATATTACAGCTATGATGTACAGTAGTGATTCTGTAACTCTACAATCAGTTCTTCGGTAGTGAATGAAATTTGGCCAAAAAAATTACTGAATAAAAAGAATAAATAAAAATGATTTAGGCTATTGCATCATTAACACAGTGTAATAGAATTAGAACACTTGTTTGCTGAATAACAATAAAATATAAGTAATGTTTAAAGTACATCTAAACCTTTTAAACCTTTTAAAAAAGTTTGGATAGTGTAGGGAAGAGTAAAAGCCTCTGTCAAGTGTTCATTTCTGTATTCCCTTATTGCTATCTATGTCCCCTGTAGGGGTAATAGCTGTCATTTAGACATAAACTGATGGGTAAGCTATCATTTTACAGCTGCCACTGGAAGAAGAATAGAGGGAAAATATACCAATGGGGATACCTCTTCCAATGATAGCTGTCACTTTGGAGAGATTTTCTCACTTTATGCTGTATCTCTAGAACAGCACGTGGATAACTCCTCAATGGATACAAAGGAAATCTCCACAATGGGATCCAAACAGAAAGAAAAAAAATATGAAATGGTTTTAACAATCTACCTCTATTTTTTAACTCTCTACCCTAATTTTAACTCTCTACCCTATAATAAAGTACAAATAGTATGTGTGTATATATATATATATATATATATATATATATATATATATATATATATATATTGGATATATATCCTTCATAAATTAAAATCTGTGATTGGCAGTCTAACATAATTTTTCCAGGCACATGCACAAATTAGATGTGATATGTATCATTTAATTATAGTTTGCTGGAATTATTTGTTTTGGTTTTTTTCGACCATGAATCTATGGTCAAAATAAATATTTGAATACCCACCTATTTATTATTAGGTAAACACGGCCATTAACTTTGGCATGACTACGAGTTGCGAGATGGAGGCACAAGAATGCATGCAATGAAAACATGAGTTAAGAGAGAGAAGGAAAGATGTTAAATAAGATGAAATAGAATTTGGCAAGATTAATGATAGTAGGCACACCAATGGTGAGGGAGCAATGATAGCATACAAGTGAACAATGCACATGAACATGATATATTTTTTACTCACTATCCCTAGTAATTTTAATTAAGGTGGTTCCCCATGCTAAACTACAATGTGACCCTTGTTGGCTTAAAAATTGCCCCAACATTGTTCAATTTCAATTTCATATTTTCATATTATATTCAATTTCATTATTTAACTATTATATTTGATTTGTGAACAAAAGGTTAAAAGACAATTTTCAAAGTATGAAAGCACTCAATGATCATTTATATATAGGTGATCAGGTTGTCATGTTTTACTTTATTTTCAGGGTAAAATGTACATTTGCAGATAACAAGCTCTATAACAGGGGAAGAGCTATTCTAAGATGTTTCCACCACGGTGACGTTAGAGTTCACTTAGGACCCATGTACTCAGCTGTTTCATGGCCGT